TACATCAACACATGCATTTACATGGCGATTATCATGGAACCGTCAATGAGAAAGGTTAGTGCCATTCCCTGGAAAGCGGCATATATGCTCTCCAAGTAAAAGAATGCAAGTCCACTATACAAGAAAACAATGTTTTTTTTTTTACTCTGGCGGCCAGTACTCATTTAGTGTAAGAGAGATAAGAAAAGTTTTACATTTGTTTGATATTAATATGCTACAACATATCATGTAAAAAATTGTGAGGCAAAAACCCTGATTGGGCATAGACACCTTCTTATGGGAGTTGTTACCCTTGTCTATATATTAATATATAGTGTAATGGGAATGGACTTAGAAAAGAATTCATTTCTGACTTAGGATAAATGTTTTCTACCATCAAACACATATTTTGTGAACATTCAATGAGCTGTATCCCTTTGATCCACTCTATACGTTTTCAACTCTTCTACTCTTTGAAGACCCCGTAGATGCTAGACAAGGACTAAATGCATACAAATAATTGACTACATTGGTCTATTAAGTGAATTCACTAAACTCAGCATGCCTTTTAACACTTTAAAAATGTTTTATTTAACTGAGTGATGTTGATTTTACTAGATCACTTATGGCACCACATACCAAATAACATGTTAATCCATATTCAGTGTTCGCGTTTTCTAAGTAAACATATCAATTTACTCACTAAAATTGCCAGGGAGGAAAGAAAAAAGGTCTGTTAAGTCCCTGGGACTAAACACTTTTTCCCCCCGATTGGTTAATTCTCTTGCTCTGATTGAAAACAGATTTTCTATTCGCTTTAAATAAATTGTATTTTAAGAACTTGACTTTCACCCCATTTTGATTTGTTCCCTTCTCATAAGCAATGCAGATTTATATTCCAAATGTAGACTAGGAGCAAGTGTTCGGCCTCATTTTGGGCCAACCTATCAATGGTATCCGCGAACATTAACAGTCACTGTCATCAATATGATTTGACATAAGAGACTGTTCCGTTGTTAAGTAGGAATATGTTACCTTTGAAAAGGTAAAATACACATGGAACTATGTACAAAAAAAATAAAAGTATTTAAATAAACCCTTATCCATTGCTTATATAAATGCTAGATATGAAGTAAATATAAGTAATCAGCAGTCTCTTTTCCACATTCTTTCGAGACTGGAGACCGTTTAAGACTGTAGACTGTCGATTTGTAGGCTCTTCAACATGACGAATTGAACATGACTGTTAATGTTTTTTTAGTTAATTGACCTTCAGCCCTAACCTCTTAAATATTATTCAAGAGCACACAGCAGTCAAATTATAGATAAAGTACACATTTGATTGTATTATGATAGTTCTGGCTTCCATAACTTTATATGTCGCTTTTATTTTGACGTTGTGACAGTAAAGTTATGGGTCAACCCTATTTGCAAAGGCTACCAGAATTTGGCAGTTTGTGCGCTGTACATAAAAACCTTTTAAAACAAGCAATTATTATAGTATTGCAAGCAATCCATAAGTCCCCTACCGGTTAGAACCCCAGCAACATTCTGATGGCCCATTGGCCATTCAATTTTACCAGTGAATGAATGACATGAATGAACTTAAATCTATTGAGTTCTAAATTTTTCTATATCACAGTAATGTGTTAAGTTTCCCTGCCTTAGTAAGGAAATTATGTTTATGCAACCTTGTCATATTATTACAATGTGGGATTTTAAAGTAAATCCTATAAGGAATGAAGAAGGTGGAGTGAAAAATACCAATTTCCCGAAAAAAATCTAAGTTCAAGGGGGCCATAATTCTGGTAATAGTCTTGCTAGAGTTTTTAACCTTCTCAAAAATGTTGAGTGATAATAAGAAACATATATATGAAGTTTGAAGTAGAAACATTAGAAAATAAAGAAGTTATTTAAAAAAGACAACATTTTTTTTTCATAAAAATTCTAAGTTCAAGGGAGGTAATACTGATAATTTTTGTGCTAGAGTTGTAAACCTTGTCACATAAGATGTGGTTGATGACCAGAAACTTATATTTAAAGTTTGAAGTAAACACCTTAAGAAATAAAGAACTTATAGTGAAAAAGCTGAAAAATTTAAATCAGAAATCTTGAAATTCAGGCTATTTGTTGCCATAGCAACCAGAATTTTCAACATAGGAAGAAAAGAAAAAGATGTGCATAATCTCCAGACAGCCATCTACCCATATTATAAGTTTCATAAAAATATTTTCAGTACTTTTTAAGTTATCACTGGATCCAGTTTATGTGTTAAATTTGCCATATTTTCAGACTATTTGTTGCCATAGCGACCAGAATTTTCAACATAGGAAGAAAAAAAAAAGACGTGAATAATCTCCATACTGCCATCTATCCATATATCACGTTTCATAAAAATATTTTCAGTACTTTTTGCGTTATCGCGGGATCCAGTTTTGTGGACGACTGACAGACAGATGGACAGACGGACGGACAGACAGATGGACGGTGGGTAAACCTAAAGTTCCCTCCGGTTAAACCGGTAGGGGACTTATTACCATTATTAATCAAATTTGGGTCAAATAAAAATACCTTTTGATACACAAATCAATTTTGAATCAATTCATGTTTTGTTTTTAAATGAAACTTCAATGACATTGCGTACCCAACTATTTGTTAGGGAAATATGTAGAGAATGTTTACCAATATGGAGTCTGCTTTCAAATGAGATCTCGCGGGACTTCAAGTTTTGGGAATTCTAGCATCTATCTTTAGTAACGGACCATACACTATTTAAGTAAGTGTATGATTTTATATAAAGACAAACAAATAATTCATGAATCATCACTTAAAACAATATTAATCCAACATGTTTTTGGTACAATGTCTGTTATTGAATAAATACACTGTTATTTATAATTGCAAAGCCATGTTTTCAATTAAAAATAGCATTTGGGTCACGGGTCACCAAATGTCATGCAAAGGTATCCGAACCTAAATTCTCGCTGGTCACATGATAATTAGGGCAGCAATGGCGGCGAATTTTATGAAATGTGAAACCGCTGATAAACTTTGAGGCATTATTTCATCAATCTAACGTTCTGTGTTCAAATATATAGACTGAAGGGTCCAAAATATATCTAACTACCTGTATTAAAATAGCTTTTGTCCAGATCATGCAAATTTATTGAATTACAGCATGACATAAATATGTCACGGTTCTGGTTGACTTTCGATACGGGTTGGCTTCAGCGAACAGGACTAGCAGAACTATAATACCTGTTCGCTGAAGTATCTTTAGCTAGTATTATGAAGTTATGCAAACATTGACATTTTTGTAATTGAGGACTCGTCTCATCTGAATTTAGTCTCAATTAGAGCTGTCATTGATTCAGTGCAAAGTATATCAACGATATATCGATATCAAGTGACTAAAATCAATGATACACCGATATATCGATAATATCCTATACTCACTTGTCTGTCATTCACTTTCATACCGGTTTCAATGATTTCAGTCAAAAACATGTTCTGTACAGTGTCTTGTCCACTGCACGATTTTTTCCAGACAATATTTTTTGTCACCATTGCTATGAAATAATTCCACTATATAACAAAAGCATAACATTAGATATAAATTACTGCTTCTGTATATATTTTTGGTGAATTTTATAATTTCTAGACATTTAATTTATCAGTCAAAAGTATCGATTTTTTAAAATGTGTATCGATTATTGATCGACAAAAAATATCAACGATACATCGATATTGTCGATATCGATGACAGCTCTAGTCTCAATATTTCGACTGCAAGACCGACCGATTTTATAATCTGATTTTTCATAGATGTCTGTTGTCTATATAATAAAAGGAAGTGGCCCGTACGGCTAGCCAAAAGTTCTAGCCGTATGTGAGTCACGTACTACTAGCCAGGAAGCACTGTATTGTCTAGCCGTACGGCACTTTTCAAAATTATACGGAAGTCGAAAATGCATATTTTATTTTGTGTCTTTAATCAAGTCTCCGCATTTGTCCTTGATTTTCATGCTAATGATTTGTTGTCTTATTTGTATGAAAATTTGTATTTTAGATGAATTATTAATTTTTTTTGTTAATTAAGAACATATGAATCGAATAAATAATGATCGGAGTGGAATAAATAAATAAATAAAAAGAATATTGAAAAAAAAAAAACGGTGAAAAGGCAAAAAATATAATAATTTTCAAATACAATAGATAAATATCGAACATAAAAGCACAATCAATTAATTAGCCTTAATAGGGACTGACAATAGAATTTTAGAATGTGTTCCACGGAACATGCAAACTTTCCTTAATGATGGACAAACTTCTTAACCGTCTGTAATTGACGCAATAATCACAGCCCAACAACGATTATTTTCGGTGTTTCTTTTTTTTGTTTTTCAATTTAAAAATTAAACTTAATGAAACAAAAGAGGATTATTATCAAAATTGTGTAAACTATTTCAATTGATGTTATTTAACTGCGATTAATCTCTAAAAAGTAAACATACAAAGACAATTGCTGTTTCTTGGTTGAAATCCTCGCTTAAAGTCATAAAATAACATATGCATTTTCAACTTCCATATAATATTGAAAAGTGCCGTACGGCTAGCCAATACAGTGTGTCCTTGCTAGTCGTACGTGACTCACGTACGCTAGAACTTCCATAATAAAAAGCCCTACTGTAAAGCGTACAATTTGTTGGGCTAATTTGAATTGGATTAGCACTGAGTCCTAAGTACTGGGTAAAGTTAGGGAAAATCGCTAACACTGATATTACACATATTACAATGTCACAGTTTACTAAAGCATTATGTAAGCCTAAGTGACGTTTGTCACATTTTATCCGGCCTATGTTCCCAGTCGGTTAATACACATTTTTGACCGTGTGACATACTGACATATGTAAAAAGCGATCTAAGATTTTTTATATTGACTCATAGATTGAGACAGATTAACATCTTGTTAGATCGGTATTCATTTTCGCATTAAAATAAAATTGCAAACCGTCACTTACACAAGGTATGAACTTGTTGATTTGTTTTCCATTTTAACAAATTTATCACAAAATCGGTCAAACTGTTTCTGTGTACTTTTAACAATGGTATGGAACGACTATCGAATTTGGATGGACTATGGTTGGACACTACTAAATAATTTCCTTCTCTTTAAAGTAATGGTTGTTTCAACGATGTTTTATTTGCAGCAAATCTTAAACAATGCTGTGCATAATTTTAAGTTTCCAACCATGTAAAATGATATTTACTGATATAACAGATAATATAGTATGTGTTTTTGTATATTTCCCAGAATAAATCGATACGACAGATACCACACACTCCTAGCTAGTAGACAAAAAGAAAAGTTATCTAACTCAAACCAAAAAGGAATTATGAAACTTCTTACTAAATCATTGAATGTAGCGACTAAACACTATACATTATACACTCTGCTAACAGGTTGCAGAAAAATAAAACAAAATGGTATAAAGCTTTAGATGCAGAACTCTAGCTGCGCTGTCGGGTACGTGAAACTGTGCAGATTTTCCGTGATACGGTGCTTTCGTCCAATATGGAGGAAGGTAAACAACAAGAAGGTAGTGTCATTTTATTTCTATGTATTTAGACAAATCCTTTTATATTGTAAAAGAAAAAATTTTCATTTTTAAGAAAAAAAATTCATATAGAACAAAATTCACAAAAATTTAATATGATTTTTAAAGTTTTTATTTTATGTAAAGACATGAAATTTGAACCGAGAGAAGTTGTATTTTTTTAGTCAATCTTCGTACAACAGACACTTATATTGAAGTGAATACTCTTATTTATTACAGTAAATGTATAAAATCATCTGTGCAATTTAAACATTTATTCTGTCAATTTATTTTGTCGAAATTTGTCTACTTTCTGTTTCGTCTCGACAACGGTGCAGACACCTAGCAACAGTTACGGAAAGGCCTCGCCGTTGCTAAGAGAAGTTGGGTATTGGATGAAGAGAAAACATGCGGTGATTTTATTTTCTATGAGATTTACGTTTATAAGTGAATAACAAGTAAATCTGCACATTATACTTGAAAAGGTAGGCGGAAGGAGGAATCAACAAATTACGAAACTACATATTGAAAGGTTAAAATGAATAAATTGTTTTAAAACGCGGACAGATGTTTTGTTTTGTTTTTTGTTTCAGAAGAAAATTAATGCTAGCATTAAGCAATGCTTATTTTGTGCTTGATGCTGATCCTGCTTCTTAATTCTGCTGGGGATTTCGTGAACATCTCATGTATAGTTATGAACGGGTTTTATTTCTTCCTCTGAAATACTTCTTCCATACCCATTCGACTTTTATGCACATATATATGAATATTGTGCTGGTAAGCTGTTGTATTTTGTTTGTCCTTTCCCAGTTCCACCTTTTTTCTTCCCAGTTTTTCCCCCGTTTTTTATTTGTTGTCCTGCTGAGCGCCTATCCAACGGTTCTGTTTGACAAAATATTGTCTGGACTACGTTCCTGGCTTCATAACCTCAGACCCCCCTCAAAATTCCATTTTTATTTAGTTCCGCCAATAGTTTTCTCGTTTAGGGCATACGCATTTTTTTACTTAGGGACTATAAGCCGCTTTTCATGGTATGGTACTACAGTGTCACATTGAAGGTTCCATTATAACCGCCGTATGAACACATCTACGGATGTTTCTAAATTCAAAATTTCACCACTTTCTCATCTGCTTCAGTCGGTGCTAGGGAGCGTTCACGGTAGTTTGCATTTGACATTACCGTCCATGAACAGGCTGAATCAAACCGAGTCTGCAATATTTTCAATTTTGCAGTTTTTACTTTCTTTTGGAATTCGTATTTTCTCTATTTTGTTCGCTCTAAACCTCTCTTTTTCATATTTGATTTCATATTTTAATAACAATAAATTTGTACCTTCTTATTAGCCATGACAACAATAATGATTATTATTGGAAGCATTCACCAATATACCCTGATCTAAAGAATAAATAAACATTTTAAAATTTTGTCATTGAAGGAAGACAAATAGTTATATTATGTAAGGATGTAACGCTTTTAATTTTACTTGGTCTAGGATCTTTGATGATTAAACAGTTTTGCATAAATCCTTTTTACAGATAATGGTGTTTTCGTATCCATATGTAATAACAAATGGGCATTTATAAGACTTATATATACTTGCATCGACTAAATACAAATGAAAATAAAAGTACATGCATAGCTGCAATTTTTGGGGAACTTTAATGTTTCATATATATAAAATCAAAATTCGACAAAGCCTATTAATCGTTAGATATTTTTTTACGAAATTATGATGATTTGTAATAAGGTAAGATTTATTGAAAAATATAAAACTGAATCTCAAAACGGCAAAATTGAAAATGTTGCAGGCTCGGTATGAACACATCTGCGGATGTTTCTAAATTCAAAATTTTACTATTTCATGTTTAAATGTTGAATTCTGCTTAAGCCGGTGCTAGGGGGCGTGGACGGTAACTTGCACTTGCCAGTACCGTCCATGAACAGGCTCAATCAAACCGAGCCTGCAACATTTTCAATTTTGTCGTGTTGGGCTTTCTTTAGGGATTCTGTATTTATCTATTTTGATAGAGCCAAGTTTCGATGAACACTTTGAATAGCTTTGAATGTTCTGTGATTACCTTCATAATTATGAATGTGAATGCATATGCAGAAATGACTTACATGTATCTTTATTGAACTATACATGTACAGTGTATATATACTAATCCTATTTACTGCTATAGCCGGTGCGGCTGGGAGTGGTTGAGGGACAGGGTACAGGCAGCTCCATAAAACCGAATCTACAACATTTTATCATTGCCATTTTAAGCAGCTTTTACCAGCATTAACAATAATTTACAGAATTATAATGGGACCTATATAATGACACCGTCATTTTATATCATGTGTTCTTGAGAGAATATGTCAGCAATTAATGCAAAACAAGGGATTAATTAATGAATATTGCATGTCTTGTGCGGACGGTGGTAAATACACATTATTCAAGAGAAGCTACAGACCATCAAAAGGGGGATGAACAAGAAAGAAAAACACAAACATGAGCAATAATTTTGCGTTGAACATTTTAACAGCTCTTCAATATATTAGTCCTTACTATTTACAATCCGACATTACAGCTGCAGTTACTAGATTGTACTGGTACTGGAAAACATACAGAATCGTAAAAACTATAACAATACTAACGGTATATACATTGTACGTCTAATACTGTTGTTTCTGGCACTAGAAATTGTTTGGTAAAATTGAGCATTCAAATACAGTACACAAAAGAGATAGCAGAAACGCACTAGATACATTTGTAAAAGCTTCTTGATTAACTGTTGCTAATTTATTTAGCAATTAGATATCTTCCACCGATGGAAGGTGGTGATTATTTCGTGGACGGCCGTTTCTTGCTTCAATCACATCTACATTACTGGAAGCGTTGTGAGAGATTTCTGTATTATCGTCAGAACGCTCCTTTTTCTTCTTTTTCTTCCTGTGTCTTCGTCTAGAATGAACATCCTCATCTTCGTAGCCAGGTGTATCTTCTAAATTACTTCTACGGATTTCAACAGGTTGGTCGTTATTTGAAGACTCGTTTGAAATCTTTTCGCCACCAAACACATCGATCTTAGGAGGTTGAATGTTCTTGATAGTGTGAAATATAGTCTCTAGCATGGTCTCTGTGTTTGGTCGGTGACGCGATCTGCTCTTGGTCACCTCATGTAGTGATCTTACCTCCATAAAAGAACGAGTTCGCTGAACTACGTGCTTTGTGTCCCAATCATACCAGTCGCACACACGAGGCTGACCTACCATGTGTAAACAACATACTGGGAAAATACTCTCGAAGAAAAGAATAATTGATAGCTGTTGAACTCTGTATTGAATGTCACGGTTCTGAGACACAAAACTACACGTGTTTGACATCATTGCAATCAGCGAGTTTATCATCAATACGTATGTCAGAAGCACAAATGCAACATATATACAGACGGCAAACCAAGGAGATTGCGCATCAAACAAAACATCCAATGATGTAAATCCGAACATCATCTTGAACATAGCAATCATTAGTTTGCTGTATTCATGAACGTTTTCGTTTTCTCCAATATCAATAGTAAGTTTTGGAGAACCTCTGAATACAATGTATATTCCAGATGTAAAAGCAATAAGTTCCATACCAATAACGATTGAAAATCGAAACATATCACCAACTAATACTTTTTGTATCATAACTGTGAAGAAGCTAAATTGTCTAAAACCCCTAAGGAAGAAAACCAGGAACCACCATCCTAGAATCATTGAGCAGACGAGAAAATAGTCCCCATACTTTTCATCAACAACCCGCCATATAAAGTCTGCCACTATTGTGAAAGCAAACAAAACCAGAACGAGTCGGAGTGGGCCGTTATGATAACAGTTTGTTACATGTGATATCGTCCACGGCATGCGGCCCTTGATCATTCTAATCACTTCCTGTACAATATAAAAGAACGCAGACACAAGGCCAAGAATTGCGTAAAATGTGACGTAGGCATCGTCACCGATAGTGTAGACGGTCCTGTTAGTACTGGTCGTGTTGTCAGCAACTGACGAGCGCCGAACAGCGTAAACTGTGTATCCAATCATGAACAGCATGTGCAAAATACCCCAAATTGCGAGAAACCACTTGTAGAATTCCCATTTCCTGTTAATGACATACCGTAATGGTGACAACTCGATAAATTTAAATACTGTGGTAGAATTACTATCAAATATCATCTCAAGGGTGGGAACTTTATACGGGGTTGGTTGTACATAGTCATCTGCTTTCTGTTGCGTGTCGCTCCATTTCATGTCATCTACCCATGGAATGATATCTACCAGCTTAAACTCAGAAGTTGCATCAATATCTGTGACGTCATAGAGTTCAACATCAAAAAGTCCATCTTCAGAATTCACGTAGCAGTAAACACCTTTCATTTCCATTATAAATTTGAATATGGATTGTTGTCCAAGTTGGGCAGCCAGTTTCAGAGGGTTAAGCCCCTCCTTATTTGGCGTTAGCCAAATATAACTACTCTGAATTGCAGATGTTTTAGACATTTCCTTAATGCTTTCTATTTTATTCAGATTTTCTTCTGGTTTGTCTGCTTTTATACCAGAAATACGTTCTACCATTGTCATAATATCATTAATCTTTTCAGGATACAAATTCGCATAGCGAATCAAACTATGACACACATTATCTCCTTTTGAATTCTGAGAATCTATCTTAGCACCATATTCAATCAGTTTATCAAATAGTTTAATATTTAAAGTAAGGGCTGCAACTATGAGGGGAATTTCACCTAGCATAACCGTGTTTTCAAACCTAGTACCGATGGCACTTGCTGATAAGATATTTTCAAGCACACCTAGTTCTTTTCCTTTGCGCAACAAACCATCAGTAACTGCTATGTCTTCACCCGTTACGGCGATATGGAGTGCGGTCTGTCCTCTGTAAAGTTCGGAGTCACATCTGGCTTCAGTGATCAGTTCGGGACAGGCAGTCAGCAAAGCGGATATAGTGTCGCTATTAGCTCGCATCTTAACTGCCCTGTGTAGTATAGTTTCACACTCAGGGGACATATTCTGAAGTTCTTTCTCCTTCTTTTTGGATTTTATTTCAGATATAATGCCACTCACTTTTTCCGACTTCCCCTCGTGAATTACGTGCACAAGAGATTTTACAACTTCCGGCACATTATTTTCAGTGAAGTTATATGACTGTCCAAGACCCACTGTAGGTATCGGAACTGGTCTGTCTTGGTTGGTAGCCATACTGTTGCTTTGTACTAACTTCTACAATAATATCAAATATTATCTTTATTCAAACGTAACAATTCAACATTTGTGCGTCTTCCTATCCTAGATATACAATACTAATTAGAAATAATTAATTTGTTCACGACTTTATTCCTTTGCAGGAATAACCTTGATCAGTCATATAGGAATTAAAAGTATCACATACATCCTGTCGACTGCAACTGTCCCAGTTTTAAATTATAGTCCATATTTTCTATTGAAGTTGTTTAGCGGTCATTGGCACAAGATCGACGCAACTATATTTATGTTAAAACTCGCAATTTTAAAGTTCAGTTGTTTCAAAACAAGCAATTCCTTTCATATTCCAGTTTACAGCTTCACATGAGGTGTCTCGAATACTGAAAAGTAAAAGCGATATACATGTGATTTTATGTTTCATTGAGAATGACAATAAAATTGATTTACAATAAAAAAAGCAATCCGTTAGTTCTATACGATTGATTGGCTCTTTATTTAATATGACAGAAACACTACAAATTGTACCGGTATTATCTTAAGAATATTTACGATTACTTCGCTAAATAACGGTTTTCTCACCAATGCAAGCTGCACAGCACAATTAAAAGCCTTTACATTACATTTTCCCTCTTTCTACGGATTACAGATGTGAAATACATGTATAAATAAATTTCCCCTCTAAAAGCTGTAATATCAACTGACCGAACATTTAAATATTGATTTATCGTCGTAGCAAACAAATGCCTTGAATATATACAATGATATACATATATCAATCAAGTCATTTAAATGGAATAAATAATCAATCTTGTAAAATTAATGAGAAACTCTTACCTTGCATCGATTAGTGCCTATTCACTGTATTGCCGAAGATATTTCGCTTTTATCAATAATCGATACCGAACCCTTTCAATATGCGTACATACTTTATTATGTAAATTAAATAGTGATCCTTTTCAAAATTGTTTACAATGTCATAAAACACATAGTCAAGCGATGTGATAAACATATTAATATTATTTGTAGGTCAACCTGATCTATATACAATATAACCATGTTTAAACTGTGAGAATCCTCTAAAGTAATATAATCTCTGCCAAACAATAGTGGGCATTAAAAATTACAAATGTAGATCCTGGATTGTTTTTAATCTTATTAAATCCGTAGATTATTATTGGGGCACAAATAAGGTCATAGGTTCAAATAAAAAAAAAAATATAGTATAAATCAAATTTCAATACAGTATGCGATGCTTGCAATTTTGAACCTCAATTCTTTTTGTTTATTGACGAGGCTATATGAAACTGTCATAAACTTTAGAATAGGATTAAAATTAAATCGTGAAGTAAGATATAGATAAAGGGCAATCTGCTCTTTGCCATTTTTTATCTTCACTTCACATTTTAAGGGTACTTAGTGACCGAACATCTTAGTAACTTACTGCATCTATAGAAAGATATTAACAGCACATAATATCTACTCGTAACATAGCTTTAATCGCATGTACTAGCCTTCATCATATTTGCACAATTTTTTTCTTTGTTTCAAGTGTTTAAAATGTTATAGAATTATAAAGATAGATTTTACCAAGCTAAGCTCTCTGTAATTGCATGAATTTTGAGAGTTAATTATATCTTAATCCCATGTTATACTAATCATGGTACGCTTCCTACGTTTAAAATTGATTACATTTTTGATTAGCATTATATTATTAAATGAAATTGAATCAAGCAAGCTGGTCTTTTTGCTCGTGGATGGATTTCGATGGGATTATTTTAAATTACCAGGACTGAACCTGAACGGATTCACGAGACTGTTCGAGCATGGAACTAGAGCTGAATGGACTGTGCCAGCATTCCCTACAAACAGTTTCCCTAATTATAAAACGTTAGAGACTGGTATGTTGTATATTAATTCATTTACAAGATCTTCTTCTTTGTCAATAACATTCATTTTACATTCATATCTTAAAGGGATTTGACCGCGGTCTTTTTACAGGAAATAAATTTTTGAGATTAATGTTCCATTTTATGTGAGTATAGACCAAAAACTTCAAATTACTCGCTCACTCCGTTTTTTTCCAGAATAATCATCCTAAATGTGGAAAATGACCCAAAATTGAAAAGCTTTCGAATTATAGTTTTAATTTCAAAAAACAATATGACTATATGTACGCTGGACACAGAACATTTTCTAAAACGTTATATGTATATTAGTTTAATGGGGTTATTAAGAAATTGTATCAGTATGTACATATGTTATAGTGTTCACAATTCGGATAGGTTTATCATTTAGTAAATAACAATTTTGAAATTGTTATTGTTGCAAAATGATTAAGATAAAAAACCCAAAAGAACAAAAAAAAACGAAAATGTAAATGCTCGATATAATCACATACAAACTTCAAAGGTTTCAAATATTAAATGCGTTATTGAATCTCAGGTCCTGCAAGATATTTGCTTAAAATCACGAAACACAATTAAATACTATAGTAGCTTATTGTTATATCAGATACATGTACATATGTTTGAAAATATAGAGATGGACACATTATTAGCTCACCCTATGGTCTGTGTTTTCTATACAGCATATGCTGTGCATATGTTTTCTTTACTACTGACTAATTTAGTCGCATGGATTTGACCTAAAATATGTTTTTATATAATGTCCATATACTGTTTAAAAAAAAATAGAAAAAAGATGTCTGTTATATTGTTATAGACTATAACAATACAACAAAAAATTTTCTTTTTTCTGTTTTTAATAAATGGATATTATATGATTAAACATATTTTAGGTCAAATTAATCCAACTATCACCTTTGCTACTGACTGACAGAGATCCGTTGAACATGTAAACACCCATAAATTTGTATTTGAATGTTATTATCCATATGTTATCATTATTTTTCAGGTCTGCACGTAGAGAATCATGGTTTTGTTGGCAACTACATGTATGATGAACAGTCTGGACTCGAGTTCGAGCTTCTAATGAATAATGCGGACAGTCTACAGCCTCGCTGGTGGAACACAGCGGAACCTTTCTTTATTACCGCTGAAAAACAGGTAACTGTAATACATGTTTGTACATATATTAGAAAACTGTCGAAATGGAATGAGAAAATGATAGGATACTAATATCACACTGTTATAAGATAAAAGTGGTTTATATGTTTTCGTGCTCATGTACTATAAAAACAACGCTTATTCATAAATTGTTGTCTATGAATTAGTTGAAAAAGGTTTATAGTCAAGTGTGTGAGACTAAACGTATAATAATGTACAAATCACCAACTGACTGATACTCAAGTTTACAGTCGACCATAATAAAGTTGTCGCCAAAATTGGCAAAATTGAAAATGTTGCTTATATTATCTTGTTCACGAACGGCGGTGCTTATGCAAGCTAATGTCCACGCTCCCCAGCACCGGTGCATAAATTTAACCCAATTTTTAGATATCACCTTTTTTATCATTGGTCTGGCAGCGCTCTTTTTTTTCAAAATATTACCTAGTACTGATGATGAATGGATTCTTCCCATCTCTACTTTAACCCATTTTAAGCATGAAAACTATTATTTCTTAGTTTGCTTAAAGATGGCATCTGTGTGGAATGGTGCGCACTTGGTCTTTGCCGGGTATGCACTTCTTGGGAATGAAGTACCATCATGTGTGTTTTATTCTGAACATATTTAATGACATAAATGTTATGTTTTTTTGGAATATATTCTTCATAACCTCTGATCCCCTTACAGCATTCCATATTGTTTAGTTCCACCCATTGTTTTCTCGTTTGGAAGCATTTTTTCTCTTGGGGACTATACTTGTGTATTTGGGTTTGTTTACCCTCGCAACCGGAAAGAGACCATATGGGCGAGATGACTGTACGCCGCTTTTAATGGACATGGTACTAACGTGTCACATTGAAGGTTCCATGATCACCGCCGTTTATAAATTCAAAATTTCACCATTACATGATTTATTATTGAATACTGTTTAAGCCGGTGGTGGAGGGCGTGGACGGTAGATTGCATTTTCAAGTACCGTCCATGAACACACATGAAACCGAGCATGCAACATCTTTAGTTTTGCCGTTCTGGACGTACATTAAGAATTCCTTTTCTCCATTTTTTATGTACGATACAGAGACGTTTTATAATTACAGAATATTCGGACAGGCCTGTACTATGTGAGAGGTTGTCAGATAGCTGTTGATGGTATAACTCCCACATTTTGTCTACCATACCATGGCTACCCGAGCAAGGAAGATATAGACTGGGCAATACAGGATTCACTAGACAAGATGAAAAACGAACAGCTTGATATTGCTTGTATATTTTCTATGTCCGCATAATCCGATTTTTTGACAAATCGAATTTGTTTAACATCGAATCAAATATTATTGTAAGGTAGAAATAACAATAAATGTTCTTTGTAACCATCATTTTCACAGGAAGGAATAAGAAGAAATAATTAAGACTTATAACTCAGCATATATAAAAGATTACTCTCAGAACTTTTATAAAGATTTTTATTTAAACGTTTTTTTAATATACGCCAGTCTTGTTTTCAAAAGGATAAGTACTACATTTACTTCAGACATTTACCATCAAGAGGTTGATCACATGGGGCACGAGTATGGTCCGAATTCTGAGCAGGTAAAGCATACCGTGAATGAGGTAGATGGTCATATTAACGATATGTTGGATATTATTGAAATAAACAAACAGAAGGATGTAGATGTGATAGTTTTGTCAGACCATGGAATGGCGTCCATTGATCAACTGCACTTGATTAACATAACAGAAGTTCTAGATATGGATAATGTTAAACAAATAACAGAAGGTGGAACCCAAGCTTATATCTGGCCTGTACACGGGAAAGAAAAACATGTAAAGTATATATGTTTGTTTTTTGTTTTAGAATATGGGGTATTTTTCAGTAAAGTTTGAGAACATAGCTGAAAAATCTCACACATTATATGTTTAGATTTAGAAATAAATAATAAATTATGTATATTCAAGATCGCGCATGTAACTATTACCAGAGAAATGTATCTCCCACATATGTCCACATCTAAGTCATGCTTTTCAAATACATATAAGAGATAAATATACACATGTATAGATTTTTAAAGGTAATTAAAGGAATTTGTTATTAGGAATTGTATGTGTTGTAAGGTCTATTATATTTTGTGCAACCTGAGCGATGTTACACATCGTATTGAACTTTTTTAAAGGCCACCTGTAAAGACAGTGGTTAGTACTTGATGTCAATTCTTCTGCTGCAAAAAGTTTATTTTTGAACCAACCAGAAATACTTTCATAATAAATTTGATACAATGTATTTATAAAAATAGTTTTTTAAATGTTGACTTACGCGTATACATAAGTAACATCATAATTGGTGTCACCCAAACTGATACTTGGATAGAACACAATGAACGATGTTTTAAATGTGTTTCCATTCAAAGGAAAAAAGGAAAAAAAGAAAAGAGAAAAAAAAACACACGCTTTCTTTGTATATTTTCAGGTTTATGATCAGCTGAAATCCTTTCATCGAAATTTGCATGTGTATCTCAGGGAAGATTTACACAATCGATGGTTTTTCAAGAACCACAGTTTAATACCCCCAATATTTCTTACAGCAGACAAAGGCTGGTTTATCGCACATGTAATTAATTTCGTTACCAGAACAATTTTAAATGTAAAGTTCTTTAACTGAATTTTAAAAATGAGTATCGAAAATACACACAATGATATCTATATATATATGTATATATATGACCGGATGTGTATGCTGCAGGGTGTGAAGAAAATTTTATTTTATTTGAAATATAAGAGTTTTAAACATGCACTCGGAACTTTTGCAACAGGATATATGTTCGTAATAAGACGTCGTCATACATTCATCCCAATAAAACATGAATAATAAAAAGATTCTACTAAAATTATCTTTATTTTGTAAAAACATTATGTTAAAATTTAGATAATTAATACTTCTCATTCTCCGTTCCCATTTGTTACAATGTAAAATACATGTTGTATTGAATTCAGTACTTGAAATGAACAATATGATCTCCTTTTTTGTTTATTTAGCTAGTCATAATTGTATTCTTATATTGTGATATTAGTGATTTTTGACTGTTATTTTTCTGTTTATTTGTTGTTATAACCAGTTGCATATTATATGCCTTGGTTTAATAAAAACTGAAAACTGAGACTGGAATTGTATGTGTTGTTAGGTCTATTATATTTTGTGCAACCTGAGCGATGTTACACACCGTATTGAACCTTTTTAAAGACCAGCTGTAAAGACCGTGATTAGTACTTGATGTCAATTCTTCTGCTGCAAAAAGTTTATTTTTGAACCAACCAGAAATACTTTCATAATAAATTTGATACAATGTATTTATAAAAATAGTTTTTTAAATGTTGACTTACGAGTATACATAAGTAACATCATAATTGGTGTCACCCAAACTGATACTTGGATAGAACACAATGAACGATGTTTTAAATGTGTTTCCATTCAAAAGAAAAAAAGGGGAAAAAAAGAAAAAAAAACACGCTATCTTTGTATATTTTCAGGTTTATGATCAGCTGAAATCCTTTCATCAAAATTTGCATGTGTATCTCAGGGAAGATTTACACAATCGATGGTTTTTCAAGAACCACAGTTTAATACCCCCAATATTTCTTACAGCAGACAAAGGCTGGTTTATCGCACATGTAATTAATTTCGTTACCAGAACAATTTTAAATGTAAAGTTCTTTAACTGAATTTTAAAAATGAGTATCGAAAATACACACAATGATATCTATATATATATGTATATATATACCGGATGTGTATGCTGCAGGGTGTGAAGAAAATTTTATTTTATTTGAAATATAAGAGTTTTAAACATGCACTCGGAACTTTTGCAACAGGATATATGTAATCGTATACGAGAATAACAATATCAAATATTTATATATAAATGCATACCATTTTATACAAAATATATACAAAAACAGTGTAAATAAATAACAAGTACTCATGACTCATCCTTTAAATGATATGTTTATTGTTTGACTCAACTGATTCTGTACAGAATTATTCAGAAAATGTATTGTAAATATCATTTATTCTCATTACAGCCGAAATCATCAGACAGATATTTTGAGTTAAGTAGAAGCCCATGGCATGGTAACCATGGTTTTGACAACACCGATCACGATATGAGATCAATATTTGTTGCCTACGGTCCAGGTTTGATGATTATGTATTGTCATTTCTATGTTATGTTTTTGCAAATGAATCTCCCGTGAATGAAAAATGATCTAAGTTAAAGTATATACTAGTATTTATAACATAACAACACTTGGTGTTTGCAATCGAATTACATATACTTACCAGAGTTTACTGAGTATATACATTTAGATGTTCCATTTCTTACAGCAGTTTATTAATTAATCATTATAATAAATATTCATCACTGCATATCATTAAATTTATTTTATATTTACAGACTTCAAAAAGAATCATACTGTCAAAGCCTTTCCTAACATTAATGTATATCAAGTGCTGTGTTATGTTACTGGTATAAAAGCGAACCCGAACAATGGCACGTGGTCTGAGGTCAAAGACATGATTGCTTCAAGTGAACCAATTGAAAAACATTTAGAACTCTGAAAGCACATAAACTTTGTAATTTTGAAACATGTGCTTTAAGAGGGTTGACACTGAGTTATTTAATTTAAAGCATATTTCTACATTATATACGATTTATTTCAATTTGATTAAACTATTAATTTCAAGCATTTACCATTAGTCCCCCGATTGCTAAGTTATTTAATTTCGACTAATTATTAATTGTACAGATTACTCAGTTCTACTGGTTATTGAGTATAGGTTAAAGTTTATTAGATTAAATTGGTCAGGCGCGACACAGCCGGGCGACCAATTTAATCTAATAAATTTAAACCGGCTTAGTGTTTTAAATTATTCTTATAAACAGTCGACTTACTAGACTGATTAACAGTTTGCCGATTTACCGAAGTAAATGTGTTTCGATTCATTTGAAATACTGCAATTCTATTGGACAAAAAATAATTTCAAACACTAATTTTTGTTTAAAACATATATTTCTGTCACAAACAATACTCCTGACCTTATGAGTAAGACTTTAAGAACCAAGGTTCAATGAATCCGTGCTCTTCTTTGGACATGTAAAAGAATCATGGCCGCCTCTAGAAAGGCGCAACTGTTGTACTAACCCGAAAATAAATCTTCAAGGGCATCGTGCACTTGGGATGTGGCGAACATTATTTTTTCATTTGTTTGGTTTTACAGCGCACCAACAGAATATACTAGTAGGTGATATGACGCTGAAGCAGGAAAGATGATTTTGTCTTTGTTGTTACAAAGTTAAAGCAACACAAGGGTCAAAACCATCATACCTGCTGGAGCCAAAAGATGCATAGACCCCAGTAATTCGGACCCATTTAGTCGCTTTTACCGTCAGGCAGAGATAAACGGTGGCTGAAAATGGACATCAGCTTGCATCAGATAATGAATTCTTTTAGAACATCACGTGGTTTAAACGTCTAATGTTCATTGGTTGTATTTTTGAGGTGTGAAATAAATTCAGGTATAAATTTAACACACAGAGCGCTCGTCCATTTTTGCCAGCCCGCATAGCTCAATCGGTTAGAGCGCGAGACTTGTAATCTCGACATTGTGGGTTCGATTCCCGGGCTGGCCAACTAAAATTATTAATCAGTCTTTCGGATGAGACTTTAAATCGAGGTCCCGTGTATGGGTGCTTAAACACTTGGCACGATAAAGAACCAGGAGAAGCTTCTGGAATTGGGGCATCTTTCTGTATCTGTAATTGCACTATCCTCCAAAAAATAAAATGACTAATACTCTTCTGGAGGACTCGCCCATATGGGCAACCGGTGGCGAGTATAAATAAACGCAAATACACACAACTCGTCCATTTGGTTTCTTTCCGTTGGCGAGGGTAAACAAACCCAAACACACAACGTTTAAAAAAGCTTCTCAAAATCCCTCCAGAGGCGTGCACGCCGCGGAGAAGGCACACGGCAGGTCAAGGTCAAGTCACCTTAAGTACCAGAGATGATTGCTTGACCTGTCGTGACTAACTCTGGAGGGTTGGCGCTAACATAGGCCGTTTTTGTTATCGTTGGTCAGGAAGCTGATGCCTTGGCAGTATTGTCGACTCCTTCACCACCACTGAACGAAAAACGGGCTACCATGCAGAAGATTCAGCATGAAAAAGACGTCCCCGATGTGACTACCATAGTGGACCGGCAAGGATGCTATATTCTCGGACATATGGTTAATTCCGGCGCCGAAACTCAAAACTCAAAAACTGAAAAACAACAACGTTTAGATAACAAGAAATGATTAAAATAAAGCATTCAGTTGTGAGCTTCCTAGCTGCCGATCAAAACCACGGTCGCTAAAAGCTGCTTTAAAACATGTCATAATAAAATTTCACCAGGATTAGAATTAAATAGTAATGTTATATTGATTTATATTTTAAATCTCGATCGATAATGACATATCTATACAGTACAGATAGCATCTCATTCACTATGAATGAACCTTTTTTTCTTTTTTCTTTCATGTAAGGTTACGTAAAGCGTGTCATCTTTCCGCATGCACACGTTCTCAATGAATTCTATCGTTTTATCGTTCACCGGTCTGTTAATTAGTTTACCCATGGTTAATATACTACTCAACTTTTGCTAAGCACAAAACGTTTCTGAAAAATATATAAAAGATCCAGTTATTTATTTTGCTTTGTTTTATTCAGCAATGTTTTCAGACACTATACGCGTACGCTTTCCTTTTTTTGTTTACATCGGAGGACTCCGTGATGGACAATTCTTATAATTTTCGTCTTCTGCCTTGCTTTGGCCTTTGAAGGTGATACTCCTGTTGCTTTGTCTTCCATAAAGACATCGGGTCCTTTTGTTATAATTATGGTCATTTGTTTACTTTTTATATGTATCTACATTAGCAATTTTGTATTTACTTTTTTCACGTTTTGTAACCATAATAAATGTTAGAATTTCGCTCGGCTGGAATTCATTTTATTAACACTGTCGCGTTTAAAATGAACATGATGATTGGGCTAAGAGTGATTTTTTGGTGCACCATTAACCGTTTTAAAATCTCCAGCAGTGCGTATGCTGCTGACCGTTGCTGCGGAGCCCCTCTGTGTTCCTCAGATGTATGCCTTGTTTATTGTTTTATACAATTGTGGTGACACTTCTTGTTTTTCTCGTCTTTTGGAAAACAATTTGCATTTCCAAAAAACTTGGCTATAGGGGATCTTCCTCTACTTTAAAAATAACTTATAAAAAATTAGTAACACAATGTAAAATTTGCACTGTAATAAATTAATTAAACATGAAATTGACATTTAAAAAATCATCAATTCATTACCGAAAATATTCACTCTAAAACATTTGGTGCCTACTAAAAGTTGAGTAGTATACATTGGGTTTTGTTTTCATTTTGTTTGCGGTGCCTTACAGTTCTTCTTAATAAAGTGAAGTATATATGTACATGTATATAATAGCAAAGGAACTATTGTAAGTCACGTTATACCGTTATCTCTGCTTTCAACTTACTAACCATACATTAGTCCGATAAATAGGTTACCGTACAAATGTATATATATGTAAAGAAACAGGTAAAATAAGAACACAAAGCCAACAGTAAAGTTCGTGTAAGTGGAACTATGGATTGCACAAATTACTTTTCTATATTATTTGCATTCTTAGTGCCGTGTTGTGAATCTAGCAAACTTTTATTTTTTCTTGTTGACGGTTTCCGCTGGGATTATTTTCAACTTCCGGGTTTGCAGCTAGAAGGATTTTCTCGCTTTTTTGAGCAAGGAACTAGAGCAGAATGGATGGTTCCTGACTTTCCTACAAATAGTATTCCAAACTATAAAACACTCGAAACAGGCAAGTAGTTCTTACAATCCTTATTTGTTGCCTCTGCCAAAATTATGGAGGGGTATTCAATGTACAAGTAGCTTTGGTGCTATCTGGAAGCTATCGCGTTTTAGGAAATAGTTGAGCCGCGTCACGACAAAACCAACATAGTGCGTTTGCGACCAGCATGGATCCAAACCAGCCTGCGCATCCGCGCAGACTGATCAGGATCCATGCTGTTCGCTTACAAACCCTATAACAAGTAGCCAACAGCATGGATCCTGATCAGACTGCGCGGCTCAGTTGTTTTTTTTAATGCTGTACATGTTAATCACCGTTAGGAAACCCGACTCTTGAGTTGGTATTTCTAATCATTATTATACCAGCTATTTTTAGAGTTATGACCCCTGAACTTAAACTACGGAAAAATGTCAACCCGGATCTACAAATTTAAAACGGTTGAAATCTTTTGAAGGAAGCGATAACTTCGTGTTATTTAATATTTTTGAGTTATTGTCCCTTAAAGCTACATGCCTCCAGATAAGTCAAACTATTTCATTAAAAACTTTAGAAAAATGTACTAAGATGTAAGGAAATGTAAAAAAGTTTCAAGATTCAAGAAATATTTTACATATAATGTGCAATTAATGACTGATTTTTCAGTATATACAACTATAAATATTTCTACTGTACGTGTTACTAATGCAGTAAAGGCTATTTTTGCATATTTTGACCACTTTTTAGCTCGACTTTTCTATGAAAAGGGGAGCTATCCTACTCGCCCCGGCGTCGGCGTCGGCGTCGGCGTTGGCGTCACACCTTGGTTAAGTTTTTCGTACCACCCCACTTTATTTCAGAAGTATTACAAGTATGGCTTTGAAACTTACCATACTTGTTCACCATCATAACCTCCATCTACAGACAAGAGTACATAACTCTGTCAAGGTTTTTGACAGAATAATGGCCCTTTTTTGACTTAGAAAGTGTATTGAGCTTGGTTAAGTTTTTTGTACCACCTCACTTTATTTCAAAACCATTGGAGGTATTGCTTTGAAACTGACCATACTTGTTTACCATCACGACCTTCATCAACAGACAAGAGGACATAACTCTGTCAGGTTTTTGACAGAATTATGCCCCTTTTTGACTTAGAAAATACATTGAATATGGGTAAAATCCACTTATTGCCTTAACCCTTTGAGATATTGCTTTGAACTTTTAATGCTATTTCACATCATTACCCCCATCTGTACGCAAGAGAAGGTAACTCTGTCAAGGATTTGTTTTAAAAATTAAGGCCTTTTATCGACTTAGAATCTTGGTTAAGTTTTTAGTACCAGTCCACTTTTTGACTGAACTGTTTGAGATATTAATTTGAAAGTTGGAATACTTGTTTACAATCATGATTCCCAAACATGTCCAGGAGAAGGTAATTCTGTCAAAGATTTTATTTGAATTATGGCCCTTAACTGTCAATGTTTTGTTTTATAGGCAAGCAGTGTTCAAGGGTATCACACAATTCAGTAAAATAATTCTTCACTAAATATCTTAATGCTCATGGCCATTGTTCACTTTAAAAATACAGAGATTCTTGTATTGCCTTTTACTGCAAAAACTTTTTTTATTGGCAAGCAATAAAAAAGTCGAGCGCGCTGTCTTACGGACAGCTCTTGTTAGTAAAGTACGTGGTTTGTATGTGCCATTGATTATATGTAAACTGGTTCCTTTTGGTTACCTTTTAGCGTGCTGCTTTAACAGTTATATACCTCGTAGCTTTACAATTCTCTGAAATCGGGGATTTTCCTTATAGCCTGTATTATGTAAAGACAATGCAATACAAAAATTTTGAAGCAATGAATTAATCGTTTTAGTCATAATTATCCAATTTTTACATCGCGTGTATACATGTCTTTCACAAGAGCTTAATATATTTCTAAAATAAATTCAAATTAGCTGTCAAAATATAAATCTGTACAAAAATACTACATAGAAATACAAAATACAAAATAACCGTTTGTTCTTTTTATTGAGTCGTGGGACTTAAAATTAATCTACATATAAGATATACATTAGTCATTTCCATACAACGTTTCACACCAATCAGATACCACAGATCTGAGTTTGAGCTAAGAGAATATTTTAATTATAACTTTGGACCCTGCAGTCCTTTTTACAAAACGTCATAAGATTAGGAAAGGGCTGCTGACTCGTAAATAATGCTGATATTCCTTCTGTATTTCAATATGCACAGATATATAATGTCATAAATAATTACTGTTTTACCTCTTGATATAATTATTTTGGCTGATATAAATTATATATATGTGTGTATAATAAACATTATAAACTACAGGTTTGCACGTGGAGAATCATGGAATGGTAGGTAACTATATGTATGACGAAACGTCAGGTAATCACTTTAAACTCTCACTTGATAATGAAGCAAGTTTTGATCCAGCATGGTGGAGCAAATCAGAATCATTCTTCACAACAGCTGAAAAACAGGTGATTATTTTACTACATAATTATAACTCAAAGAATCACGTGCAACAAGTACCGCGTTATAATCTGCAAAATGCATGATGTATGGTTCTGCCAAACTTATATTAAGCAGGGGTCATTGAAACTATTGATATAACATTTGTTATACTGTTGTGCAAAAATATTATTTCAAACTTCAAGTTTCTTCGCAACATGTCCAGTTTTGCGACTCCGTAAAAACGGTATTGCACGGTCGTGCATAATTATGTATTTTGACGTGACATCATTTGCGTTATACAAACATAAAGATTTTGACGTGACGTCATTTGCGTAATACAAACATAGCGAAACCTTGGATGCGCTAAATGTAAGCGTGACTTTATTGGCACGTCAATGCAACAGTTGTTCTTTCTATTATAAACAGTTTTGACTTGGATATGTGATCAAAAGAATATTGAATTTGTATAGCTTTAATTTCTTGGACTCGCCGTATAAAATAATATTATGCTCGCCAGAGGCTCGGATTATATAATTCTGTTCAAATCGTTTAACCTACTTTCATTCAATATCCTCTATTTCTGCATGACCTTTCAAACAAAATTCTATTTGAAAGACCCTGATAATGAGTGTCAGACATAAACCATTTAAAACAACATGATTATTATTGAGTATTTGATTTTGTTATGTAGGGTATACGAACGGGTCTTTATTTCGTGAGAGGATGTAATATAAAAATAAACGGGACTGTTCCAACATTCTGTCTGCCGTATACACATATTCCAACTAGAGAAGAAACAGACTGGGCAATCGCTGATGCTCTTGATAAGATGAGGAACAATAACTTGGATATAGCGTGTATGTATCATACATATTTCTATTATCATTATATTTGTAGAGCGTTTAATATTAAAGCATTTTACGTAGAAAATAAAATCACTATTTCACTGCGGAACATGGATTCATTTTTACTTTAACATATTTATAATGTCTTATTTTTAGTTTCCGTTTTCTTCCAAGGTTTGCATTTTCAATCACCCCTGAGCCACTCTCCTTCCTCCTTCTTTCATCTGTCACACTGTCTTTGTTGTTTTAATCAGTTTTAAATTAAGCAGATTTTTTCAGTGTACCAGTATTATTATAATGGTTTGTAGTCACTGACTGATAAGTTTGAGCCTGTTTGTGGCTCTTTGTGTATTGTGTTGATGTACTTATCTTTATGGTTGTGCTATAGGAGATTTGTTCTTTGAATCTTCCTCTCTTGTACACATGTATACTACTGCATGGTGAAAGAAAATGATGTTTTCCTTCATATATAATATTTTCTGTCAAGCATTGTCCCACTGCACTGTGTACTTGTTAACTATGCAAATATCACTGTATGATATAGTCAGTGTCATGCTGCAGGTTGTCTTTGTAGAAAACCTCTTCTTCTTTGTGTCTCTTGTGTTTTTTTGGTTTACTATCATTATGTTGATAATCTAAATATACCAGAACTTTATGTAGATATTTATCATGAAACTGTGGATTCAATGGGACATTTACATGGTCCAAGTTCAAAGGAAGTTCATGATGCGGTAGAAGAAGTGGACGGTCATGTTGGTAAACTATTGGATATAATAGAAACTAATAAGCAGGTAGATGTAGATGCAATAGTTGTGTCTGATCACGGGATGTCATCTATAGATAGACTTCACAAGATTAATATAACAGAAGCTCTAGATATGGCGTCAATTAAAGAAATTACCGAAGGTGGAACACAAGTCTATATATGGCCACAAGAGGGCAAAGGAAAATATGTAAGATATTTGTTACTGATATATTGTTACTGATGTACACTGTACTGATATATATCATGTATCTATAACAGTAATTTGTGCTTATCTGTCATTAGAAATTTCATTTATCTAAAATGCGTATTGCTCATTATAAGTTTGAAAAAGTCTGAAATCTTTATTACATGTATTATCATTTTAAAAAGCGTATATTTCCTTGTTATTGCAATTTATCTAATTTCCATACTTATATTTACATATGACCAGTTGTCTTTAATAACAAGTCCTGTCATATTATCAAACATGCAATTTGTAATACATGTGCAGGCAAATACATCTTGTTTATCATATTCAGAGATTTGTTTGTATTAATGTTTACAGGTGTATGACAAGTTAAAACTATATCATCGTCACATGCACGTGTACTACAGGGAGGAAATAATAAACAGGTGGTTTTTCAAGAAGCACAGTCTCATTCCACCTATATATCTAACTGTAGATAAAGGATGGTTTATTGTTCATGTTAGTTTCTCTACTGCATGGTATATTTCTAGTTATAATATATATTATATTAGGTTATATTGCCCAGTATATGATGGGTTGCAAGCTTACATAACATGCACCGTAATATGTGTGTTATATCGCAAGTAATCGTTTATATCACCCTTTTGAAAATTACTGCTAGGTTTATATACAGCAGCCATGTATGTATGTATGTATGTATGTATGCATGCATGCATGTATGTATGTATGTATGTATGTATGTATGTGTGTGCGTGCGTGCGTGCGTGCGTGCGTGCGTGCGTATGTATGTATGTATGTGGAAAAAAGGGGGAAACAAACACAGAAAAAACATAATATAAGTAGACTTGCAATGTAATATTGATTTTGTATCAAATACATTTTTATTTATCATTTTTATACAAATACTTGCTAGTTTATTTATAATACATTTTGAGTTTATATGAAATGCTTTTTGAAAAATGAAATGCCAAGAAAATATGATATTTCAATAGGCCCCTTCCTTTACTTTCTTCATAAAATGGCCGTACAAGAAGAATAATTTTGGTGATAATTGTTTTCTCAACTTCAGACATTTAACAACATATATACATCACATCGTTCCAAGTCTCAGAATATTCCTGTTTATACTTCCCGTATATTCCCTAACATATAATTTACCAGCAGACCTTACAGATTTAATGTTATGTGTTATTATTTATTTGAATTACATATTTCTATTTCATAAAGCCGAGATCTCCAACAGGTTATTTTGACAGTATAAACAATATAATGTTAGGTAACCATGGTTTCGATAATGACGATCATGATATGAGATCAATATTTCTTGCTTATGGACCAGGTACGTTCCTCATATCATTTTTTTCTATATTTTACAGAATGTTATCATAAGTATATACAACATTCATACAATTATGGTGGCACAGAAAGGGCACTGGTCAGAGAAATTCGATCTATCACCTGCTCGAGTGTTTTAATCTTTATTCCCATTATATATACCCTAAATTTCCTCATTTTCAACTGGAGAAATAAGAAAATCGGTTTCCTTATTCATTGTATTCAATTTACATGTAGTTTGTATCATATGCACTTTGTTGCGGGATAACAACCATTTGAGAGATTTGAGGACTCAAATTTGATTGAATATAACGATTTTTAATGTAGATGTCTCGTTTCTAAAACCCTTATTTTTCTGATGTGTTTTTTAGTAACATCGAAAAAATGACGTTTTTAGAGTTAAAAAATCGTTACATTCAATCAAATTTGAGTTCTATAAACCTCTCAAAATGGTTTTTATCCCGTGATTTGTAATGCTCGACCAGCCTGCGTTATATGGGACTACTTGCGTGTATAAAAAGGGAAACCGAAAAGGAACAAGTATATTTATATTCAGACTTGCAAAGCATGTCATAACATCGATGTAAATTAATGAAACTAACATTATAAAAGCATATTATTTATAATTTAGTGTTTCCATAAATTCTGAATAATGTTTTAGTTTCAAAATTGATAACGAGACCGTTGTTGTAAAGTGGGTATACATATATTCGCGCCCTTATTGACGTCAAGTGTATTCAAACGCGTGTCATTACAACATGATAAGTCTATGAAAGGGGAAAATTCATTCTATTTCGTTCAAATTCTTGTTGCGGGCTCGTGAGCAATCAACTCGAGTGATATAAAACCATCATTTAATATTCGCTGTTTATCACATTATTGTACAGACAATTAATTTAGGTGAGTGTATTTACTTCCACGTGTGTACGTTGTGCACGTGTCAAACATTATTGGGACACGCGTTAACTGCAAGGGTTAGGGCTGGGATAACCGGATTCGCACGTGAAAGGTAATCCGTGCGCACGTGGTAAATAAAAATGTCCCCTCTGCGCCACATAACGTTAAGTGTTGAAATAAATGTCCTTGCGTAAGCATAGAAGATATAACTGCGGTTAACCAGGAACAGTTTCTTATTTATCTTTGCCTAACGCTTTAAGTGCTGCGTAAATAGTTAGGGTATTTTTTATTGTTAGCGGTAGACCAAACACTTCATTTCAAGATAAATAATTAAATATACATATTTTTTATTTTCAGACTTTAGAAAGAAATATACAGCAAGACCTTTCAACAATGTCAATGTATATCAAATCATATGTCACGTGACAGGTATAAAAGCGAACCCAAACAATGGCACGTGGTCAGATGTGAAGGACATATTTGTGAATCGACATTCAGAACTTTAATATTTACTAAAGCATATCAGCCGCGTCACGACAAAACCAACATAATGGGTTTGCGACCAGCATAGATCCAGACCAGCCTGCGCATCCGCGCAGTCTGATCAGGATCCATGCTGTTCGCTTACAAACACTATTAAAAGTAGAGAAACTGATAGCGAACAGCATGGATCCTGATCAGACTGCGCGGATGCAAATACGCAATACGTTGGTTTTGTCGTGGCGCGGCTCATATAATATGGAACATAGTTTTCCACTTATCCTCAAAGTTGAACTTCGAAGAACTGTGGCAGGAAACGTGCTGTCGGATAGAAAACATGGAACCGTTTCAGCTGCCACGTGGTTACAAAATCATCTCAATGCCTTCCCATACTAATTAACACCTTTTGTATAAAATTGGAACATACCATGAATTATTTGAACCCATTGCTTGTTGTTTTGTTATCATTTTTTTTCGACTTGTACCAAGAAAAACATGTAAAGTTAGAAATTGAGCACTTTTACTGGGAGGAATGTGTTGACAGAGCGGGTGGAAACTACATCATCTCTTTCATTATGATGCCCCAATCAGTCTTCCGTACATCCCAGTGTAACAGCAGTAAGCGTGAAAACATTTTGAAATATCGCAAAAAATAAGATGCAAAAAATAAGATGTAACCGTCATTAAAGAAAAAAAAAATGGCTACAGAAGGTTAAAACATGTTGTAAATAATCCTTTAATATTAAATTTAAACATACTGGTTGATGTGAAAATATTGCAGTTCAAGCCTATTGACTATAACAATATACATAATGTACAGAGAAGCAAAAGATGACTTTAATTTTTTTTGTTTTTTTTTGAAACCGTATCAGGACACCGAGAAATAAAAAAGCCTTTTTGGGTCTTATAGATTTAAGACTGAATTACTTCCTTATTTCGTTACATTTTGTTCATTTGAATCAATCGTTTATTGTGTTAAAGTTATACCTATTAGTTGACAGTGTTATAATGCTTCCGTTAGTTTCGTATCATGAATAATAAAGGGTGTCCCCACTCAAAGCACATTCAACCCTTAGAAATGACTACAGATTTTCTTAAGAGAAGACAATCGTGCGTCTTAAAATATTTCAAATATCGATTTAGACCATGGCAAACGCTTATCATCTGAAAAATGGAAGAAATCTACAGTGTGAAATAATTTGTCATAAAAGTACTTTAGTTTGTTATACAAAACCATACTAAATCACTATAATTTTAATAATGGTTTAAGGGCAAAAAAGCAAGCCATTGTTCACATATGGATCCCATTTTTGATAAAATATTGTAATAAAATAATAATTACTTTTATATTTTGCTGATCACATGCAAAGTGAAGTTCAAAACGTGAACAAATTTCTATGCGTTAAGTTGAAATCGTGAATACGTGAAGTTAAAATCGTGAATTCATGAAGTTAAATGTCCCCGCCGATCTTTCGTAGGTGTATGCCGAAATGTTCCCTAGTTCTTTGTATAAAAAGTTACAACAACTTATCTTAAATAACAGACGACTGTGAAGAATCTAAATTTTTCTTATCATTAATAAATCAATTAGTTAATCAATCAATGAATCGGAAAGTAAATATTTAGTAAAAGATAACATAAATTGCGTCAAGATTAGAAAATAGAAACGTGAAAAAATAACTGGTCAACATACAATGGCGACCATAGCAGATTTAGTCAACTTCGGGATATTGTATGTAACGTTATTTTCATTGCATAATCAAAAGGTAACATTTACAGACTGTTTCAAGCCTAAAATGATTGATATATTTCTCATTTCAATTTCTTATTGAAAAGAAAACAACAATAAAAAAACAAAAAAGAAACAAAAACAAAAAAAGATAAATAAAAATAATATAAAGTAGCATGTCGCGCAGATTAAATAAATCATTCCACCAACATGGTAGCCTAAACAATCTATCTGTACATTGTAAAGCGGGCTGTGCGCAACATTAAAAGCAGGGCACATGGTGCAATCTTAAAACTCCCCATAAAGATATGGTATCCTTGGTAAACAGTTATATTTAACATATAGGTGTATTTTATCTTCCTTTTTGTTGAGCTGTATCGACCGGTTAACAACTTGGTATACAAGCCCAGATACCCGGTTTCGCTACAACTCGTTAAACTTTTAAGATTTATAAATGTTATGCGCGACATATCGATTAAAATAAACTATAAGACCTAATTCGGAATAAAACTTCTAAACTTCCTGGACAGCAAACTAGTTTGTTATTTGAAGGCGGAAGTTATGTAGCATTGAGTTAATCTTTAATCATTTGAAATAGTTATAGTGGTCAGAAACAGTTGTATTTTATGAACATTTGATCAAGCTATATAGAAAAACATGGCTACAAGAATGGATGATGATGATACAATTCAACCAGATCTTGTCCTGCCAGAAATATATACTTTTACGCCTTTAAGGGCTCTAAGAGTAGCTTCACGACGGAAGTTGTCGGGGTTTCTGGATTTGGAAGGAGCTCTTGTTGTAGTTAACCATGAGGGTGGAGACTCCGACGTTGTTAATGACTATAGTGGTTTGGCAGAACTTGCTGGATTTGATTACAACAGTATCATGAACATGAAAAGACAGAAAAGTCCAACTTTTGAATTACTTGAGAAGTGGACAGGCCAGAATGGAACCGTGGGAAATCTATGGACGTATCTATTTTTGATGGAAAGATTTGATGTTCTTGTTGACTGCCGGCGACCAATAAGTAAGTATAGTTTCATATTACATATACTGTATGAAATGAAAATGTTCACTATGTTGAACGTTTAGTTTAACGTTACGGTAACCATACTTAACGTAAAAGTTAACGTAACGGAACCCATGTCCAAATTCTGGTAGATCACTGTGTGCTTTGCTCGTATGTTTAATTGACTTGCATCCATATACACAAAGTATAAAGGGAAAAAAACATACTTGTCAGGTCATAAATGAATCTTGAAACGATGGGTGACTGTCACCAGGCTGTAAAGCTATAATATCTATAACCTTCAAAGTGGATTGAAACATTTCCACAAGTATATCAAATATTGATAACACAATATAAAGATGTGGCTTTTCTATATTCTTATAAAATATTACTGAAAATAGCCACGTCACGACAAAACCAACATAATGGGTTTGCGACCAGCATGGATCCAGACCAGCCTTCGCACCCGCGCAGTCTGATCAGGATCCATGCTGTTCGCTATCAGTTTCTCTACTTGTTATAGGGTTGGTAAGCGAACAGCACGGATCCTGATCAGACTGCGTGGATGCGCAGGCTGGTCTGGATCCATGCTGGTCGCAAACCCACTATGTTGGTTTTGACTTGACACGGCTCATATGTTAACAGAATTCTAAAGAGATTAAGTATGAGCATAATGTATGAAAAATAATGATACTATTTTGTTCTAGCACACTTTGTTATATGTTACAAACAACACTCGTGCATCGTGGTTTGTTTTAATGTCCTATACTAAATACTATCAACGTATTTATTGATGACATAACAGATCTTCTATCATAAACCAGTTCCCTTTGACTTGCTGGAACCGTAAATATTTAACCTTTGTCATCATTAAGAGGCACACCAGCCCGCAAGCCCATGTAGTCTGACCAAGCTTACCTAATCCATTCTTTCTTCTCCAGTATCACAGTTGATTTTTCACTACCCATATTGTTTTGGGTGGTTTGGGATATTAGAGGGGGTGGGGAGGGGGTGCAGTGACCAATCACCGTGCCGGACTTATGTACTTGATATCTTTAAAAATTGATGATAATGAACAATTAAATAATTGATACATGTACCATTAAAAAATTCCGCTGGTTAAGTGATTACTAGGACAATTAGCATGTTGGTGTAATTTCCTGTTTGAAGAGACTATTATTTTACGTTTATAATGTTTATTGTTTAGTTACATGTATATACAACAATAATATTATTCATTGAAAACTAGATTTAAGATTTACATATTGTAACCTGAAAGTTAAAATTAGTAATATCTAAAGTTACATTTATACTGCATTTATTTCATTATGTATGCATTTGTGTAAAATATGTTTTTATTTCCTTTTTTATTTTCACGTAATAGAGCAAAACAAAGATAAATAGTTTTTCAATGACATGTTTGAAATGTGTTTACCATACGCGTTCTCTTTATAATTATGACATAAAATAGATTATATGCTTGATGAACCCTAACCCGTGACAGTTTTGTCGGATCGGTATAATCCATTTTACAAATTTTCTACAATCAAGCTATTGGCGTTCCTGTTACTTTAATAAGAAGATTTGCCTCTAGTATGGCCCTGATGCTCCGTAAGTCCCAAGATATAAAGATACAAAATTTATAAACATTATATTATAAACATAGTGTTTGGACTTATTGTGTTCTTATTAGAACAAGTTTTGCAATACAAAAAAGCAAAAACCAGGAATAGCGCTGCCTTAATGGATGTTTTTTAATGTCACCCCCCCCCCCTTTTTTTTTTAAAGATATCGGTTTAAACATGTTATTCTGAACTGATATCTTTCTCTCTCCGAAGTTATTACTAAATATCTGCAGAACAAAAACAAAATTTGGAAAGATTTCAATTGAAATTACACACTGGAAAAAAACGGGTATTCCCCTGACGAATTCAACTTAAATTTGCCGTATTTTACTCGGTTTTAAAAAGGGTTTAATAATATTGATTATTATAATTACCTTATATCAATGTACAGCGATAATAGTAATTGCAAACTTGAAAAGTATAAATTCAGTTCAGGCATTACATGTGGAACAATGTTGATTGTTACTAAAGAAATTTAAATATTTACTGTACGTGGAAGGTAATTTGAAAGTATAGAAAATTAAGTTTCGCATAGCTACATAATGTCGATGTTGTTATGAATGGAGTAGCTACTTAAAAAACAATACTTATTCTTAAATTCTTTTAACAACTAGGTTAAGATTTTAAAAGTGTTTAAATTAAATGTAAGTACAGTATATAACCATGACTAGCGTGTATACATGTTTTATCATGCAAACATGTATATATAAATAGAAGAAGGTTTTAAAATCATTGATTCCATCACTTTTAGTGTTGAAAATTGAGTACCGCTCAAGCCGGTGATAGGGGGCCGGTGATAGGGGGCATTAGGGATTTTGCACTTATTAAATTCTTTGTCCCTCGTGTACATACTTAGTCAAACAGAGTCTGCAATTTTCATGTAATTTTGTTGTGATTAATGCTTCCGAGGGATCACGTTTTCTCCATATTTTAGACCCATCAAAATAACATCATGTCAAAGCTACTAAATATTCATACAAGCAATATAATGTTCAAAGAAGCAACATAATGTACAAACAGGCAATATCATTGAATGTAAGAACAAGCAACTCAATGTAAAAACTCGCTACAAAATGTATATAAAAAAAGAACAAGCAACATGTCCGCATGATGTATCAATAGGTAACATTATGTTATAAAGAAGAACAGAGCAGAACAGATTTTATTATACAATATGACTTGATTATAACAGTTCCTTATCATGACACATATATGAATCATATACCTGTATATATACAGCGTGAGTGAAATTACAAACATACATATAATATTTGGCATAATATCAGTCATATACATTATTCATGTAGCATATAATGTATTAAATGGTAGCGAAAATTACATAAAGGGAGTAAAATACACAAACAAACAAGCGATGTCAGATATTAACATGGGACATGGTTTGGAACAAAAAATCTGAAAGATTTGATTAATTTCAAACAGAAAAAAAACAATTAAGTGATTTATATTTTAGTAAAAGACTGTGAGAAATATGAAGAAAATCTGCAGCTAGCAGAAGATGCCGAAAGATACAGAATAGAACAAGATCCTACAGGTATGAATAAATTATATATCACAATAAAAAATGTCATTTATTGTATACAGATCAAATTGCCGATCGATGGACCATATCAATAAAGGAATGTAAATTTTCTCCTTAATTTTCTTTTGATAATTTAAGTACTTACCTATTGTCTTGTTACACGGAGCAAAGGTTCGGCCATAATATAGATGGAATAATTGCTGATCCTTCCTAATTGTTTGTACATGAACATTTGAGCCGCGTCACGACAAAACCAACATACTGCGTTTGCGACCATCATGGATCCAGGCAGCCTGCGCATTTGCGCAGTCTGATCAGGATCTATGCTGTTCGCTTACCAACTCTATTACCAGTAGAGAAACTGATAGCGAACTGCATGGATCCTGATCAGACTGCGCGGATGCGCAGTCTGGTCTGGACCATGCTGGTCGCAAACCCATTATGTTGGTTTTGTCATGACGCGGCTAATTTGTATCTTTCTTATTTTATGGCTTTGGTGTAAGTGATGACTAAAGTTTGTTTCACGTTACAGTTACAACATCCGAGATGAGGGTTGACGAGACGAAATTTGCAACAAGAGGAGATGGTAAGTCTATTAATATTTTCTTTATCGTTTTGGCGGTTTTGTTGTTGTTGTTGTTGATGATGATCATGATGATGATCATGATGATGATGTTGTTGATGATGATGTTGTTGTTGATGATGATGATGATGACGATAATGATGATGATGATGCTGATTTTGTTGTTGTTGTTGTTGTTGTTGATGATGATGATGATGATGGTGATGTTTTGTTGTCGTCAAAATGATGACGACAACCACGCCCATGACAATGATGATGATGACGATGAAGATGATGATGATGATGATGATGATGATGATGATGAATAAAGTGTATAACTAATAACTTTTTGATACATATCTTACTGTTGGCGAAATACCTTTTGTACACATATATGCATGTATATCTTAGAAGTTTTCCACTTTATGTGTATTATATCTTTGATTTTTTTTATCCAATTTACTCCATTTAACAACAAATATTACTTTTATAGTTATGACCGGGAAGAAAACATTTTATGACGCCTTCATCTGTTGGTCATCTGAGGACGAGAAAGACCGCCAATTTCTGTATGAAATGATAAATGAGCTGGAAGTTAAACGAGGGCTAAAATTGTTTGTACCTGGAAGAGACGACCTGCCTGGTTCAGCTGAACACACAATCACAGCTTATCTCATAGAAGCCAGGTAAGTTCATCTTCTTTTAAATGTTCAATGAACGTACAAGTGGGGTTTTCTTCTTCAAGAGGTACAAATTTGTATATATCATGTTTAGTTTTTTAACAAATACCAGTTAAGTAAATACTTAAATAGTAAATACGAGTAATATATACAAAATAAATGCGAATCGTCGCCAAATGAGAAACAGATTTACTATCTGATTAAAGCACTAATTAGGTTCATACATGTAATGCTTTAGTAATGACACTTCAGTTACTTTTACTCAACTTCGTTTTTTTTCCGGGGGAGGGGGGAGGGGTTGGGCTTCACCTTAGGAGAGGTTATTGGATTTATTTCGTCTTTCATTTATTTCATATTTCGTAATCACTCTGATTTATTGCGATTATAGATTTTAGAAAAAACTTTGTTTAAACATAATTGTCCTGAACATACTTTTCATTGCTTTATTTTTTTCAATACTACGAAAATGTTTTTTTATAATGATCTTCATACGCATACTTTAGATATATTTTTTTATATTCTGTGTTTTCAGATGCCGTAGAGTGGTGATACTGATGTCCAGAACGTTTTTGCAGAGTTCTGCGTGTGACTTTCAGGTGAAATTCGCTCATGCTCTAGCACCAGGTAAGATTGCTATTCTACCAAAATCTATGAACAAATTTGCCTTACAATGCGAAGATAATCATAGAATTCAATTGACCCATTCTTCTTTTAATGAGCTTGGAGTACATATAAGTCTTAAAGATAATGTTTTTATTTTTATTTCAGGTGCAAGAAGCAAAAAACTTATACCAGTTATCCGTGAAAAAAATACACCAATACCCAGAATCCTTCGCTTTCTGGCATTATGTGACTTCGGCAAGTCCGACATGGTTGAATGGGTTTGGGACAGACTTTCTACAGCCATAATTGCGCCAATAGGACCAAACACATATTTTGAACCGGAAGATGAGCACAATCCATTTGAACAGAGTGATGAAAGTTTAAAAGCTATAAGATTTCCAACACCCAGGCGTCTAGATGAGCATGATGAGAGATCGGTTAATTCCGGAGCCGAACGCATACCGACAAATGTAAGCAATAGGTCCCAATTGAGAGCGCCAACAGAACACGGTATGTCTTCAGAGGTACGGGGCCAACCAACATCCAATTATCAATCTCTTTCTTCATCTCCCACAACTTTTACTGATCACACCAAGAAGGGGGCAACTAATAAATCAAAGACCGCTACATCACAAAAGCCAAGCAAAAAAGATAAGAAACGCGAGTCAGGCAGCATGTTCAATAAATTTAAAGAAAAATTTGTGTGATCTCATTTGTACATTAAAATCAGTATTGAAAAAAACCTTTTAAAGAAGTAATTTTGTTTATTTATTTTTCCATTTCTCATCGATGCTATGTAGTCAAGCTCAATCAATCTGATTTATGATTTAAACACTTTTTGTGAATCATTGCAGAGCATTTTGTATGAGCGTTCTAGATGACGATACAAATGACGTCAGATACACACCAAGAACAAAACAAACAACATTATTTTATGTGTTCGTTGTTCTAGCCAGACTCATTAACTACAAAAAATGAAAATGTTTACATTATATATGTTGTTCCTGTTACAAATTTAAACCTAAAAATAGCTAGAGCTTTAGAGCAGGGGATTAATACTAGGAGGGTTTTTACCTCGTTTTAAACGTATAAGTAGTTATTAAAGCTAGTTCTATATTTGTATTTTGTAAATTATATTTTATCATATGTTCAAGTTGATTTTCTGTATGCATTGCCATTTAAAGAGAGAATTGTTTAAAGACACATCATGCCTCGGAAAAGAATATTTTTTTTCATTCTGCAAATAGGATAAATATGTGTTGTAATAATGTATTTAAATCATGTGAGATGTTTATCATCTGATGAAACAATTAAGTATGTTGACTTGCATACAAAATATTTTTAATCACTATAGCTGTACTCATTGCGTAAACGCAAAAGAAGCGAACTATGTCTCAGCTATACGGCTAATAAATAACCGTTTTGAAACTTTAACAGGACACTATCAAAAAATAAAAATGATTGCATTTCTGAGGCTTTATGGACCTGTAAGAGAGTGGTAGTGATGTAGCTATGACAATACTACCATGTCAATGTGCTACTTAGTTAATTATGCTTAGATTATTTCTTAACAGTTTTGGTGAATAAGGAAGAGTTTAATTACACGGTGGTGACTGTATGAGTCATGTCATGATTTTACACGTGAGCACGTGACACAGTATCGGTAAGGACGCTGGCAGAACATCGTTGAATTTAAGACCGTTCACAGCTTGTCATTATGAAGGAAAATGAATTAACTAAACACTATTTTAAGAAATAAAAATTACGTGTATTAGAACAGTTTTTTTTTGTCTCACTTAATCAGGATGAGGTCTTACTCTCTTCAATTTGGGAAATTGCTAATATCGGAAGAGAAAGCTAGAGTATGTTCTGATTTTTTGGGAAAACAAGCATGAATTTAAAATAATTTCCATTTAAAAGGGGCGTTTTATAGGCCACTGTTATATAAGGTAAAAACAACTGTTTAAAGTGTAAAGCTATTAAGCATAACTTGAATAAGACAACAACTATCAGATCGTGATCAAGTGTTTTTAAGTGATTCACCTAGTATTGTACAGTTCCTTATTGTGTCAGTATGATAACATAGTAAGTTATTTTATAAGTGAGCCGCGTCACGACAAAACCAACATAATGGGTTTGCGACCAGCAAGATCCAGATCAGCCTGCGCAGTCTGATCAGGATCCATGCTGTTCGCTTACAAACCCTATAACAAGTAGAGAAACTGATAGTGAACAGCATGGATCCTGATCAGACTGCGCGGAGGCGCAGGCTGGTCTGGATCCATGTTGGTCGCAAACCCATTATGTTGGTTTTGTCATAACATGGCTCAAGTGTCTTTGATGAGGATTGAATCAAAAAAATTAATATCAACCAGAAAACTGTAAGTGTCAAGTGATTCAGTCCATGTTGGCGACTTTTTCACAAGACCAACAATTGCTAAAATCACTCATGTTAACATTGCCTTTCAGAATCAAATTTATAAACATGTAGAGTGTATATTGCCTTTTTTGTTGTTTTATTTTAAATAAAGTTTACGAAAAACAGGATTTCTTTTGGGTGTTTTATATTGGTAACCGGTATAGATGTTGAGGTCTGAAGTACATTGCTAAGGTGTTGACTGATAGATGATGAGGTCTGAAGCAACATTGCTGAGGTGTTGACTGATAGATGTTGAGGTCTGAAGTACATTGCTAAGGTGTTGACTGATTAATGTTGAGGTCTGAAGTACATTGCTGCATGAGGTGTTGACTAATAAATGTTGAGGTCTGAAGCAACAGTGCTAAGGTGTTGACTGATTAATGTTGAGGTCTGAAGCAACATTGCTGCATGAGGTGTTGACTAATAAATGTTGAGGTCTGAAGCAACATTGCTGATGTGTTAACTGATAGATGATGAGGTCTGAAGCAACATTGCTGAGGTGTTGACTGATAGATGATGAGGTCTGAAGCAACATTGCTGAGGTGTTGACTGATAGATGATGAGGTCTGAAGCAACATTGCTGATATGTTGACTGATAGATGATGAGGTCTGAAGCAACATTGCTGAGGTGTTGACTAATAAATGTTGAGGTCTGAAGCAACAATGCTGAGGTGTTGACTAATAAATGTTGAGGTCTGAAGCAATATTGCTGATGTGTTAACTGATAGATGATGAGGTCTGAAGCAACATTGCTTCATGAGGTGTTAACTGGTAGATGATGAGGTCTGAAGCAACATTGCTGCATGAGGTGTTAACTGATAGATGATGAGGTCTGAAGCAACATTGCTGAGGTGTTGACTGATAGATGATGAGGTCTGAAGCAACATTGCTGATGTGTTGACTGATAGATGATGAGGTCTGAAGCAACAGTGCTGAGGTGTTGACTGATAGATGATGAGGTCTGAAGCAACATTGCTGAGGTGTTGACTGATAGATGATGAGGTCTGAAGCAACATTGCTGAGGTGTTGACTGATAGATGATGAGGTCTGAAGCAACATTGCTTCATGAGGTGTTAACTGATAGATGATGAGGTCTGAAGCAATATTGCTGAGGTGTTGACTGATAGATGATGAGGTCTGAAGCAACATTGCTGATGTGTTGACTGATAGATAATGAGGTCTGAAGCAACATTGCTGAGGTGTTGACTGATAGATGATGAGGTCTGAAACAACATTGCTGAGGTGTTGACTGATAGATGATGAGGTCTGCAGCAACATTGCTGAGTTGTTGACTAATAGATGATGAGGTCTGAAGCAACATTGCTGAGGTGTTGACTGATAGATGATGAGGTCTGAAGCAAAATTGCTGAGGTGTTGACTGATAAATGTTTGAGGTTTGAAGCAACATTGATGAGGTGTTGACTGATAGATGTTGAGGTTTGAAGCAACATTAATGAGGTGTTGACTGATAGATGATGAGGTTTGAAGCAAAATTGCTGAGGTGTTGACTGATAAATGTTGAGGTCTGAAGCAACATTGCTGCATGAGGTGTTGACTGATAAATGTTGAGGTCTGAAGCAACATTGCTGAGGTGTTGACTGATAGATGATGAGGTCTGAAGCAACATTGCTGAGGTGTTGACTGATAGATGATGAGTTCTGAAGCAATATTGCTGAGGTGTTGACTGATAGATGATGAGGTCTGAAGCAACATTGCTGAGGTGTTGACTGATAGATGATGAAGGCTGAAGCAATATTGCTGAGGTGTTGACTGATAGATGATGAGGTCTGAAGCAACATTGCTGAGGTGTTGACTGATAGATGATGAGGTCTGAAGCAACAGTGCTGATGTGTTGACTGATAGATGATGAGGTCTGAAGCAACATTTCTGAGGTGTTGACTGATAAATGTTGAGGTCTGAAGCAATATTGCTGCATGAGGTGTTGACTGATAGATGTTGAGGTCTGAAGCAACAGTGCTGAGGTGTTGACTGATAGATGATGATGTCTGAAGCAACATTGCTGCATGAGGTGTTGACTGATAGATGTTAAGGGCTGAAGCAACAGTGCTGAGGTGTTGACTGATAGATGATGAGGTCTGAAGCAACATTGCTGAGGTGTTTACTGACAGATGATGAGGTCTGAAGCAACAGTGCTGAGATGTTGACTGATAGATGATGGGGTCTGAAGCAACAGTGCTGAGGTGTTGACTGACAGATGATGAGGTCTGAAGCAACAGTACTGATTTATTGACTGATGGATGATGAGGTCTGAAGCAACATTGCTGCATGAGGTGTTGACTGATAGATGTTGAGGTCTGAAGCAACAGTGCTGTGGTGTTGACTGATAGATGATGAGGTCTGAAGCAACATTGCTGAGGTTTTGACTGATAGATGATGAGGTCTGAAGTAACATTGCTGCATGAGGTGTTAACTGATAAATTTTAAGGTCTGAGGCAACATTGCTGATGTGTTGACTGATAGATGATGAGGTCTGAAGCAACAGTGCTGAGGTGTTGACTGATAGATGATGAGGTCTGAAGCAACAGTGCTGAGGTGTTGACTGATAGATGATGAGGTCTGAAGCAACAGTGCTGAGGTGTTGACTGATAGATGATGAGGTCTGAAGCAACATTGCTGAGGTGTTGAGGTCTGAGGCAATTATTCGAATGTGTTGACCGGTAGGTGTTGAGTTTGAAGCAACTTTGATAAGGTGCTGCCAGATGTATATGTTGATGTCTGAATTAACATTGTTGAGGTGTTGACTGGTAGATGTTAAGGTTTGATTCAACATGGCAAATGTTGAAGCATGAAACAACTTTGCTAAGGTGTTGAACGATATATGTTGAAGCTTGAAGCAACTTTGCTAAGGTGTTGGACGATTTTAATGTTGAAGCATGAAGCAACTTTGCTAAGGTGTTGAACGACATATGTTGAAGCATGAAGCAACTTTGCTAAGGTGTTGAGCGATATATGTTGAAGAATGAAGCAACTTGGCTAAGGTGTTGAACGATATATGTTGAAGCATGAAGCAACTTTGCTAAGGTGTTGAACGATATATGTTGAGATCTGAAGCAATATTGCTAATGTGTTGACTGATAAATGTTTAGGTCTGAAGCAATATGGAACGGTATAGATGTTGAGGTCCGAAACAACATTGTCTAGGTGTTGATCGGTGAGGTCTGAAGCAACATTGCTAAGGTGTAAACCGGTATAGATTTTGAGGTTTGAAGCAACATTGCTAAGCTGTTGAATGGTAAGTTTTGAGGTCCGAAAGGAACATCGCAAAGGTATTGACTGAGAAATGCTTATGTCTGTCAAAGCAATATTGGTAAGGTGTTAACAGGTAGATATTGAGTTTTGACAGCCAGTTCAAAGGTGTGGAGCTGTTGGTGTTAAGGCTGTAGCACTATTGCTTAGGTGTTGACCGGTAGACGTTGAGTTACGGGCAATATGGTTTAGGGTGTTGACCGATAGAAGTTGAGTTTGAAGTACTTTATTTCTTAGGTATTGATAAGCAGGTGGTAGTTGTCAAGTTTGAAGCACAATTCCTTATGGTGTTTACCAATATGTGTTAAATTAAATATCTCTGATTCTAAGCACCATTGCTTCCGATGGATGTTGAGCTTAGCTATTGCTACACAGCAAACACAAGACGCCACACTGACGTCAGATTAAGTCAGGTTCTTACGTCGGATGACGGTTGGAAAAATGGTTGGACTTTCAGGTAGACGCCAGAATCTTACAATTATCAAACCATTTTCCGACCTCAATCTGATGTATTGAGATCTTAAGAAAAGTAAAAAGATTCAATATCTAATTAATTATTCGCATGTTATGTGCGATAAATGACTGCTTATGCAGTATCAAGATTTCACTATAATTCTACTGCGTTTTTAACGCAGTAAGATGTGTTTATGTATATTTTTACCTTTTTTGGTAATTAACGTGGATTATTAAGTCCCGTAAATTACTTTCTTTGTTCACTTCAAAATATTTTACATTTTTAAAATTGTCATGAAAATTAGCATGAATCCGGAGCTATGCTGCTTGGTCTTTAAGTTTCTGAGTAAAATTTTTAGTCACCATGTCCGCATAACTCCAGATAATCATTTCTGGATCCGTTGCTTATTAATGGAATACATATTCTTGGAAAAAAGGATTAAAAATATACGACCACGACGAGACTCGAACTCGCAATCTTCTGATTCGAAGTCAGACGCCTTATCCATTAGGCCACGCGGCCGTCGATATTAATCGAAGAACAGCTATAGTATTTATACCAATTTTTCGCTTATCCCAATTGGATAATAATAATTTGTAAATGTTTAATTGATATTGACTTTAGTAATTTCTGTTTCCAAAAGTAACAGAAACATTTACATAAATAACGTTTTCCAAAAGCATTTCACGTCTCATACGTAAACACATCTTTCCGGAATTTTCCGTCAAACTCCGACGAAGTACCGAGTGATCATATGACCTAATTTTCAACCGAAGTGTCCCAGTTTTATTTGGTATGCTTCGGATATGTTCGTTATATAAATCAAGAAATCATGGGGCTTACTGGTGATCATGATTGCCCTGAATATTGTACTGATTTATACCATTGCATAAGGCAAATGAGTATTTGATACTGTACAATAAGTGAAAGGATCGGTGAGAGCTTCTAGTTCTAGAGCTCTAGAATGGCTCAAAATTATGTGGACTGGCCATCATCCTCAGATAGTGAATTTAATGATGACAATTCGGAGGATTTGTCACACAGTGAACTCGAAGTGTTGCCAAAATATCTTTCAGAGGATCCGACGTCTTGGAAATCTATTCAATTAAGTCACAATTGTTTCGTGGCGTTTCCTGGCGAATTGGGAACATTTCTTAATCTAATAAACCTTGATATTAGCAACAATGGTTTGACATCAATTGGGATGGAAATTCTGCATCTACAAAGCCTGACTACATTTACTGCAAGAAATAACCTACTGGATGAAAACTCTTTGCCTAAAGATTTTGGACTTGTCACTTCTTTAGAGACATTGAATTTCAGTGGCAACAGATTCACGGACTTCCCCATGCAATTGACAGAGTTGAAGAATTTAAAAACATTACACATAGGTGCAAATAACCTGAAGTCTATACCTGGTGCTATAAAAGGCTTGTCAAAGTAAGTATCATTATTGTTTTCATTCATTATATGCACATTATATATTATATGTGCCTATTTGCGTATTCTTTTTTTTTTGTCTCACAGGGCATGACCTTTTGATAACTAGGAGCCTCACCTTTATGATTTTGTAAGTTTGTTCTTGGAACATGCTGCATACTAAGTTGTCTATTACTACATGTAGTTATAAATTTGCATAAATTATGACAATATACCAAGCTCACATGTACTCCCAATTTACTCTTTATTGTATTACCTAATTACAATGTATTTGACCCTTTAACAGACTGTTTTTCCAACTGTCAAACCTTTTTAAAAGACATTTCCTATTCAAAAGATATCTCCATGTCTCTTTGACAAGTCTTAGATTAGTTAGAGTATCGTGAGTATGTATAATGTAAAATCATGATACAGATAGTCTAACCAATTTTTCTCCTGTGGAACAATTTCAGGTTGGAAGTGCTGTATTTGGGAGGAAATTCATTACAAGAAGTTCCAGCAGAGCTCGGCACTTTACATCGAATGACCTCTCTTGTTCTCTGTGATAACCAGCTGCACAGTCTACCACCAACATTCTCACATCTCAGGAAACTACGCTCACTCAGTCTACACAACAATCGGTTATCTACATTACCTCAAGAAATAGTTGCCCTCAACTTGAAGGAACTTAGTCTTAGAAACAATCCACTTGTTAATAGATTTGTACAAGATCTAAGCTTTGATCCCCCATCTTTAATGGAACTAGCTGGTCGAGTCATCAAAATTGACCGGGTCAAGTATTCAACTGCTGATTTGCCAGTTCACCTTGTGAAGTACCTGTCTTCTGCTGAAAGATGTGTCAATCCAAAATGCAAAGGTATAATAATTGAGCTGTGTCACGACAAAACCAACATAGTGGGTTTGCGATCAGCATGGATCCAGACCAGCCTGCGCATTCGCGCAGTCTGATCAGGATCCATGCTGTTCGCTATCTGTTTCTCTACTTGTAATAGAGTTAGTTAGCGAACAGCATGGATCCTGATCAGACTGCACTGATGCGCAGGCTGGTCTGGATCCTTGCTGGTCACAAACCCACTATGTTGGTTTTGTCTTGTCATGGCTCATATCAATTTATATGATATACATCGAACATGTGTATAAACTATGTAGAAAGTATTTAAGGTCTATTTTCATTTTGTAGTTATTCCAAGTATAAACTTTAATAAAGGCTAGCAGTCCTCTGTTACAATAAGCTATATATAAACCATACTCAAGACCATATGGAAATTAAGGACACCACACTATTAATATAAGATCAATTTTAATCTTATATCAAGCTTCTTCAAATTTTGTTCTGCTCTTATCACAATAGATATTATAACATCTCTCAGTATATAACGGTTATGATACATATTATTTGAATATGTTCAAACATAATGACCAAAATGGAATATGGTCATAAAATGCATATAAATTATAATGCCTTCGTAATAATGTATACTTATGTGACCATCCTGTGACCACTTTGATCTAGTCCCTTTGATGGTCTTTATAGAGCGTTTTTTTACTGTATTATAAAGAAAATATACAGAAATAAAGGCTAATTTCTTTTGGAAGGTTTTTGAAGTTAAATAACTTAGCATCATTACATTTTAATCAGTGAAAGGTAATTTACATTCTGAATAACAGTGTATAAAATTTAAAGATTGTGATTTGTTTTACAGGTGTGTACTTCAGCTCTAAAGTAGAGAATGTGAAGTTTGTAGATTTTTGTGGCAAGTATCGTCTTCCCCTGTTACAGTATTTATGCTCACCACAATGTTCGTACACGTCTGTGTGTAGTGACAGTGAAACTGATGATGAGGATTCTGCAAGAAGCAAGATGAAAAAAGTTTTACTGGGTTGATTTTCAAAATATTCTTAAATTTTTGTGTTGGGAAAGCTGAGATACTGAGGGCTTGGTGCCAAAAAAATTGTAACTTTTACAACTTCAAAAATAAACTAAGCCTTCTGTATTTTCCACATTCAATGTTTTACTAGTTGTAAAATTTTATGATGGAATTTGTTGCTATTGAAACCAAAATGTTTGCAGTGGATGTTATTTTGCTGTGATCCTGCAACCTTTTAAATTTTATTTTATTTTTAATTTCCCATTTGACATATATTATCATTCATCTGATACTACAATGTATGGTGTATAGTTAATTAGTTATAGAGCCAAGCTTAGCAACCCTTACTTGCTGCAACGGAAAGTGATGAGCCTCTACCACCAACTTCAGTTTTCATCTTATTGATAAAGGATAGACTCTAGTTCCTAAAATAGAAATGAGCTTATTCCATCTAAGAAATTCAGCAGGTTAAAAAGTACACCCTTAACCGGCTTATTCTTTGAATATCAGAAAAGGAAAATTTAAGTTGATCAGCTAATAGTAAAGAGCCTGGTGAAACTGCGTCCGTGGCCGAGTGGTTAAGGTCATTGACTTCAAAATCCTTGACAGGGCCCTCACAGCTGTGGGTTTGAATCCTGTCAGGGACTATGGATTCTTTCATGTGAGGAAGCCATCCAGCTAGCTTACACAACGGCACATGAGGTATTTCTTCACCAGTAACGCTCGAAAGTTGTCATATGACCTTTACTGTATTTGTGCAACATAAAAAAACCCAACCAAAGAAAAAGAAACTGCACAGATGTGCCGCATAGCCATACTCTATATGGCCATACTATGGGTGGCAAAGGCTTATCAATTCCAAATCTAGCAGGTCGAGGGTATAGAGCAGCTTTGGTTTAATGTACTGGTACATCACTGATTTTACACTGTCTCTAATATTTTAACATACAGAATTACAGATTTTGAACATGTTCAATGTTTTTGACAACCTATGTAATAAGACAGATTAAATATTTTTGTGCGTTTTTTGAAGAATTTACTTTACAAATTGGAATAATCAAATTTTTAAAGATTTCAAACTGTGATGAATTGGTAAACATTGACTTATTTAGAATGATATCATCTGATCTGAAGCCGTTACAGTTTTTTTTTATAATTATTTATAATAGAATATTTTAATTTGTCATGTGAGAGGGAGTTTTACACAGAGACACCTTTCATGTAGGTTATAGGTAATATACAGAGTTTTAAGAAATTAATTTTCGAGTGAACTAAGTGAAGCCAGAAAATTAGTTTCTTAAAACTCTGTATATAACCTATAACCGACTTACAGTTAGCTCCGCCCATTCAAATTGAGTGGCATTATGTTAATTGGCGGAGTCCATTAAATCAGCTCATTTAACGTATAAATTTTAAATTTAATACATAAAAAGTTGAGTTACAGCACTGTATGGTAAATACTTTGGCAAAATTTAAACAAAATAGAGCCATTTCATTGGCAGACAAACTGTAAATACTTATTAACGGTATGTAATCATTAATTATAAAATTAAACATTTTTCATTTCCGTTATATAACAGATATGCGTTAATTAAAATAAACAACTTTTACTGTTTTGTGTAATACCATTACTACATACCGGTATTTAATAAGTTGTTATAAGTGGTGTTTCTATTTAAAAAAAAACAGCGATACATTGTTCTTAATCATTGTAATCATCTATTGTAGTAAGAATTTACAAAAGGTATCAATTTATACAGTAGGGCAAATTTTATTTTTTCTATTACTACATATAAAGGAAAAGATATTATACTAAGTTGGTGCTAATCAAATTTTTGTATTATATTGCTTTTTTAATTATAATTTAGACTAATATAGAGGCCTAGTTATTTTATTCTGATGGCATTACTTTAAAGTAAAGGAAAACAACAACAACAACATCTAAGGCATTCCATATCATAGAGGGCATTTATATACATGTATACATGAACATATGATATATCACTGTACTGTGTTATTATCATTTTTTTTTTGTAAATGACCTATAAAGAGTAAATAATGTTGGCTTATTTGCTGAGAAATGTTTACATGGATCTCTCATAGATCATCATCAATCATTCATAAAGGATATGGACATTGGTAAATTATAAGTGATATGGGAACTGGTTACTCATAAGTGATTTTTACTCATATGTGATATGGACATTGGTTACTCATAAGTGCTATGTGCAGCAATAAGTTTCTAAAATTTACATATTATAGAAATTGTTTACTCGTTTATGGTATGATAATGAATTTGTTATAGAATTTGATGATTCATTAGTAAAGCCGTGTTACCCATAGATTATTAATTTGTGATATGTTGATATAGACAGGTTTTCTCATAGATTTTGGTAATGTGGCCATGAGTTACCCACTCATGGATACAGACATAATTTACCAATAGTTTATAATGTATGAACATAATTATTTTACTCATAGGTGAAATGGACATAGCTTTCTCATACAATGTAGGTGTTATGGTATTGTTTACATAAGTTTTCCCTTAGGTTTTCTCATAGAAATGACGGTTTTATCATGGAACAAGGATAATAATTAAATGTTATTTTACTCGTTTCCTGATGTGATTCATACACGGGTACTTTCTATTAACATACTTATATAATCACATTTTGTTTGTAATATTGCTGGTAAATGGGGGCTGTGTGCAATAACAAGTTTCAATATTTTGGTGGAAGTTACAGACATGAAAATATTTCTTTTTATAATAAAAGATTTTATGATGATAATTGTACGTACATAATATGTATACATTTATTACAATGAATAGTAAGAAAATTAATTTTTTTCTTACAGAAATCAAGAATTAATATGAGAGTATTTAGGGGTAGTTTTTGAAATTTTATTGTTTAGGTTTAGAGGGGTTCTAGGATTTACTGGCATGATCGGTCTTGCATTTATTTTGAAATTTATCTACTGATAATTCATATAAGGTTATACAGTAATTAATGATCTCTTTACTTATTATTTATGATGCCATTCTTTGCTCTTGTCAGGTCCCCAGCTTGATAGAAATTCGATGTACTGTCAAATATACCTCTGACACTTGCATGCTGATAAACATTTCTGCTAAAAATGTTGCATGTATAATTTTTGAATTCTGCTCAATTCTTTTGAAATCAACAAAAAAACACACAAAAAACACAAAGTAAATCAAAGGGTAACTGCTAAACCTTCCTGGTACCTGACAATACTATAGAGCATATGGTGTTTGATGTGGTACTAAGCTATTGCAAATTTTGCCATTTAGACTATTGTGATCACTACTTACAAGCTGTTGATTGTGTTGTGTTGAACTTAATATTCCTCTTTTCCCGTATTATATTAGAATTTCCTTTTTAAACCCTAGTAAAGAAATTTAGTATTATTTCTAGTTATTCTAACACAGTAATTAGAAATCATGTAAATCACAGTATTAGACGGTGATTAATTTTGTTATAAATGTATTTGGTATTTCAAGACACAATATCAAACATGATTTACATATATTGAACATTACATTGTAAGATTCTTTTTTTTGTATACATGTATATATAATAAGGTTTTACGTCATATGTATAATAAAAAGATATATAAACAATTACAGTTTTATGTTGTATTTCTAAAGGTCAGTGTACTGGACATGTTCATTATACTTGTACTTGTTGAATTATTGTGAAACATTTGATACAAAAAGTCCAAAAAAAAACCCTGATATTTTATCTAAGAATCGTCCGTTCAGCACAATTGTTAGAGCATTGGACTGTGAATCAGATGTGCTGGTCGTTTTGGTCTGATCATGAAATCATTTCCATGGTCATTCATGCTTAACTCAGCTCTGGCATGCACTTGTACTGAAAGTGAAGGCAACTGCTACTGGTAAATTTCTTGACAGCTGGCGCCAGAGAATAACGTGGTGGCTGAACTGTGCTCTGCTGAAAATCAAAATGGCTAACTGCAGTGATCTGGAGGGTAAACTACAAGTACCATTAATTATCAATAATAAAACCATAAACTCCATTTATCTATAACAGACCTCGTACACATAATTATTAAAACTGTGCATGGAGTCTATGATAGGTAATTGACCTGGTGTTTTGCATAATTGTCAATAATCATATACAGTATGTATAATAAAAGTTAATACATTTTATTGCTAAAGTAGGTCATTGTTATAAAAAAAATGTTATTTCAAGTGGAAATTTTAACATTGGCAAAACATGCCAGTTTTTTTTTCAAAATGTTAGGTTATTTGTGACATGTATACCCAAAATAACTTGTTTATAGTTCCTGCCCCTTCATACCTCCAATAACTGATCACCACTATGGTTAAATCAAACAGGAATAAATCAATGAATAGTTTGACTAAAAACAACAACAAAAGTTTAATACCGTTTGTTTGTATCTGACAGTCATGTGACCAGGAAAAAAAACTGTCATCTTTCACACTTAAAACACTAACTTTACAATATGTATACAATAAGTAGTATCTGATGAATTAAAATATAACTGGTGTGCCACTGGAATAATGAGGAAGTGTGCTATTTATAGTTCTGATGAGTATTTAAGTGCTGAAAGGCCCATTATGCACTAGAAATCCTTATATTTTTATTTCTCAAAATCTTTCATCCCGTTATAATTTTTAAATAGTTACTTAATTGCCAATTACCTAATACTATCTTTTGCTTCTGTCACCTTTTAGTAATTTACTAAATATTAAGTTAAAACAATTTTGTATGAAAGTCAAATACAACTTGTTTCAATTTTGCTAAAACTATTATTTCAACATTATAAAACTCATTTTTTCTTTCTAAAGAGAGAAAAAAAATACTTGTTTCTGAGGCATGCTGTGCCTTTAATAAGTTCAATGATATCAGTTATTACACTCCTTGGTTACTAGGCAGATAATGTCATTAGTTACACATCCAATAGATATCTATGTAAATTGACCTGTGGTGTGAAAAAACATAATAGTGATTAAGATAACAAATAAGTTGGTTTAGTTTCTGAATATACATGTATAACATAAATAATATTGTTAAATTGGTAAACAATTACTCATTAAGGGTAATATACATGTACTTCTGCGTAAATGATTACAAGAATATGTTCATCACTTTGATAATACACCAGGTATCTCATCTTACTGCCTTTAATTAACACATAACCTTGTCTAGATAGCCAGATACTTGTTTTACTATGGATCACCTTGATTCTTTCAACAGAATCTCATCTTACCTACTCTCAGCACCTTGACAACATATCCTATAACTTGTCTTACTTGCCCTCAACCTAACTTTACCTTGACAATGTTTGGTGAATCTTCTTTTTCATTCTTTGTTAAACCATCACTTTGTCAACATACCCAGTACCTTTAATTTATACAATAACCTTGAACTTGTCTCTTTGACAACACACCAAGTAACTTCTTTTACCTGTTAACACAAAAAATCCTCTCTATTGAAATTATTTTACTCTATAATTTTATACTATTATTATATGTAGTACAAGTATATGTCACGGTTCAGAACTGTTCACTATTTAGAGGAAAAGATGTGTAAGCAGCCGGATAGCTCTGTCAGTAGAGCCATGGTACGGTATTCCGAGGGTCCCTGGTTCAAGTCGCGGTCAGGCTGCACATTTTTCTCACCCTGTGACATATATATGACAGTTCAGTCACAAGCCACATAATGATAGCCTGCAATTATAACTTTGTGACCTTTATTCTGGAGTATAACCAATTATTTTGTTTGTTGAGTTTTAACTTGTGTCACAGTGACTTTTTTTAAAGGTTTTAAAGTGTTTTTTTTTTGAAGAACCTGTATACCTTTTACTCATCATTTATGACACACATGTGCTTGTAGCTTCCTCACACCTTTAACTGCTGAATTTATAGGTAATGGATATCAGACATGCTTCCAATATAAAATTTTGAAAGAATATCAAGTGGTGGTGTGGCACATCAGACAAGTAATCTAAGGATTGCTGGCAGTGTAGGTTCAAACATTGTCAGGAGGGAGCAAGTCGTGAGCAAAAATTTTTATGCTCATTGCTTAATACTGGTTGGTTTCAAGAACAAAATCTAGAGTATTTCAATAAGCTTAAGCTTACAAATTAGTAATTTATTTCAGTTCAATTTGTTGGAAGCTTTAAAAGCTCCAAGCTAATTGGGAAACACTCTAGAATTTGTTCTTGGAACCAACTTATAAGTATAGATTAAACTACAGGATATTATTATCAAAATTTAATGATCAAGCATCATTTTAGTTTCTTAACAAATCATACATGCCCCATGGTATGTTCACGGGATTTCTACTTATCTGTACTATTAAAATCTGACGTAATTTTTAAATCAGGGGTGACAGACACATGACAATTAGAAAATATCCTAGCCTAGGTCATCACAGAGAAATTGAGCCTTCCCGGAGGATCAAACCAGCTTCCCATGACTTACTAGCCCATGTACTCCCTAATGAACTGAGCCGGCAAACAAGATAGAATTTCAACCAACATAATCGTAAGACAAGTGAACTGATATAAATTAGCGTGCTTTTACGCTATGTTTATATATAAATCAAATCGATGTAACGTCAGTGTTATCGTTTTTAATTCAATACCTTAATTACCCATCTGTGCTGTGGTTAATGTGATAAAGCCTTGTGTATCAACTACAGCAAAACTGTTATCAGAAATTAACGAGAAAACATAAAAAATCTGCAAGAACTTTTTATTATCTATGACTTGTGTGAGAATGGGAACATACAGGACAAATATAACAATGTCATAAAAATTTACCATGTAATACATTGTAATATGTTTACATATAGATGTATGAGACACAGAAAAAAAAACATTATCACATTTGTTTACAAGCTATCAGAGAGAACATAGTGTGTACAGTCGTCTATCATATTAACATAGTGTATACATGTTCATCATATATATAGAAATTATACTTCCATTACATTTTGTATTCTATAAAATTGACAAATAATTATACAGTTAATCATAGCACATGCAGTTTAGTTTCAAAATTTTGTCACTAGTAATCTCTGCAAATCTACTTCAAGTTGTTTTATTTATAATATATATGTTACACAAATGCAATATAAAGGTTAACTAAACATCTGTTTGAAATATTCATTTATTCTAGGATAGCCTTCACCTGCCCTCCAACAAATTATCAAATTATTTGTTGTCAATAAAAATATACAGAGCTAAAAAAACAATATATTCTCCAAATTTCGACATGTTCGAATGTTTTACCTGGCTGTCAGATATGGTCATAGTCATGCACATTCCAATTTCATTTCAATGTTGAAATTTGAAGTCAAGGTTAAGTAGACTAGACTATTACAAATGTGACCTAGAGAGGAAAAACTTCCTTTGAAGTAAGCAGAGTATTTAACATGTAAGAATAATTTGTGATTATTAAAAAATAAAATCAAAATGACCGTTATCAATTCAATACTTACAAAAAACTTGTTTTCAAATGACCTAGTATTCAGGAAAAATAATGTGCTTAAACAATGGTATTATTCAAATAAATCTGACCATTAAAATTGTGTGTTTTTTATTACATGCTTTTCGGTTGTTTATAGAAATATATCAGTGATATAAAACTGGTAATTTCACTGATTGAAACAGTGAAATTACCACTTTGGTAATTTCACTATATGAATTTAAGCCCCTTATGTTGTTTCAGTGAAATACCAGCGTGCACAGTACTGGGTACCAACTTAATGACGTGACGTCATAAATGACGCCACGTTGTATTATTATTTGGCGCGCTTTTCATTCAGTATTAGGTTTAATGTCTTTTTAAAACGTTTCTTTGTATGTAATAAAAAGAAAATTTGTTTAGTTTAGTGTAAGATTGAAATATATTTCACCTTGTGAACACCAAAAGTTCATATTTCACTCGTGGCTGCGCCACTCGTGAAATATACCTTTTGGTGCTCACTCGGTGAAATATATTCCGATCTTACACTGAACTAAACAAATATCCTCTATATAATAATTATCCTATAAATGATATTTAAAGAGTTATTTTATCACATGTTAGACTGGTTAATGTATATCTAGGATATACTATTTTACCAGAATCTACAGACTGTCTATATTTTATATAAAAAAAAACATAATTAAATTTTATTGCCATTGAACTTTCACACTTTTTTTTTATTAAATTCAAAAACTTTTAAGAATACAGGGGAAAAACAAATGTGTGAATTTATTTTTTAAAAAATGTTCCTTTGGTAACGGACAGACGAACATCCTGTGAAATTATTGTGTCAGGAATATTATTACTGAAAATAGAAAGAAATGAAGAGAGAAACTTGTAGAACAAAGATGTGGAAAATTAAATGATGAGATGTGAAAAGGAAACTAAAAAGAAAACCTGGCAGTTATTCTTGCTTAGCATGAAGTAAAAACAGAATATATCATTCAACAAGTTTTATATAAAACATGCATTAAAATACATGACCAACATTCATCATCCAACAAAACAACAATTTCTCATACAGTTAACCTTATCTCATTCATAAAACAATTGTTGGGTTTCTGCAAGGTATATATCCATACCTGTAATTGTAAACAATGGGTAAATAAGCATCCATTGTCACATTTACATTTCTCAAGATTTTATATCTCTATGAAAATCACAGTAAAGATATTAAAGGTCAGTCCCTAACAACAATTGTTAAAGAATGATACATGTACATATATAACACCGCCAATAATTCACATTTACACACTTGAGTTCTGACTGTGCACATTTCCTATTTATATCAAATTTATGATTTTGACTCGCATGTACTTGAGATATAGCACTTGTGAAAACACTTTAACATCTTGTCTGAATAAATTTTGGTTGTCAACCCAAGGTCAAGTATCTACCTTGTAAGATACAAAACTACATTATAACTCCCTGTTACCATTGATTATATTATATTAAGTAAGTATACATTTACATCCCTTTGTCTCTTAAAATTTTTACTTTATCCAAGAAGCTTAATAAATAAAATACGACACTTGAACAAATAAATTGGCAAATTACTAAGTTATAAAGCACAGATAAACTTCAACTCAGTGTAAATGTGAATATTTTTCTATATTAAGTCCAGCAGTCACATTTTGAACAATATTCAAAGCCTTGTATCAAACTATTATCTATTTGTATGGTAGTATTACTCATATATAAAATAGAATGCAGAAACTTCGGGGAAAAAAGCTTTATTCACTTGGGACTATTTTTTAAATTAGTCATATCTGACAAGAACAAGAGCTGTCCGTAAGACAGCGCGCTCGACTTTTTTAGTGCTTGCCTATAATACAAAACATTGACAGTTAAGGGCCATAATTCAAATAAAATCTTTGACAGAATTACCTTCTCCTGGACATGTTTGGGAATCATGATTGTAAACAAGTATTCCAACTTTCAAATTAATATCTCAAACAGTTCAGTCAAAAAGTGGACTGGTACTAAAAACTTTACCAAGATTCTAAGTCGATAAAAGGCCTTAATTTTTAAAACAAATCCTTGACAGAGTTACCTTCTCTTGCGTACAGATGGGGGTAATGATGTGAAATAGCATTAAAAGTTTCAAAGCAATATCTCAAAGGGTTAAGGCAATAAGTGGATTTTACCCATATTCAATGTATTTTCTAAGTCAAAAAGGGGCATAATTCTGTCAAAAACCTTGACAGAGTTATGTCCTCTTGTCTGTTGATGAAGGTCGTGATGGTAAACAAGTATGGTCAGTTTCAAAGCAATACCTCCAATGGTTTTGAAATAAAGTGAGGTGGTACAAAAAAACTTAACCAAGCTCAATACACTTTCTAAGTCAAAAAAGGGCCATAATTCTGTCAAAAACCTTGACAGAGTTATGTACTCTTGTCTGTAGATGGAGGTTATGATGGTGAACAAGTATGGTAAGTTTCAAAGCCATACTTGTAATACTTCTGAAATAAAGTGGGGTGGTACGAAAAACTTAACCAAGGTGTGACGCCAACGCTAACGCCGACGCCGACGCCGGGGCGAGTAGGATAGCTCCCCTTTTCATAGAAAAGTCGAGCTAAAAATTACAAATGTTTCTATAGGACACAGATGTTAATCCATCCTAATTCCACAGACAGACAGCAGGTCAGAAAGATAAGGGAAAATTGTGCCCCACTTACTCCCAGTGGGGTTCTAAAAACCTCTTTCATATTATTACCAGTAAATACTTGACACCAAAAATGGAAATTTACAAAGCTTTGAACATTATTCAAAAAGAAGCATTTATCATAGTATGACAACTGTACACTAGCATGTAATGAGTACACATCCCATCATATACAATATAATGGTTACGAGATTTTATTGAGCCTGAAACAGTTCATAAATACAATAATCTAGCATACAAACTGTAACACAATTTCTCTATGTCCCAGATTCACAGTCTGCAGATTATACTCAACAAATAATACAGTTAAAACTAAAATAGTGCAACTCTTAATTATAAACGGGAAAAACAATTTGACTATTTAACAACAGAAATGTTGCTCTTGCCTTATTTCAAATACATGTAAAAATACTAATAAAACTAAAGATGCAACTTTTACAGTCAGCAAAATATCAAATCATATATACTGAAATACATATATCATTACAGCAAATATTCTTTACACCATTTCTTCACTGTCATATTAATTGCTTGTACTCTCAGATAGTTGTAACTGAACTGTGAAATACTGCAATTTCAGAAAGAAGAAATTTTGTGAACATGAAGAATGTCAGTTCATGTAAAAACTATAAAATTATTGGAATTTTTGTACTGACGTATCTAAAAATAAACACATTTTTCCTTTTTATAGAGACTTCTGTTTACACAAATTACTTTAATTATATTAACAAATCAGAATGGGAGAGAATTATATACACTTTGTTTTCTGTGTGGTAATTCTACATTTTAATCCAAAACTCAAATTGTACTCAATTTTGATATGATGAAACATATTAAATAATGAAGTGAGAGAGCAGAAAGGTGATGATTGCGATATTATAACAAGACATGGTTCATTTCACATTTCTTTCTGTATAATGAAACTTGCTCCAACATGACTACTCCCACCTGGTTTTACAAAACCACATGATCATGTATCAGACATTGGATAATACAAACCTGATATGTTCATCTATATTATATATCTAGTCAACATCTCACTGGCTTGTCTGAAAAGTTCTACAACTCTCGAGAAACCTAACAGACTTACCAGAATATGTTCGGTGCTTAACAAATAAAAGAAAAACAAGCTTGTTAGAAAAGTTCTAAAACTCTCGAGAAACCTACCAGATTTACAAGAATATGTTTGATGCTTGATAAAGAAAAGAAAAAAAGAAACAAAAAAACCTTTACATTCTGCTGGTTGGAGTTTTTTGGCTATGGGTATTTTTTTCATTTTTGCTATCAAAGAAAAAAAAAATCATTAAAGTGTTATTTCACTGTGATAAATATGTACATAAAATATACTGCTTGTTGTTTAAAAAGAAATACCAGCCACTTCAAGTCAGTCAGCTGAATAAATACTAAACTATGATACCAAACTACAGACATGAACTTTCTATGTTTTAAAAACAGACTAAAAATATCAAATTCACAAAATAGCATGAGTGAACACTTGCAATTTTATGTATATAAAATGTTTTTGAAATCTGGAATATTGAAAGTAGTTAGTGTAAACAGTGAAGACAAACCAAATCAAGTAAAAAATAACAAAACAACAGTAAGATGAAAGTTAAGCCAGGGTATACACAAAGATAGTCTCTATGAAAACATTTTCATTTTTATCCAATTGATGTGCTTTTCGAGAAGGCAGGACAAATGTTAAAACTAATAACAATACAAAATGACACTCAGGACATTTCTTGTTTTGCTACAACTGTACATATAGAGAACTAATTTTAAAATCCAGAAAAATCATAATTCAATTAAATATTATATAATAATACCATCATAAGGTACCCTTCACAGATACAAATACACTTGTTACTACAAGAATATATCTCTATTCTTATAAATTTAAATTGTTTATGAGGTGAACAAGTAGACATTTTATCTAAGAAAATGTTTTGTTTCAAAAATGCCACCAATTATCCATTTCAAATACGTATTATTTCAAACATGCCTGTAACTCATAGATTTACACTATATACACATTATATAAGTCATAATTCACAGTTAAACCATAAGCCGAGGCTTATGAAGCATATTGCTGGCAGAACATTCATAACACATGTCTTATTTCAGGAACTATAAAACAAGTCATAACCACAGACCAATGTGAGTGATGTGACACTAAGCTGGTTCACTATGTATCTGCCACCCTCTTATACTAACTGTATGTACTGTGCAATGGTTTAAACCCATTACAACAAGTGTACCAGTCACATAATTTAAATCTGTTTATGCCAGTCACATGACTTTGAACCAAGTTAGCCAGTCACAGGACTTTAAACACAGTGAGCAAGTCACATGACTTAAAACCCAGTGAGCCAATCACATGACTGTCAGTCACATGACTTAAAACCCAGTAAGCCAGTCATATGACTTTAAACCAAGTCACATGATTTTTAAGTCAGTAAGCCAGTCACATAACTTACAACTCAAACAATACAGTTGGTATGCTACAGTAAATCTTGATTCATCACATTTTTAAGTTTTAAATCCCATACAACAAGCTCCAAGAACAATTGAGCCGCGTCACGACAAAACCAACATAATGGGTCCGCATCCGCGCAGTCTGATCAGGATCCATGCTGTTCGCAAACCCACTATGTTGGTTTTGTCGTGACACGGCTCAATTATATTACTTCAAATATTAGCAATGTGACCATAATAAAATGGTAACTTTTCGGTAGAACCTTTAAAACTAACAAAGTTTAACTAAACACCTAATTAAAATTTTGAAATTTTAAAAATGAGAAAACGTACATGTAAAATACCCCAAAACAAGGCAGTTTATGCCGACGATACACCAAAATACTACAAAAATCTGCTATCACTGTATAAAAACTGAACAATACTATCTAAATACTTCTTCAGTAAAAATCATACATGAATATTCGATGTACAACTTGACAATAATTTTCATGTCTCTGGATTCGACACAGATATTAATTAACCTTTTGTTCTTGGTGCAGACCATATGAGCCGTGTCATGACAAAACCAACATAATGCGTTTGCCACCAGCATGGATCCAGACCAGCCTGCGCATCCGTGCAGTCTGATCAGGATCCATGCTGTTCGCTTACAGACCCTATAACAAGTAAAGAAACTGCTAGCGAACAGCATGGATCCTGATCAGACTGCGCGGATGTGCAGGCTGGTCTGGATCCATGCTGGTCGCTAACGCATTATGTTGGTTTTGTCATGACACAGACCATATATCATCAGGAGATCTAGTCGAATACATGAAAAATTCCTTTAAATCTTTTTTTAAAAATAACTGATAACTGCTATTATATGTCTAACACATTCATTTAAATATAGAAATAAACAATATTAGACATCTGCAAAGTTGATGAAAACTATCAAAATACTTCATTCATCAGTCATTTTTAGAGATGCTGTTGTTTTTTCTTTCTTTCTTCATAAAAACAACAAATGTCATAATCTTTACTTTCTATAAATAAAACTAGACTAGTAAAAACACAAATTATGCATATATATAAGATTTAAATAAAACAAAATATTCAAATTCCTTTTACAAGTATTTCTTAACCTAATACATGTTTCTTAAATTTGTTACACTATAAGAAATAAAATATCCCTGTATGCTGGAAAGAAATATCAAATATTATACGACTTTTAACATAAAAATCTTTATTAGATGAAGGTCCTGCAGATTGTTAACATAAGGTGATATATAATGGTTAGCAAATGACACACATGTTAAATATCATAGATCTAACGTTCTAATTAAAAAAACAAACAAACAACAACTTTTATTCTTTCGTTTGTGCGACAGTTGTCAGATATCCTCGCAATCCTCAACTACACGTGTCGTATACTCCTCCCTGCTGCACCAGCACAACAATTATCCTCTATACAAGTCCATATATACAGTGTATAATCCTTGGTTCAGCTATAAGTATGTTCACAGATTTATTATAGTTCATAGAACAACATGTTCAGAATCATTTATATATATAAAAACAGTTTATTACACAAGAGCACATCAGCACTTGTCTTACTTGTGTTAATTTAAAGTGACTATGTAATTTTTTTCTTCTGTCTGCTCAAATCCTGAAGTCTCTAATTAAAGAGTTCTTCAACAGGAACTAACACTGTCCTGTTCTTATTTTTTGGTTCAACTGTTATGTTAATTCTGCATATAATCAATTAGTAGACACCACATAAAGAGTTCATATTTCCCCCACTGTTTAAAATACCTCCAGCTATATTTTACCATAAAAGTCTGTATCAGGCATCATAGTAAGAATGTCTCTGACAATAAAACACAAGCACAAAAACATAAAGTCCAGCACATACCATCAATACACTGATGTTCATTCCTAAAATAAATTCCTTCATTTCAGAATTTCTCATAGTAGTATCTCACACTATGTTGCTAAACCCTTCATAAGGGGGAATTTAAAACAATATTGTACAAGTACCATAAAAGTTGATGAAATAAATACATTAAGAGAGCAGCTCCAAATGAAATCACTATAGAGTACAGCTCATGCATTTCCTCCAGCAGCACCCTGAGATGTTGATGTATCACCTGCAGGATTACCACCGCTCTTTGAATCCATGTCTTGTCCCGAACTTCCACCAGGTTGAGCATCAGAACCAGATGTTCGTGCATGAGGAGGTATCAGTGTTGCATTCAAATGAGGGGCAATTGACAGCTCTAAAGTAATGAAGAGTTATATCACAATCAAAATACCATGGAAGTTATTACATAGAAATCAATAAGAAATATCTTCAGTTGAAAAACACATATAAACATATGAATGTTATTGTAAAAACATTGTGTTATTTTGTGTTACCTTAACCTCTAGTTTGAATCAGTATTTTAAGGTAGCTTTCATTTTATGCTAAATGTATTAAGAATATCTGAAAACTACATCAAAAATTAATGTGAAGACTTTGCTACTATACTGAAAGTATTCATTAGCTTTTTATTTTAACAATTATATGTTAAGCCCCTTACTAGCTGAAATTTCTGAGGAAGTTTTCTAAACATTACCAATATTATTAATTTCCAATATTATTAATTTGACCATTAAAATATGGTTTCTTCTTTCCAGTATAGAAAACAATTAACACTGCAGATAAAAGTAATGTAATTTTTCTTGATGCACTGTAAGGAAAAGACAGACTAGAATTGTTATAAGATAATATTTATACAATTACCATGTGGAGAAAAGTTAAACAAGACAGGCAGTTCTCTGCCGTTAGGTAATCGAGTGCTCGGCTCCCTCAATTCATCAAAGAAAGCGTGAGCACAGGCTTCTAGAGGGGAGATACGTGCTGATGGGATATATTCTAGTAGACGACTAACTACTTGTATAGCTTCCGGTGGTGTACGTGGTCGGAACACCTACAAACATAAACATCTCAATAAAATATCAATCCTTTATATATGTGAAATTTAACTTTTAGCTTTTTCATTTGAATAGAAATCACTTCAAATGAAGATTTCATACATTGAAGATTCACCAATACTGTAAAGGTCATACAGCTAATTTTAAGCTTAACTGGTGGAGGAAGATCTCGGGCATGAGCAGGTTCCTGCTTAGAACCACCAATATTCCATAAGCTTAAAGTTACATTAAATAAATATGTAAAAATAATTTTGCCGTCGGCCTAAAAATCAAACATTCTACAGTTTCATTAACCTGTTTAATAGTTTTGTTGTAAATCTCATCAAATATTGTTAATAAATTAGGATTTTAAACGGGAAACCCCACGGTAACAATAAAGTTCGTATACAAATTTTAACATGCAAATGAAGACTATAATGAGCTCGTGTATGCGCTACGTCACAGTTTTATAGTTGCTATCCGGAATACAGCAAATGTGATATTTTCTTGTGCAAACACACTTTAACCATTTAAGCTTCACGGTGCACTAAACCTTGGGTTCAGTAAAAGTAATCATCTCGTAAAAAGATTAAATTTGTATGAAAACATCCGTTACAATGCGGAAATATACCGTTAAATTAGGACTGCTACTTATAGTCATGTTTGTTGATTTAATACTGATGTACAGATGATCCGAAGGCAGAGTTTCTCATGCAAACTGAAATTGTACTTCCAATTTCGCCACAATGAGGTTACCTATTTTTATGCCAATAAAACTCATTTTGGTTGTTTGGACACTAAAATAAGACCTGGGGTCGATATAAAACCCAATTTATTAATAAAATGTCGCTATGTAGTTTTTTATGAAATTTATTAAATGTAACTTTAATGGATATCTTCCTCCCATGAACGAAACTTAAGTCCCTGATAGATTTGAATCAACAGCATTAGGGGCAAGTGACTAAGTCAGCAACCTTAACCAATTAGCCACAAAGTCCCCTATGGACCACTGCCACTGTGGCAACCCCTATACCATACAATAGCTGACCCTTAACCTTAAGATTCTGGTGAGTTAAAAATATTCTTACATCACTCGCTCAATTATACTCCTAAACAACTATGAACTGAGAAAGTGAATATTATAAACATCTATTTTTGGAAAAGACTATGACCAGACCTGGGGTAATCATTAACTGTAATCATTGATTTTGTAATTGATTACATGATTACACTGTAATCATCATGTAATTGATTACCTTGCCCAAAACTGATTACATTAATTGTAGGGCTGGGAACGAATAAGGAATTTGATGTTCGAATATTCGTTTTCCATATTCGAATATATTCGAATATTCGTTTTTACAACATTTGTTCCAATATTTCTCTTTGACGTATACGTATCCGAAATTGATTGCGTCGAATACTATACTACTTTAATACGCTTTTAATAATCCACGATTAAAAATACCTTTATTACTACGTCAGCTTTTTTTAAAAAAATTATATATTGTTATTCGACATATACGTTTACAATTTGAAATAAATTCATAATTTGATTGCCTTTTGTTCAGTTAATCCTATTTGTCTTATTAACGGGAGGTAACTCGCGTGATGATTGACAGTAACATGAATCATCGTAACCTCTTAGCCCCAATAACAAATAATTATATTGAAACTTAACTTGTATTATTTTTTATATTAATTTATAATTTTAGATAAGATTTAAAATATTCTTAAAATAAATATAGCTATAACGCAGTAAATATCACACGGAGTGTAATATCTACGGAATAAATATATTCTGACGGAATATAGACACTTCCCATGCTTTCATAACCGCCGATTAATGCGTGCCTATTTATTCTTCTCCACAAAATTTAAGACATTGATTAATAGGAAAGATTATAGCACAGAAAACAATAAATAAGATAATTAAAATCGGGAAAAAATCTAAACTGTTAAACAGGTAAATTGCAAAGTGTGAAACGGAGCCCTTTTGATCAACTAGACCCCACAGTTTTCACAGTTAATTGGCGATAATCGTTGACACGTGTCATACAAACGTGTGAACACCTGGTCAAATACAGGTCAAAGGTTTTATTTACGATATTAATTGAATTTGAAAGTAATATCAAATTATATTTTTCAAATATTCGTATTCGTTTTTAAATGTTCGAATATTCGGTAGTGTTTCGAATATTCGAATATAATTCCCGGCCCTAATTAATTGTAATTAATCAATTACAGCTTAAATTCAGTCAGTAATTATGATTACATTTTGATTGACATTGATTACTTTCAGATTTTAAAAGGAAACTATTTAAGTTCAAAGGATGCCTTTATTTTACATTATACAGTTTAACTTTTGTTTTTTAGTTATACAGTAAAAATCCTCAATTAGACTGATAAAAGTGAACATTCTTATCATTGCTTACATACTTTAAGACCATGGTCTACTTTAGTCATTTTGTATGAATAAACAATATGTTTATTTATATGTATCTACAAATACATTATAAAAGAAACTATCAAAGAATGCTTTGATATTTAATCTGATAAAAGGAAAACATATTTCTGGAGAAATTTAACGTTAATTTTACAGTATCACTTATTATATGATGTACATAAATCAAATGAAAATTTAAATGTTCAAAAAATAAATGTGCTGAAAGCAACAATGTACCACTCTAAAATTGACCTTCTCACCTAATTTCATACAATAACCCAATAACAGTTTTTCACACCTTGTGAAATCAAGTGTCATGCTAAAGAGCATTCAAGCAGATCATAACAACAAATTTAAGATCTAGATAGTTGTTGACTTCAATATCAGTGATCTCAATAGTCACATTAAAATTAAAACAAAAAATTGGACTGACTAATAATGGTGGTCTTAAAAGTGAATAAGCAGGGGGTTAAATCTGGATCATGAAACCATTGACTTAAAGAATCTTTTTAAATATGGTCTTAATAGCAGGGTGGTCTTAATTCTGGGGTGGTTTAATGTACATTCAATGTAATCAATTATCAATCAATTACTCTCTTAAAAGTAATTGTAATTCAATTGATTACAGAGGCAAATGTGAGTAATCAATCATAATCAATTACAATAAAATCTGAAAGTAATTGTAATTTAATCAATTACTGATCAATGTAATCATCCCCAGGTCTGACTATGACCAAAAAGTTTAACTAATTCAGACATGGAGACTAATGACAGCAGCTACAGCTTCAAGTTCTTCTTTAAATAGTGGGACTAAAATAATGCTACTTTAAATCAATATGCTGAGGAGGGATTTTATATAAAGATGGTTAAAAGACAGCATATATATCATGAAAGGTTTGCGAATATATTAAAGGTAAATAATATTCAATCATTAACCTTTTTATTGGTTAGAGTAACCATGTTAGTAAACCACAAGTGTACAACATTATACTGGGAAGTTCAATGTTCTCGAAATAATTTGGCCTATTATACCTTATAATCATGATTTTTTTCATACAGACAATCTATTTTTACTGACTATTTAGTCTTTCTAGTTATTTATAGGAACATAATTCCAAATTGGGCTTCGAAGGTGAAAATAACAGTTCACACAATGTCTATAAAAAGTTAATCTAATTGGGTGAAAATTTGATCAGACATGTGTCAAATGGAAAATAAGCCGTACAAAAAGTGATAATAATATAATATACCACCTACCTTTGTCCATGGATGTGCTTTGATTTGTGGGAACTTAAATTCTGAATAATTTGGGTTCATCTCTCTGATTTGTTCTCTAGTTGGTGTACCGAGTACTTTAATGATTTCTACAAGCTGATCAACACCACTATCACCCGGGAATATTGGCTGTCCTAACAATAACTCAGCTAGAACACACCCTGCTGACCATACATCTATAATCATAAATTATAATACTGCATGTTTGTTACATCGCTTTTCATTGGATAAGCATGACGTTTATATAGTTTTAAATACACGGCTGTTGTCGAATCATGAAGAATTCTTACTTTTTTCTCTAAAAAATGATGTTTGCTGTATTATAAATTTGTTATAAAGATTGTTGACAGGTTATATGGCCGTATATAAACGGCTGTTTGCAATATAACCCTCGCCTAGCGGCTCGGGTTATATTTACAAACAGCAGTTTATATACGGCCATATAACCTGTCAACAATCTTTATACCTAATAATATATGGGTAACTAAGGTTTTTTAACAGATGATATCATAAATAGGTAACAAAGGTTTCTAACAGAGGAAAAATGTTCAGATTTGGAATTTTACAAAACAGTATCTACATGATGGGACTGGAAATATTTTTGGAGATAAGTGTTCCATTAAGAATTTGTATGCAAACTTTCAGATCATTCGCCCACTTCGTTTTTCCAGAGTAATTATTCTAATTGTGAAATAAGCATGAAAATATAGTTTTAAAATAATTACTTAGTATATTTGTTAATTTTCTTTTGTTTATCTTCCTCTTTTAAGTGCCCAAGTTTGTCTGTGTAAAAAATTCAAATTTTATGTTTTTAGGCTTTTGCACCTAAGTGGTAAATAGATGACAACCTTTTAGCCTATTTAAAAAATTTTGGATTAAATTATAGATTTTTGACAAATACTTATATCATATGTTGGTACTTCAAAATCAACTGATCCCTATATTGGGTCATCTATATACTGAGATAAGTAGATCATTTATTAACAGATAGATATATTCTTCTACATCCATGAAATAAGAGGAAAAACTGGACACAAACTTCAAGGATCGTGACATTATATTGACATACCTATTTGACAGGTGTAATCTGTAGCACCAAATATAAGTTCTGGAGCTCTGTAGTACCGGGAACATATGTATGATACATTTGGTTCACCTCGCACCAATATTTTGGCACTAAAAAAATTGTACAACAAAAGTACATTAATATTAGCATAGATATCAATGGTTCTTTTTTAGCCATAAAAATAGAATAGAAAATTTTACAAATTAGAACACACTTGCTGTTAAGGTTTACCTGCTCGAACAGAATTTCAGTTCTGTACAAGCTAGCAATAACTTAACAGGGTTCATGGACTCAGCACTAGGCTGTGTTCAATACTACCATAGTTTTAACTTCGCAGCATTAATCTGATCATTTGAAAACAGCGGAGCAGCATCTATGACACTATGTTAGTGTCAAACAAATTATCACAGGGTAAATTCCGCCATACCAAGAACTATTACTTAATTCTGTACATCTCTATATTCCTAATGCTCTGTCTGCAAAGTTAATTTACTATACAAGAATCATTCAATTGTTCTAAAGACTGGAGAAATTTATATTTCTGGGTGTCGGCATCATAAAAGATCATACTATCTACAATATTGTTGATCAAGTAAGTAATCAATTAATAAACTTATTCTTCTTTTGATCATCACATTTTCCTACAGTGTAAAGTTTTTCACAAAATGTAATATTTTATATAATGTGAAGTAACTCACAAAGTAAAAGTACAAGCTTTTTATAAAATTGTTATATATAGACAGAATATAATGACAGTCTCATCATACCTTCCGAAATCACAGAGTTTAAGAACACCTGTATCTGGGTCAAGTAGAAGATTTTGTGGTTTAATATCTCGATGACACACCCCCTGTGAATGAATGTAGGCAAGGCTCCGGAACAACTGGTACATGTAAAGCTGTAAATATAACAATACATTATAGAGTTACATATGTTACTTGGAAATATCACCTTTAATCCATCACTCTCATTAATGAATAGAGCTTTGTGAAGTTACTGTTGCAAGCTGCTTTAAGCTGTATGGTAAAACTGAAAATACATAAAATTAAGTGCTACAGGCAATAAAGAAATTATACAAAACAAGTTACACAAATGAAAATCACAACCTTGACATTTGGGATATGCTTTAATAGATAATTATATGTTTTGTGTATTCTTATTTTCTCTACTGTTTACATTAGGTAACCTCTAATTTTTATTAATGAAATAAGCCAAACAAAATTCTTGATAAAACAAACAACACAAGGTTGATAATATTATAAACTATACAGGAACATATACATAACTATAAAGGAAACAAAACATACAATTAAACGTTTAAAAGCCAGCCATTAAAGTCAACATTAAGGCAAATCATGAAATGTCAGATCATGTCAATTCATTAGAGGAAATCATTAATGAGTCAAACCATCTATGAACTAAGTTTACTGAATAAATATATGTAACATTTAGAAGAAATTCCTTGTTGCCTTGCCCTTCTAAATCTTTTAAAAAGAAACAGTTCTTCATTTATAAAGTCAAATTTATAATACTGGAAACTTACAATTTTTAATAACCTCTAAACCATCCCAAAACATACAGAACTTAGTAACATAAAGCAATATCTACAGTCTAGTTTACAATCTACAGAAAGCCTTCTATCATCCCACTAAACAAATATGCCACTGTTCTAACAATAAAATGAGCCGCGTCATGACAAAACCAACATAGTGCGTTTGCGACCAGCATAGATCCAGACCAGCCTGCGCATTTGCGCAGTCTGATCAGGATCCATGCTGTTCGCTTACAAACCCTATATAACAGTAGAGAAACTGATAGCGAACAGCATGGATCCTGATCAGACTGCGCGGATGCGCAGGCTGGTCTGGATCCATGCTGGTCGCAAACGCACTATGTTGGTTCTGTCATGACGTGGCTCAAATGTTCTACACATGTTACTTTTTGTATCACTTTGTACACTTTCTTTAAAATAAAATCAACTATATTTCTTTAAAACAAAATATCAAACTTTTAACTTCAATATTGGACACTCAAGTCTGCAATGTTCTCTTTTTGATATCTTATTCCCCCAAAAAAAGATTTGGTAGGTAGGAATTTTCCTGTTTTATATATATACATATATATATTTTATCTGAAACAGAACCCAACTTTTTGTCTTGTTATATGCAAAATAAACTTATGAGCTTTTAAAGAAATCAAAGAAAATAAGCCTAAAATATATAAACACATCTTACATGAAACATTTCTTTTAAAATATATTATTCATGCCTATTATTCCATGACATGTTGCTGTAGAACACAACAAATCTTGGCTACAGTTATAATTAAAATTAAACATAATACAATAAAAAAAAATCATACATACAACACTAATGTCTATAAAACATACATGTATATATTACACATAGAGAGCAGCTATGTAGCTTTGCAAGCATAATATGTTTAAGAAAATATTGAAAGCGAGGCTCTCCCTTTATCACATCTTGTTTTTGTGATGTATTTCTAATATAATTTACTTCTACATGTACAGTAAACTCCGCTTATAACGAACTCATTGGGACATTCAAAATATGTTCCTTATATCCAGAGTTCCTTGTAAGCATATAGCGAATTAGTTCCTTGTATCAGGAGTTTTTATAGCGAACAGATTTACATATAACGAACTGATTGTTAAACATCGTCCGCCATTTTAAAGAGCATTTGATTAAGAATAATTAATCATTTATTTCTTTTTAAGACACAATACCCGAGAGCGTACATTTTGGAATTTGAAAATCCTTTGCTATTTGAATTTTAGTTTTACTCCCTTTCTCAATTTTTCATAAAACCTCATATTTTGTTTCTTAATTCACTGTACTGTACTGTGCTTCTCGTTTTCTTTCAATGAATGAGAATAAACAAGATTTTCCAATTTTCTTCCTTTTATATTGAATATCTTCTATTATATTTTAAGGGTGACTTTAACTAAAAATATATAGATTTCTTTTCATTTCAATAAAGCATACTTTGTAGTTTTCTATGGATTATGTTTGCAAGCATGCGTGATTATGTTGAAAACCGATAATTATTTTACTCGAGCAAACTATTAAAGAAAAGAAATTATAGGATAAAAGGAATTACCGTTTTATCTTTGTGACAAGAACTCAAGCTAGAATATCCTAAATAGAAAAATATTACATACTTCTTTACAAATTCATTTTCATAGATATATTGAATTACATACAACAATAAACGGTACATTCCGCGAGTTTTATTCCGTGCCAATGAAAACGAAAGTTGAAAATGCGGGATATATTTACGAATAGACGATATTTAGAGTTCGTTATAAAAGTGTAATTTTATGCACTTTTAACTAAATTGGGACTAAGAAATGAGTTCCTTATAAGCGATAATTCCTTATAACCGTGTTCGCTATAACCGTATATTTTTATATTAAATAAAGAAGGGCAAAATTCGGGCCAAAATAAATTGTTCCTTATAACCGGAAGTTCGCTATAACCGTGTTCGCTATAAGTGAAGTTTACTGTAGCAAGTAATAGTGACTTTTACTAACTCTGAAATTGGGACTGCCCATTTTTTGGTTACAATTTAAAATGAATAAATTCTAAAATAAACAAGAGGGCCATGATGGCCCTGAGGTCGCTCACCTGTATTTAGCCCCCCCCCCCACCCCCGGGCCAATTTTACCCAAGGGCTTTTATTTGTTTATTTGAACAGACTTGGTAGACACCCATAAGAAGATGTTTCATGCTAAACATCTAAGTTCTAGCTCATTGGGTTTTTTAAAAGAAGATTTTTAAAGTTTTTACTATACACATATAGTTAAAAACAATGACACCCCTGGGGCAGGGCCAGTTTTGACCCCCGGGCTTTTATTTGAACAAACTTTGTAGATATTTACTTAAAGATGTTTCATGCTTAATATCTAAACTCTAGCTATTTGGGTTTTTTCAAAGAAGATTTTTAAGTTTTTGCTATACACATATAAGGAAAATCAATGACCCCCGGGGCGGGGCCAGTTTTGACCCCAGGGCTTTTATTTGAACATACTTGGTAGACACCCATTAGAACATGTTTCATGCTAAATATCTAAGCTCTAGCTCTTACGGTTCTTTAAAAGAAGATTTTTTAAGTTTTTACTATATGCATATAGGGAAAATCAATGACCCCCCGGGGCGGGGCCAATTTTGACCCCAGGGCTTTTATTTGAACAAACTTGGTAGACACTCACTAGAAGATGTTTCATGCCAAATATCTTAGCTCTAGCTCTTTGGGTTCTTTAAAAGAAGATTTTTTAAGTTTTTACTATATGCATATAGGGAAAATCAATGACCCCCTGGGGCAGGGGCAATTTTGACCCCAGGGCTTTTATTTGAACAAACTTGGTAGACACTCATTAGAAGATGTTTCATGCCAAATATCTAAGCTCTAGCACTTAGGGTTTTTTAAAAGAAGATATTTAAAGATTTTTCTTTCGGTTGCCATGGCAACCAGAGTTCTGCATGGAATTAAATTCTTTGAACAATTTTTAAAGGTGACCACCAAAGGAACATTCCTGTGAAGTTTGGATAAATTGGCTCAGTGGTTTATGAGGAGATGTCATTTAAAGCAAAAGTTTACGGACGGACGCCGGACGGACGGACGCCGGACGAAAAGCGATCACAAAAGCTCACCCTGTCACTTTGTGACAGGTGAGCTAATAAATAAATGGATTGATCTGTCATTTTCACTGTTGCACGAAGATTTAACAATTTTTTCTTCCAATACCAGTAACAGATTTTGTCACTTTTTCACATTACACAAAAATTCTAAATAGTTTAACATTATAACACCCTGCCCCCGTCACGACAACTAAACATTAGTATCATTGAAAAGAAATTAATGCTTCCAGGACCGAAATAAACATATTACTGAATCTAATCTACAACTTGTACAGAAGTTAGGATTTCTTGTTATAAAATGTCACTATACAAGACTTGTTCTCAAAAGGATTTTTTTATAGTGGACAGTCTCTGTAAAAAGACGTTGTCACTTGTTCAAGTAAGAATTTGTTATAATCAAAAGTCTCTGTAAAAAGACTTGCACTTGTTAGGATTTATTATAAAGTACAGTACATGTACCTGGTATACAACTTTTTAATGAAGATTTGTTATAATACAGTCATAGTAAAGATTAGTTACCAGTAGCTATACAAGACTTGTTCTAGTAAGGATTTGTTAAAATGGACACTCACTGTTAAAATACTAGTTCCAAGAAAGAACGGATATATATACGAATATATAATAAATCAAGCTTTAAAGTCATGCCTAATAACAAGACAATCCAATATTTATTATATGAATCAAACAAAATTGTATCAACAATTTAGTTTCAGAAATCTTATACAGAAAACACATTTTATCCCTCTCTATATGTATATCAGAATTTTATGATCTAAAAAACGTTTCATGACAGTTAATTTGCCTATACATGTAATTTACTAAATATAAATATTCATTCTTTAAAAAAAAGTTCTGACAAAGTAATATAATAGATACTTCAAAGCATCTTAAAATATATAATTATGTTTTGACAACACTCTATAAATAAAAAATAATTAACTCCTGTGTAGTTTCACAAGATTTCATTTAAATTCCTGGTTTTGATGAAATGACATCAAATTATATAAATGATTTATCTACAATGTAACAAAGTAAGATCAAAATTGAAACAATACCTAATAAAAATTTATTTCACAACAAATCTGTTAGAAGATTAAAGTAGAGAGATAATGTTTGCACGATTCAGAGAAATGTTAATATTGTAAAATAAATTCTGTATGAGTCAATAGAAAGAAAAAGCAGCTGTTTGCTGAAATATTAGTCACAATAGAAAGTTAAATAGACAATAATATGTCACTGATGACTAGAGAATCATCAAAGGGGAGAAAAAAGATAAGTGTTCATACACAAGGATCACCGGCAACTTAACTTCATATAGATAACCTCTCACTGAAAGTTGCTGTGCCCCGAAGTCTATACAAGAGTGAAAGTGACAAGTTTGGGAGTATCTCAGCATTAAGTCACGGTGCTTTAACCAAAGCCTAGGGTGCCTCAGACTGAAGGCTTGAAGCTATACATACCTTAATAAAAAGCATTGGGATTGTTTGCTTATTTTTACTGTAATGTCGAGCTACCCTATACAAATTCTCTGGAACATATTCCAAAACTAGATTCAGGAAAACCTCATCTTTCTGAAAATGTTACAAACATATAAACTTGAAAAGAACAGTTATGTTAATGTAAGGGAACTCCAGTGTTGTGTTGACAGAAATGAGTTCAGTTTGGCAAGACAAGCAACTTAACTTGATATCCAATGATAAGAGAAATCTCAATTTCCTGAGCAAGACATCCTAAGTGTTATGCCTTCTCAAGTTCAGTTGAGTTCTAAACATTTTACAAAAAATTTTTAAAACCTTTATTCATTGCTTGCCATACAAACTGTTCATTTCTGTCCAGATTTCAATACAATGCTGAGACTTCAATTATCAATGTGCATATGTTTTGTGTTATCTAAAACAAAACAACAATATACAAGATTTTGCATTTTTTGTGGGAATTGGAAGCGAGAAATCAGATGATTTTTTTTTCAAAAGAAAACAAAAATCTAAGTATCAGTCTCAGTATTGTAATGAATATTGTTAAGTATTACTGGAGTGCCCTTTAAACACATGAAATCATGTACAGTACCTTGATGAAGATAATGGGTATTGTCTGTTTGGATTTACTATAATGTCGAGCAACTCGGTACACTGTCTCTGGTACATACTCTAGAACTAAGTTCAGGAACACCTCATCTTTCTGATGACAAATAAACAACAGAGGCAAACACATCATAATAAACAATATATAAACTCTCTGAAAAAACAATTGGCAGTTTTCCAACCAATGTAAATATTATTTAATTTCCAAATTTTAAACTTTATGGAGTTCTTATTACAACAGCGTACAATTTTTACAAAGATTTGAAGTACATACTTTCACATAAGTATATAAATAAATTTTGACCATGAAACTTTCAATAAAATTTATATTTCATTAACAAATAGCTAATATATAATAGTTTTTGTGAACCATATTGAACACTGGTCATAAACCAAATGTATTATCTATTAATTCAGTTGTTATTATAATAATTGAATATAACAGAAGCAGAATCTTCTTTTGTTTCATTATTTCACAACAGACAGCAAAGTGTCTAATATATTTATATAATGATCTGTGGAAGCTTTTAATATCTCAGAAAATCAGACAAAGCATGATGTATGTCGAAGATCACCAACTTTATGTATATACAGGTACATGATGTATATTACCTTTTCTCCAGCTGAATAGAAGAAATACTTGAGTTTGACTATATTATGATGTTCCAACTTGCGCATTATCTGTAACTCTCGGTTCTGTAATCATATTAGAAAAAAATTCTTTAATTACAGTGTGGACATATAATTGTAATCATATTAGAGAAAAAATTTCTTTATTAACAGAGTGGACATACTTACAAAGTCAAACAAAAAGATACAATTCAAATTGGGAATTCAACAGTTACAGTTATGAGTGTATCAATAAACATTTAACATGAAAACAAAATAATTTCTTACAAAATATAACAATATAATATAATATGATTGCATGGAATCATCTTTTTGTTGTAATTTTTGTTTCATCTCACTGACAATAAATGTATTATGTAAGACTAGATGGTCATAACTATTCTATTTTGATTGTTACATAAATCAAGTATTATTTTCACTCATAAAAATGTTTGTATTCTATCAAAATTCAGCTGATGTCTACTTCTAAATTCCTTTGCAGTGATTTTTCTACTTATATAACAGACTCCGAAAAAAGGCCTCTTCCCAATTGAAATTTTCTTTAAAATCATGCAGTTTTCCCAAAAATCTGAACTTAAACCAGCTTTTTTACTTCCCAAATCAGCAATTTTAGCGATAATTTTTCCCAAAATCAAGAGGCTCAGGCCTCTTCCCAATTAAGTGAGAAAAATCACTGCTTTGTAATTGATCATAAAACAGGCTTCTGTGGTCTTCACATCATGAAAGCTTCTCTCACTTTTACATACAGTACGGGAGGTCAAAGTTTAAAATGGTATTATTTCAATAAGCAGAAGGGAGCTTAAAAGTGACCCAGTGCAACAGACTTTGTCCACACATAAAACTATAATGATCTATCTGATATAAATTTAAAGGACATACAAAAATTTTGAAAATGATTCAATACTCTGGAGGTTTATTATTATACAACAAGTCTTAACACCTGGACAAGGCCATTTTTGAGTAAGGAAATTATTTACTTTTTAAATTTTGTCGAAAAAACAGGCAATGCTACATTGTAACATTACATGATGCAATGCCAGAAGTGTTAAATCATTTCTATGAAATTTGATATCTACCATGTGGTGAAGGAGTTGTTGTTAATTGTGGATGAAGAAGAACAGCACATGACAAACATCAAGCCCTCTTTTAAGCTCACCTCAGAGCACATTGTGTTCAAGCAAGCTTTAAAGTGAACACAATGTAGTACAATCCATGGCATTTAAGTATGAATAACTAACCTTAAAACGTTTGTCTTGCAGAACCTTTTTGATTGCAACAAGTTCTTGTGATTCAACTAATTTTGCTTGGTAAACAACTCCAAAGGAACCATTTCCAATCACTTTAGCATCTGTATATGACACTTCTTGTGGTCTGTCATTACCCTGTCCTGCCGTAGCAAGAACAGTTGTCACCCTACTTCCGTCTTTATCTGAAAAGTATTTTATAAATTAAAATTAAAGATAAATTTATTATCTTGTAATTCACACCTGTAAGCAAATGTATGGCAGCTTTTGTATGTCTAGCAAAAAACAAATATAATTGCAATTTACAAAGAGAAAAAAATTACCACTTTTAGATTTAAAGGGAATATGTTGATGAAAATATTAATACCAGAAAGCCAATATGTAAAAACTTGGTTGCTGATGCTCAGATAATTCTTTCATACATTTTGTCAGTCTATACTGCTTTTACTCTGTTGTTTTACTTTGAATTTGCAACAAGAATTAAGGAGCCTGTTTTGCAAAATGTGTGAAAATGCAGTCGACAGTAGTCTATGGCATGAATCTATAGCTGTACAGATGGTCCTTTTTTTTATACATGCACATGAAAAAGCTTGGGTTCCAGTTAACCTTGGTTATTTGTAAAAATATTAAGAATTTAAGTATACTCATTTCAGTGGTCTTCTACTTTATCAAGTGGACACTTGTAACTTATCCTACTGGAGATACTACGTTATATTCTTACTTCTTAGAGATGAGTAAAATTGTTAACATTAAATGAAACTGTCTGAAAGATCACTGTGATTCTTACACTACCATTTATTAGAGCTGTCATTGATTCAGTCAAAGGCATATCATCGATATATCGATATCGGATTGCAAACATCGACGATACACCGATATATCGATATATTTACCTCTATTTCACACTCATATTTGTCTGCATTGTTTTAGTAAAAAAAAGTTAACACCTTCTTTACATGAACTGATGATGTGTTTTGTTCATAAATGTCCTCTGATCATATTTTGCATATATTTGTAGTGCTATGAAATATGTAAATTATCAAATAAATATAAAACTGAGTATTAACTGTGGTTATTCATTTACTGGCCTCCATCCATATCTATACACCATCACACTAAGCAGAACACTTCAATGACTAAAGTTACAATATGGAATCACTAGTTCACTTGACTATATACAGAGTTCAAACTTAAATGTATATTAACTAGAATGACTAGTTTACATGACTAGAGTAGAAAAACATAAATATTACATAAAAAAATCAAATTTGTGCATGAGTTTTGTATGTAGATGTTAAATAATAGTGACTGAAGTATTGACACTTGAACACAGTGGGCACAAAACACAGTTGATAATAAGGATGCAAAGGAATTTTATTTTGAAATTATACATTTCTGGAAATAACTGTAATTTAATAGGAATTTATCAAATTGAAATACAATTTTATTGACTTTTTATGACATTTTTGTAATTTTACTGTTCATACAGAACAAGGATTTGTCAAACCATTGTTATGCTTATTTTATTTACATACATATTTATTTATTTATTTTGTAAATGTTAGGAATTTTACAAATTATTTTATTGTTTAGTAATAGCCTACTGATTATATTGTTTTTACAATCGGTGCTGGCACTTGACTGGTGTTTAACCTTGCCCCAATCATTGTTTACGATGAAGATGTGATCTCAAATTAAATGAATTGCCACTAAATGGCAGTCATACATTGAATCTAACTTGGGATTAATTTTGAGTTAACAACCCCCTTTTCATCAACAAACCCAAAATGTTCCTAAATGGGAATTGGCTTTGAAATTTTAGCCTTCTTTTTGTCCCAACAATTTTAATGTTTCAGCCATTTTAAAGTGTTGCTAAGATATGGGCATAGTCTAAAATATAGACAATTCTGAATGATGAATCTCAAATCAAGACAGTTTAAGTATAATGATAATTGATTAAGATCTATTGGATTTTTATTTTCAAATTATTCTTTTAAAATTGGATTGTTTTGTATATATAATTTTCAACACAGAGAAATATGTTTTTTTCTGAGGTGAAAATACAGCTACCATACAGTAGCTGTCCATTTAGTAGTCACGGTATAGTTTTAGACATGTCCTTTTGACAGGGCACCTGTTTCCGTTTAAGTTTTGAGTTAATTTTCGTCTTTTCCACAGGTACTTTAAACAAACTATTTTTAATGTACTGTATGGGCTTTATATTTTAGTAATTTCTAGGCTTTTAGTAATTAGTAAAAGTATCGATTTTCTAAAATTTGAATCGATAATCGATCGACAAAAAAATATCAATGATACATCGATATCGCTTCTATCGATGACAGCTCTACCATTTATTGCTGTTTTACATGTTTTAACAATAAATTTTGTCAATTAGATTACCAAAATTTCAACTTAAAAGATCCTAGACTGGCTAGAGTAGACCTGTAAATTAACTAATTATACATTATTAAAGATGACACAGTATTTGTACAGCTACGATAATCAGGCTATAACAGACAAAGTTCAAGATATTGTACAGCAATCAATTTACACAAAATTGAGGACTTTTGTTTTACTGCAAGGATGAACCGCTTCATCACGTATAAAATATTTGACATTAATTTTGATATCTGTATGCATGATGTTCAGAATTTATAATAATGGCAAAACAGCTGATGATTGTTAGTTTTAATAAATTGTTTGCAAGCATCATTAGAAAATAAATTATGATAATGAGCTTTAGCTTAGATTCACTCTTAGGATTTAGCTTACAATTATGTCATTAATTAATATAAAGGTGCATCTTGGAACTATTTACTTACTTCTGCTGTTTCATACATATTTGATAACTGCATTTAAAGATAATGTAGTCAGCAGCATCACCAAACATGGTATCCAAGATGAATGACCCAGATTTACAGACATTTGACAGACGCATTGAACTATACTTACTAATCGTCTTCATTCCTCCAAATGGTGCAGATCCACCAGCTTTTCCACCTTCAGCAAATGATGTTGTCCGGGGCCTCCCACTCATGGCTGGAAGAAAGCTAGGAGGGGGCGAATCTGCTCATGAAGTATGGTTTCTTTCGTCATTTACATCAAGTATGGCGGCCAAAAATTGAGAAGTGTTATTCGACAAAATTTGGATTGGAAATCGTATTTCCTGATGAAAATAATCCTCCGTTTACATGTAGGGACAAGGCAAACTTATTCCTGTCGTAAAATATTAAAGACTTTTTATTGTATATATATTAAAGGAAGAGCAATTTGTCCTTTGACACCGTCAAATTATCCGAAAATCGTTTCCAATGGCTGTTCTTTGCTACTATTTCCGCTCGGAAGTTTCCGTTGTTCCCGTCACAGCCGGTCAAACACGTATGCCAATGAAAAACTTTTGTCACTTATCGGTAATTTCCGTTAGTTTCCGGCAAGACAGTTTATAGTGACGTCACTAATTATACATGTGTAAGTACCTTTGTGCATTAAAATAAAGCGGTTTTTAACACATTAATTTGTTAAAGTACTCCCTGTTATAAATGATTGTAGAAAAAATCTTTCATTGCCAGGTTAAATGCAATTAAGTGTACGAAGTGTCATCTGAATAGAAAGTTGCTCTTTGATGGTGAAACGTACTCGAACTAAAACGTACCAAACTGGTACCATTCTGAGCATTTAATTTACATAAAAAATATGTTTAAAAGATTATGTTTAAATGCTTTTGTAAAATTGTTTGATTTGAATATTCTTGTCAGATGACTAATTTGCTAAAGTTTGTTTATTTAGCATAAATGTATTAATGAGAATATAGTCACCTCGGCTCTCCTCCAAAAAATTATATTACACCTCCCCAAGATAGGACAGTTGCCCTTGTCCTATATCATAATACGTTTCTGTAGATACTACCTACAAACATAAGACGTTTCAGTAAGTACTACCTACACTAGTTGGAGTGTGCGTAGTACTAATGGAAAGTCTTATGTTATAGGACTAGCTGTTTCCCCAGCCCCAGGTTTGGTGGCTTGAAGAGTTTGACCCATTTTATAGACTAGCTGTTTTTTTTTTTCATACTGGCAAAACATTTGAAAAAGACATGACCTGTCTAAAATTATCTTAACACTATGCTTATCTCCAGTTACTTGTCCTGTTATAATATGTCTGAGGTTAGACAACTGTGTATTAACTAGCAAACTGAAAATTGACTTATACATGTATTTCCTGTCAATTATGTATTTTATCATGTAAATAATTTCCCAACTATGTTCAATTTTTAAGTTATGCGGAACATTGATATAGAAGTAAATAAACAATTGAAAACAATTTAAGCTTACCTGTAAAGAGGTATGACACAAAGTTCCAATTATTTAAAACATATTTTTTTTTTTTGTTCAATCACGAAAACATAGAACTATGTGCTTGGTGAAAACAAGGCCACAAAATGCTGTCATCATTAATTACCAGGCTTTTACAAGTAGAGGCTGCATATTATGTTTTAGTTCTTTGTACATGTATTTTAAATAATTCGATAAAAAAAAATAATTAACATTTAGATCTACTTTACTTTGAAGCATAGTGGTAAGAATCTTTGATTCTTTAAAATCTGTCTAGCAACTGTGCCGCTCTTGAAAGATTTAATACCTATAATTTGAGCCGCGTCATGACAAAACCAACATAGTGGGTTTGCGACCAGCATGGATCCAGACCAGCCTGCGCATCCGTGCAGTCTGATCAGGATCCATGCTGTTCACTTACAAACCCTATTTCAAGTAGAGAAACTGAAAGCGAACAGCATGGATCCTGATCAGACTGCGCGGATGCACAGGCTGGTCTGGATCCATGCTGGTTGCAAACGCACTATGTTGGTTTTGTCATGACGCGGCTCATTTCATTTATGCTGACTAACAAACTCTAAGCTATACATTAGTTTGGTAAATGGGCTAACTAGTAATACGTATACATTATAGTAGTTATTTGATTGATTAAAAAAAACAATTTCAAACACTGAATTGGTTGATATTTGTTAGTAACAGTAACCAATTTATTTTTTAAATGACCGTGCTTTTCTTGACCAATTTAATTTTGCTTACCTATGAACACTAACCTATGAGTAAAGAGAAGGAATTAAATTAAAAAGTTGTGTTATAAATTTGTTTCAGATTATTTTGTTCAGACTTTACTCAAGATATAATTTATAGTGATTTTTGTATTATTCAGATTTGCAGCCATGGCAGAAGAAATCAAGGTTAAAACTAATGCTGCAGCAGATAAGAAAAAAAAGCAAAAAGGAAGATTTAATACTATTAAAGGAATTGAATTTTGGTCACTGGTGCAGAAGAAGAAGCTTTTGTCTCTACTATATGAGTAAGTTGTGGACAGTAAATCTGCAATATAGCAATATAGCAACAAGTTATTTTTTTAAAAGAGCATATTAATGACATAGAGTTTTGTTGGGATTTGAAGTCTCCGTCAAAATTCATAATGAAACATTAATTTTCTAACAAGTTCAAAGGATGTGGGCAATGTGCCGGTGTCCGAGGCTTTGCTTTCCTGTCAACATATGTTAGGGTTTGTCTGCAGTTTTCATTGTTTCACTGTTGTTGTCCCAAATCTCACTTTAGATTATTGCATGTAAGGAATGTTTGTGACTTATGGAAGACCATGATTGGTTCTACTTAGGTGCCCGCCCACTGATCAACTACACTTAGATGGGCATAATTTCACATTAAATGAATGCACAAAAGGGCACCTGAAGTCTTCAGAAACCAGGAAAACTGGAAAATAACTATATGACGGTGGATCTGTACAAAGTTTACAATAGCTGTATGACTTAAAACTTCACTAATAAGTAATTTTAATAACAAGTTGTTTGTTTATCTGTTCTAACCATTTAACAAAACTAGAATACTTCTAACATATTAATTACAAGATCAGGATATTAAGAATTGATTTAGTGAGTATTTCCTTAAAGTATTACAAATTTATAATGCAAGGGAAGTAATTTGTAAATATTGTGTAGAATTGTCTCCCTTTAATAATGTTTTTATTGTATAAAATTGATGAGTTTGATAAACCAATGGTTTGATTTTCCCACTGGACTTACATGTATTTATATAATACATAAGTACATGGTTTTGTGTTTCAGGTATCCACTAGATGCATACAGGAATATAGCTAATAGAATAAGTGGCAAAAATGAAGAGCAGGTAAATCAATTGGTTTTTTACTCAATAATTTATATAAAGCACACTCTTTGTTTTTTTTGTTTTTGTTTTCTTTTGGTGACTTTGAAATTATATGATTTATGTCACAGATTATTTCTATTTAGCAATGATATTTGTTATATATTTTCATAAATATGAATAATCTCCCCTCACAGTGATATATATTCCAATAGATGATCACACAAAAATATGTTTTCTGTTTATCTTATGTCATATATACATTCTTTGGCATTCTTTGGTCATTACTAACAAATGAGCCGCGTCACAACAAAACCAACATAATGGGTTTGAGACAAGCATGGTTCCTGACCAGCCTGCGCACCCGCGTAGTCTGATCAGGATCCATGCTGTTCGCTATCAGTTTCTCTACTTGTCATAGGGTTTGTAAGCGAACAGCATGGATCCTGATCAGACTGCGCGGATGTGCAGGCTGGTCTGGATCCATGCTGGTCGCAAAGCCATTATGTTGGTTTTGTCATGACGTGGCTCAAATATGTTACAAAATGAGGCTAATTCATATGACATCATCAAACTATTTAATGTTGTGCATCCTACTGTACTATATTCATGAGTGTATATCTCTCTCTGTCTCAAACAGTGTGATTTGACTTATATCTCACTATTATAGTTAATGAAGCATGACATTAATATGAATTCCAACTAAAACTTAAATTGTACTTGAGAGTTTTCAATAATAATATGAATTTCAAAATAATAAGAATTTTAATGTTCATAAAAAACAACAACAAAAAACAATTATTGTAAAATTATTTAAAGTTTGTACATGTTGATGATATCTTAACACCATTTATGACATGTGTATATTATTATATCAGGTCTTATTACTAGGAAGGTATATTAAGTTGTATTTATGTTTATATTTGACAGGTGAAGGAGTACATAGACAAGATAAAGCGGCAGATAAAAAACAATCAGAAATGGAAAAATATGAAAAAATCTGGTAAAACAAAACTGTCTATGGCCATATTGTTTTATACATCAAGTCAAACTGACTGACAATGCTCAATTAATATATTCTAGTCATTTAAGATTTGTTCATTTAATGACATTTTGTCATAGATTATTTTGATGAATTATTGGTTTTCATATACAACAAATTTACTGCCCTCATTTTAGGACAAACAGAGATTGGAGAACCTGGCATTGGTCATTAATGTATTTGTCTACATGAAACATTTTATATTGAATATTATTTATACAGTATAGGTTGAAACAAAATGATTTATGTTTGAAACGATTTTTTATATATTTGAGACAAAGTACAAAATTACTAAGTTGAGTAGCTAACAATTTAGAGGCTGGCAAGACTGTATGGAGGTTTAACCTGACTTGGTCTTCTGCCTTTGGCAAAGAGTTTTCATTTTGTTCTGGCACTGAAATTTTGGTGAAATTATTATTTTATATGTGCTTTGTTTATAGACAGGAAAGCACCACTGGATGAATGGTTAGATGTAGCCTCTGACTTGGTAGAGTTAGAAATTGTAGACGCTTCAACTAATCTATCAAAGGTATTTTTAATGTTGATCTTAATTTGTGGCCAAGGGGTTGAAAACTCATAACAATAATACACCAAGTGAACACAAGCACTTGTAAAAAACTGTAACAATGTTGTCATATTTAATGTTATCAAAACAGCTTCCTGTAAAGTGAAAGTTGTCTTTTTGGCACGGATCACTCAAGCGTCATTTGTAGAAAATTGTTTTTTTTTCTTCAAATTTAAAAATCAAAATACAACAATTTTATTCAGAGAAAATAAACATGCTTCTTGAGTCTAGCAGACTTAATATACACATATGAGCCGTGTCATGACAAAACCAACATAATGGGTTTGCGAACAACATGGATCCAGACCAGCCTGAGCATCCGCGCAGTCTGATCAGGATCCATGTTGGTAGCTTACCAACTCAATTACAAGTAGAGAAACTGATAGCGAACAGCATGGATCCTGATCAGACTGCGCGGATGTGTAGGCTGGTCTAGATCCATGCTGGTCGCAAACCCATTATGTTGGTTTTGTCATGACGCAGCTCAAATTAGGGAAGCAACTTTAAAATAAGTTACTGTAGGTCTACAGCACAGAAATCGGAATTTCAAGTGCAGAAATATCAAAGTAATTGATAAAAGTGATAAATTAAAAAACATCAGAGACTTGCCGGAAAATGAAAATTAGCCCTGAAATGATTAATGCCCTGAAATTAAAGCCCTGGGTGCCATTATTCATTAAGCCGGCTGATTATCACCTTTCTGACCCTACTCTGCTGTGTGTTAACCTCTTATTATAATGTTTTAATAAAAAAGCTTGAAATTTCAGACTGACATGTCTCTATTCTGGTGACAAGGGCCTTTCAGTTATTGCTGATAATTGATAGAGAAGTACCATATTTATAATTGTATCTTGGTTATATTATATTACAGGTGTTGTCTATAATTTCTAACTTTGAAGACTTTGAGATGCCACCATCTAAAGATGATGACAGTAGTCCTAATTACAAGTCTATATACAAGTACTTATCTCAGGTCCTACTGGTTAACAGAAGTGAAGACATGGAAATACTTGGACCTATAGGTTTGTTTGTTACATAACACATAACTCGCCTATTAGAAGGATAGTAGGGCTATTCTCTCACTCTAGCCTCAGTATGCAACTTCAAAATGATCAATACATATGGGGAACAAACTATTCAATCACCCCCCCCCCCCCCCCCGTCCCCCCCCCCCCCCCCCCCCCCCCCCTCATATTTCCCCCCTCCCCCCCCCCCCCCCCGCCCCCCCCCTCGCCCTCCCTGCCAGTACAACTGCACAACTTCTAAATTGGGCTACATTAGGGGACGCATGTGATCAATGATAGCTTCGGAATAATTTTGTGATGTAGCATTTTGTTGACCTAGTTATTTTTCACGCTTTGTTATAGCACTGAAAATTGAAGCCTTATACATGTATGTTTAATATATTGTTATTGCTGTTTTCTCTAATTTAATTGTTACGGATGTTTTCTCTAATATAATTGTTACGTATGTTTTCTCTAATATAATTGTTAATCATCTTTCTCTAATATAATTGTTACCGATGTTTCCTCTAATATCATTGTTACCGATGTTTTCTCTAATATAATTGTTACCGATGTTTCCTCTAATATCAGTGTTACCGATGTTTTCTCTAATATCATTGTTACCGATGTTTTCTCTAATATCATTGATACCGATGTTTTCTCTAATATCATTGTTACCGATGGTTTCTCTAATATCATTGTTACCGATGTTTTCTCTAATATCATTGTTAACGATGTTTTCTCTAATATAATTGTTACCGATGTTTCCTCTAATATCATTGTTACCGATGTTTTCTCTAATATCATTGTTACCGATGTTTTCTCTAATATCATTGTTACCGATGGTTTCTCTAATATCATTGTTACCGATGTTTTCTCTAATATCATTGTTACCAATGGTTTCTCTAATATCATTGTTAACGATGTTTTCTCTAATATCATTGTTAACAATGGTTTCTCTAATATCATTGTTAACGATGTTTTCTCTAATATAATTGTTACCGATGTTTTCTTTAATATTGTTATTGATGTTTTCTCTAATATAATTGTTACCGCTGTTTTTTTCCTCAGAGAGTGCAATCGTTATAGACATGTTACATGGTTTGGGTGGAAATGTTGGTGGGAAATTTGGGCCCCGGCAGTTCAACCCCTAACATCAAAGAATGGGGAAATAAACCCAAACTTTTTGGAAAACTCGTGACCACGTGGGTTTTCCTATAGGGAGAACTTTTAAAAAAGAGCCTCCCGAGAATGGTATAAATGTTTTTATGAGCCGCGTCACAACAAAACCAACATATTGGGTTTGCGACCAGCATGGATCCAGACCAGCCTGCGCATCCGCGCAGTCTGATCAGGATCCATGCTGTTCGCTTATCAACTCTATTACAAGTAGAGAGACTGAAAGCGAACAGCATGGATCCTGATCAAACTGCGTGGATGCGCAGGCTGGTCTGGATCCATGCTGGTCGCAAACCCACTATATTGGTTTTGTCGTGATGCAGCACAAATGTTGTTCAAAATAGAATTAAACACCAATAACTTGTGTTAGTAACATAGTAGTCCGAGTAGAACAGTATTGGTTAGTTCCTGGAAGTAGACTCAATTGTGATAATTCTGTTGGAACCAGAAACAATTAACATTTGCCAGCCATAGAGAGCCAGCCCATTCTGCACGTTTGTCTGGTCTAACCAAGCTCCATACTGTTGGTTGACAAACTTTGAATATTCATCTTGATTTCCCCAAAATTCTTATAGACACTTTCAAAAACGAAATCTGGTCTATTGTAGAAATTCACCATTGTAAGGGGAATAATAAGCTCTATGCCATAATCACAACTGAGTTTATATAAATACATGAATGTTTAAACTCACCTTATTAACCTAACTAACCTAAACTTACTATTTATATTTTGTCAGATTTTACGGAGTTTATAGAGGAAGCAAGGATGTTGAGACATCAGGACCACAGGTCAGAAATGAGATATGTTGCCAGAAAAAATAGGAAAGACAAAGGTGAAATTTTATACCTAAACTGTTAAATATTTGAGCACATCAGAACTGTGAACCAAGCAGCTTAGTTTTAACACTGTAGTTATTTATGTCTTTGGAATTAACTTTTATAATTTTCAGCTTGCCTGTTTATGTTTAGTAGAAAAAGTAGAGCTATTTGATGGCTGCATCATCGTTACTGTCGTTGTGCATAAACTTTAATGTAGCCTATTTTTCATAAATTGTAAAAGTTAGCAAAATGAAACTTGGAAAACTTGCCTAGCTTGACAAGGTGCAGATGTTAGACAAGGGGCATAATTCTGGAAAAAACCTATATTTTTGGAGTTATGTCCCTTTTTAACATGGAATTTTTGTCAAAAGTGATTAATTTTAAAAGATGAGCATTTGTGTCGCATATGGTGCTCTTGTTAATTAATATGTCTGTTATTGAGGGGTACAGTCTAAAGTGGTTGGCAAAGGCAAAAGAATTTATTCCAGATGTTCTCGTTATTCTTTTATTGATGAATATCTTGCCTACAGCCTATATCATTGCCAGCAAGAAGTGTGTTTGTATTATCTGGTTAATTCCTATTTCATTAAAGTTTGAAAGTGAAAAAAAATTATTTGTGTTTTTTGAAAGTTCAGTGTTATTTATTTAACTTTTTTCACCTTATTTACATAGGTGAAAAGTCAAAGGATATGCAAAGTTCAGGTGTTCAAACAGCAAGTGGAGAGAGTTCAAGAAAAACATCAACAGCAGAAGGAGGGAAGAGTCCAGCAGTGAAATCAGCTGCAACAACATCAGCAGGGGTAGATGAGGCATCAACATCATACGATGATACTTTACAAATAACAGAAAAAAACCCTGAGTCAGAGAGTGAGGCTGGGATTGAACCTGGAACTTCAGAGAGTTCTAAACCAACTATAAAGAGGCACAAGCCCGGTCGGAAAGGTGCACTGGATCCCCCAGTGGTTCCATACACAGAAATTGTGCTGGTCATGCCTCCTAAAGGTGTAGAAATAATAAACTATAATCCTAGAACAAAGAAAAATGCAAAGGAAAGATTGGACGGAAAATATCAATCTCTGAATCCCGATGAGGAATTAGTGACAAATGATTTAAGTAGAGAAATAACTTATGATGTGCATAGAACAAAATTAGATCAATTTATTGAAAAGCATAAATTAAATGAACAGACCTCTAGCAAGGAAAATGTTTCCGAAAATATTGATGATAGATATGACGGTGTCATGAAGAAAGCAGAGGAAACGGAAAATGATATTCCCGTAAAGAAACCTAAATTATACTCTATAAATCCATACTGTGTGCCAGTAACATTCTTAGACCTGAAGGCATCAAATTCATTAAAAAAGTATTAGCATGCTTTGATTCTTTCGAACTAATTCTGTTATAATAAAGGATCAACAATATACCTTGTCTACTCACAGGTATCTACAGAAACATGAGAGAAGGGAAATATAAAAGATAACCAAATTTTAAAATTGTATATGATGGATCTTAAACAAAAGAACTTGTTCAAACTGTCATTTACATCTTTAAAAAAAAACTTGTTTATGTTTTCAGTGCGGTTCATTTGTTCATATTTTTCATTGAATTTTTATTACTGCTTATTGTGTAGTTTCCGTTAGTTTCACAATTGTTATACTTTACAACTTGTTTCATACATGAATATTGAAGAAAACAGTGGTTTTATAGTGACTGATTAACAGGCAGATCAATGAGAAGATTTTTTCAAAAAAACTGAATAACTGGTTAAAAGTTCTGTGAAAATTCAGAGGTATGAAATGCAGTTAACATTACATGATTATTGACACTGTATATTGTATATACATGTATACTGAAGCAGATATGTAAGTTCATCAACTCTGCTGATTGGTTAATTATAGTACTGGTAGCTACGGTAACTTCAAATCATGTGCTTTTCACCAATTTGAATCCTGCCAGGGACCATGTATTCTTTCATTGAATATTGTTTGTTTCTTGTATTGCTTATTAAAAAAAAAAACACTCAAAATAAGATATGTGTTCTCTGACTAGTTTAAACCCATTGATTTTAACACTTAATCAGCATGCCTCCAGATTCATGCTTATTTTTTCATGAAAATTTTTAAAATGTATTTAAAAGTAAAATATTGTCAAGTCTAATTTATTATCTTGATTAAATATCAAAAACAAAATTATATTGTATATCGGGCAAAATATGATGATGCTACATCAAACATTACTTGTACACATAAAATTTAAAAAGGTCATATATCATTGATTGGTGCATGTCACATAAATACATCACATCACCATAAATATTAAATAACGTCTGGGTCAGTTTAGGGTACTCAACATTTTCCATACAGGTGACTGCTGTTTGGATTGGATCAAAGTAGTGAAGCTATATTTCATCTTTTGTCCTATCTAAGAAATCATCAACATCGAATTTGTAGCGCTGAAGGAAGGCTCGTACATTTATAAACATCTTTCCATTAATATCTGGTATACAAGAATGATTATATAGCTAGTGACGGACAAGTTGACAGTATATATTATACAAATATGGACTTTTTAGCTGTTGAATATGATGTGATATGTACTGAAAAAATTAATATTGACTGAGGCGATACATATTCAATAGCTAAAAAGTACATATATGTTTTATTATATAATTTATAAATAGCTTTTATATGGCTTATCACATCTGCCATTGCATAGGACGGAAATCATTATTTGCTTGTCATAGCTTGTCTACTGTTTCCATAATTTGGCCCTTTCCATTGGCATGCTAATCCCTGTTGTTCTTAAAAATGAAAAACGGTAACTTATATAGACTAATTTGACTCTTATGTACACCCAACTCAACGTTTTTTCAGAATAATAACAACAAACTTGGCGTGACGTCACATCAAAGTCTCGCTTCTTTTAGGGATTTCCAGAAAATCTATATTAAGAAGAAAAACCGGTGAATATACTCTGAAAATCTATTTTAAGGAAAAAAAACAGTGAATATACTCTGATATTGACCTGTTATTTTTTACAAAAAGTTGCTTGTTAGCCAATCAGGGAAAGACATTTCAAAGCTATTTATAGATTATATAATAATATTAATTATATCCTGGTCAAACTATGCTGATATTTCAATCTTGCCACGCTGTCCAATCAGATACTGTATTGCGCTTCTTGCCTTTCTTAGCTCTATATGATCGGTGATCAAAATTGAATGTAGAAATTGATTTAGAACTAGAGAAAATGTGATTCCATTTTGATTTACACTAAATATTCAAGAAATCAATTTTAGATTTACATTGAATATTTCAGCATATAATGCAATGATATTCCAAATTACATTAAACATAGGCGGCGTAAAGCCAATAATTCAATTCAATCACAATTTTTATAAAGTACATCGTATTTCAGTCAATATTGTAATTGCATACTGATTTATGTCAAACATTTCAGCCAGTAATGTCACCACATTCCAATTTCGATCAACTCTTTTTATACAACAATGTAATCATATTTTGATTAAAGTCGTATATTTCAGCCAATAACGTGATCACAATTCTAATTTACATCAAAGAACTTGGCCAATAATGTAATGTATCAGGAGTTATTTATAACATACAACATTTTATGGAAATATGGCAGTTTTATTCTCACAGCATAATGTATAAATAAATAACGATTAAACAATGAAACACCTTAACATGAGCACTTGATGCCTGGTCAATATCAAAATAACATTACTATACACATACATATACAGTATTTCTTATAGAACCCCCGTAGACACCAGGAAATTGAAATTGATGTTTTCAAAAAACAAAACAAAAAAACATGTAGATACTTCATAAATCCACGAAGAAACTTCATAAATCCATGTAGATACTTCATAAACCCATGAAAAAACTTCATGAAATCATGCAGATACATTCATTTCATTTCAAAAATGTGTTTTACAAAACAAACATACATGTATATCATATACATGTATATCCATTTAATTAAAAAACAATGATTACCATCTAAGTTATTGTTCAACAAGGCATCTAACAAATGAATTAAATTTTTTTTTTAAATATCCTACCTTTATGTCAATTAGCAACTTAAAAGACGAAAATCAGAGCAAAAACCTAAAATGTGAAACCCCTGGAGTTACACATAAAATTCTGCAAAGTTGAACAGGTAAGTTACCTTGGGAAGAGAAAGCATCTGTACAGCTATGCAGAGGAGAACAATATATATATTCTTTATCCTATAAAATTGCATTATTCTTGTATATCAGTTGTGGTTTTTTTACACAGAAAGCCCTCTTACCACCTTAACCATTTCTCCTTGTGTCAGATATCCCACTGTATGGTAGCCGGTGTAAGCTTCTTGTATTTAATATCACATAGCCATATTCTAAGTCTACACAGAACAAACAGTTCAATAGTTTACTATTAAATCAGTTTGTTCAAAAAGATAACCAGGGGTATCATATATGTAAACTTACTGAAATATCATGATTTATTTTAGAACTAAGAATAGTGGACATTTATTGCAAGTAAGACAGTAACAATAACCACATTGAAAGTTATATAATGACTAAATTTTGTTTAAAACCTAGTCTTGCTCTGAATTTGAAGCAGTCTAAAAAATTGAACTAAAAGGCATTTCAGTACCAAGACATGAAAGTGAAAATATACAAGAGAGACAAACATTCACAGAATAGCACTCACAGGGGGTAATAGACTGGAACTGCACAAAACTTGAGTACCCTGAACAGTATGGTCTGACCAGGCTGGCCGGACAATATTCTTGCGATGAAGGCATAGTACTTTTATTACAATTAGTATTGATTCAAAAAGTTAAGAAAACATTTTACATATTAAACAGTGATGAGATCTTCTAATGAACATGTGCAACTATCAAATCACAAATTTCTTAAGACTGTTGAAATATTTGGACATTAATATTGATCACATTTATATTTGTTTTGCTTCTAATGTAGCATTCATAATGAGAAAATGTCATGTTAAACTAATATATACATGTTCATACTGTTTACAATACTAGTAAGTTGTCCCATTTTAATACTGTATATAAATACCAACTCTAATTATTCTACAGTGTTTTCCCAAATAACATAATAAAATCTCAATGGTGAATATTGCAATAATAGCAACAATTTTACTAGTCTAGAGCTATATACATGTATATGCAGTGCTCACCCAGTCATTAGCTAGAATATTCATAATTTGGACAAATAAATAAATAATCTCCAAAATTTCATACCCATGTTTTTTTCTAATTTGCCGGAATTTTGTATGAAGTAAGAAAATCACTCTGATTTGGCTAAAAGAATTTTTTAACCTAGGTTAAACCTGTATATGTGCATAAGATAATGAAACTTAAAGTGTGGTTTGAACCCAATGAAGTTAACTGTAATGCAGTCAATATAATGTAGTAAATCTAAAATCAATTCTACAACTTGTGTCATAATTATATTTGTTCCCTAAACCTATGTTACTAAACAAATATGGAATTTACATGTACTTGGAGCACTGTTCAAGATAGGGACTGAATGGTAAAGTTTTCAACATTTCTCAGCATAGTTCCTGCAGTAACCACATCCACATGGACACCATCTTTGGATACCCATGGCCAAACCATAACATTTACATGGGTATCCGATGATGCATGGACACACCTGTACAAATATGCATATGTTGCCCCATCTTTAAACAGGGCAGATTAACCTTAATGCTATTGCCAGAAAATGATCAACTTAAACTTGGGTTTAAAAGAAGATTTTTTAAGTTTTTACTATATGCATATAGGGAAAATCAATGACACCCTGGGGCGGGGCCAATTTTGACCCCAGGGCTTTAATTTGAACAAACTTGGTAGACACCCATTAGAGGATGTTTCATGCTAAATATCTTAGCTCTAGCTCTTTGGGTTCTTTAAAAGAAGAATTTTTAAGTTTTTACTATATGCATATAGGGAAAATCAATGACCCCCTGGGGCGGGGCCAATTTTGACCCCAGGGCTTTTATTTGAACAAACTTGGTAGACACCCATTAGAGGATGTTTCATGCTAAATATCTTAGCTCTAGCTCTTTGGGTTCTTTAAAAGAAGAATTTTTAAGTTTTTACTATATGCATATAGGGAAAATCAATGACCCCCTGGGGCGGGGCCAATTTTGACCCCAGGGCTTTTATTTGAACAAACTTGGTAGACACTCACTAGAAGATGTTTCATGCTAAATATCTAAGCTCTAGCTCTTTGGATATTTAAAAAGAAGATATTTAAAGTTTTTTCTTTTGGTTGCCATGGCAACCAGAGTTCTGCATGGAATTGAATTCTTTGAACAATTTTCAAAGGTGACCACCAAAGGAACATTCCTGTGAAGTTTGGATGAAATTGGCTTAGTGGTTTATGAAGAGATGTCATTTAAAGTAAAAGTTTACGGACGGACAACGGACGGACGGACGCCGGACGAAAAGCGATCACAAAAGCTCACCCTGTCACTTTGTGACAGGTGAGCTAAAAATTAAGCACCCCAGTACAGTTCACATAGGAACCGTCCAATCTAGCACTAACTTGCTTAGATGTCTGAAGACAAAGCAGTACAAAGCTTACAGCTAGGGGCACTGTTATGTTTATAGGTATGTTAAGCTTAGAGCAATGTAACTGTCTAGAGAAGTGTCAAAGTCTTGTCATAACAAGTCACCATGTATGACTAGCTGATACTCTCAGTGTCAGCCTGTTTATGTGCGATGTACAGAAATCCTATACTTGATAAAGCACTCACGAGAAATATCACATCAAACCATCGATGATAAAAATTGAACTGTAATTCTCCCAACACTTCTGTTATAATTGTTCTGAAATAAACAATAAAAAACTCTTTTGTTATACATATTCTGGAATTAATTCTGAAATGAACATTTCAAATATTTTCATGATAAATACAATGTAGAATGGGAAGACTAGTGGTTAAAGTCTAGTGGTTAAAGTTATGTTTTCTCTACTGTCCAGGGATAGCCGCATGTCTCCATTAATGACATTATCACTGGTCAGTCCAAGATAGCACTCTTGTAAGTGGTTCAGATTAGCAAATTCAAGCATCCCTCATCATCTAGCTATAATAAATCTGTTAAAACAGGCTTTCATTAATGATAATACTAGTAGACTAAGTATAAATTCCAAGGGTAAGAAATTTCATTCAGATGTGATAATCTGACAGAATGTTGATAAATGACATATTCTATAGACTTTCATTAAAACATGATACTACACAATATACAGCTGGTATGTTTTTATGCCCCTCTTAGGTGGGTATGTACCGCCTCCGTGGTCGAGGGGTTAGAGTCAATGACTTCTAATCCAGTTACCTCTCTGGCATGGGTTCGATCCCCGGGAGATGCTTTGGTAGTTTAGCGCGGAGGAAGGTAGTCTAGTACCGGTGTAACTCTCCAGGAACGATGGTTAGGAAACTACCCGCCTATATGACTGAATTACTGTTGGAAAAGGCGTAAAATGAAACAAACAAACAAAAGGTGGGTATATAGATTTGCCCTTGTTCATCCGTCCTTCATGCTGTCACACAGTCCATCCATAGACTGACAAAAACAACAGAATGTAGGGTATACAGTATACAGTAAGATTTTCTATCAGTATTATCAGCTGATAAAATAAGAAAGTTATAAAGAAGGAAAGTACAGTGTTGCCATTTATCATCTTACCTATATTCTAGTGGCATATTCATCCTCATTAACAGAACAGAAGAGACAAAATACATCCCCTGAAAATAATCACATTTAATACAATATCAGATGGCATGAAAAATATTTTTCTAATTAAAGCGTAAAAAAGCTGTATATTATGAAATATTTCTATAAAATTTTTCAACCCTAAGTTAATATTATATTGTTTCCATAATCTTACGATTGATTTTTAAAAAAAGTTAATAGAATAGAATGTCTCTGTTATTTAACATTCATGAATTTTGTATGTTAACAGAATAACAAGTTCTGGAACAAAGCATTATGCTGCTATTTAAAGGTTTTAAGGGTTTTAACTGTTTAGCAATGATTTTGTGCATGCGAAATTCGCTTATAAGGCAATACATGTATATGTCCATTTTTTTTCATAGTTTACAACCATTTTGGAAGCATTCAATCTTTCATTTCAGCACTGAAAATGGCTGACCTGTATTTTTTTTAACCTCTACAAGTATTTTCTAAATAAAGTTTTAATTGATTGTCCTAATACATAAAGAAATTGTAATACAAATGATAGAATTAAACTATGTAGTTAACTCACCATAATCTGAGCTAAACAGAGTACAATAATGTTGGAAGATTTGCTACTTGCTATTGCATAGAAAAACTGAAATAAAATATATGATAGAATTTATATTCATTTGAAAATAGTTTGAATTATATGAAACCAGCTTTATTCATACCATACATATTTGTTTCTACATGTTATTATATTTTTGCCACTAAATGGCAGAACGTGCTTCTTGTGTTTAAAGTGTTTCTCATTATGACGTCACTTCCGGTATTTTTATTATGCTTTGCAATGAAGGCATGTAGCTGAAACATCCATAATAAATAATTACTGACTGAATGTTCGTGTTTGTGTGGCTTGTTTGTTAATAAAACATGTTATTGGTAAAATAATAGATATTTCTAGAGAGTGTTATATTTATGTCAAACTTAAGTGTAGATCTAAAACAATAAATTACAGGTAAATCAATGACAATTGGCTATTAAAAAGCCGTACAAGATGTGAATAACCTAATATTTTAATTGTATCACAAAACCATACATCATTTGATTGGAGACTGATATAAGATGACATTATGCAGAGATTATTTGAGCCGCGTCATCTGCGCAGGCTGATCAGGATCCATGCTGTTCGCTATCAGTTTCTCTACTTGTAATAGAGTTGGTTAGCGAACAGCATAGGACACGGATGCCCCCACACGCCACTGTTCTGTCAATCTTATGACTCTAGGTCAAATATTTTTTGGACTACATGTGCCACAAGTTGAAAACTAAAAATCAACAAAGGGCCATAATTCTGTTAAATTTGGTCGGCAAGCAAAAATTCCATTCCTTTACTACCATCTACACATTAAAGGTTGTTAATCCCCCTGGAAGTTTAAAGCAAAATCTGCCATCCGGTTTAAGAGGCAAGTTGCGTTCACAAAATTTCTACATAGTATATAATGAAAAAATCAACAAAGGGCCATAATTCTGTTAAATTAGGTTGCAGCAAAAATTCCTTCCTTTACTGCCATCTACACATTAAGGTTGTTCATCCCTGGAAGTTTAAGCAAAATCTGCCATCCGGTTTAGGAGGAGTTGCATTCACAACATTTCTACATAGTATATAGTGAAAAAATCAACAAAGGTGGCGCGATAGCTCAGTTGGTAAGACCACTGACAGTCACTCCTGAGGTTCCGGGTTCGATCCTGGGTAACACCCTTGGGATTTTTCAGAAACACTTTCAGTGTTTCCCACCTAACTAGAGGTTTACTGGTAAGAAACCCAGGTAATCCTCGCATGTACCAGTGCTATACACTGGGCATGTAAAAGAACCAAGGAATCTATTCAATAAGAGCTAGGGACTGGTTCCCGGATTTCCTTGTATCGCATAGCTATCTCTACAGTCTGCTGAGGATGGACCCTACTGGAAATAAGTGCTTGCACTTTCGTAGGATATCCTTGACCGCCCGGTCTAAAGAAAATCAATCAATCAATCAATCAAGGGCCATAATTCTGTAAAATTTGGTCGCAGCAAAAATTCCTTCCTTAACTACCATCTACACCTTAAGGTTGTTCATCCCTGTAAGTTTATGCAAAATCTGCGATCCGGTTTAATAGGAGTTGCGTTCACAAAATTTCTACATAGTATATAGTGAAAAAATCAACAAAGGGCCATAATTCTGTTAAATTTGGTCGCAGCAAAAATTCCTTCCTTTAATACCATCTACACATTAAGGTTGTTCATCCCTGTAAGTTTAAGCAAAATCTGCCATCCGGTTTAAGAGGAGTTGCGTTCACAAGATTTCGGGACGTACGGATGGACGGACGGACAAGTGCAACGCTATATGCTCCCACATTGTGGGGGCATAATAAAACTCAAGAATATTTGGTGATGGATAAATGGCACTAATGTGACTATACAGTCTTGAACCAAGCTGACAATGAAAAATTTGTACCATGACATTGTTGTCCCTCGACAGAGAGACTCAAACTACTGGTTAAAAAGTAATCAGTTCTAAACAATGATAAAAAATTCACCAGTCAAATTCTTTTTATCAAATGTTTAGTTTTAACTAATGTTTTAAGTAATCCAGTGTTGAGATTCATACTCACATAATTTACCTTGCAGGCTAACATTACTGTAATAATAATTAATATCATTATAACTTTATAGTAACTTACTCTGGTTAATGTAATTAGCAGACCTCTTATAGATGTCACTATAATAATTCCTATCAGGATAAATGATATTTGTTGAGACCAAAACTTTACCTGAAATAAAATGAATTACATTTAAATAATTTTCACATAACATTTATGTCTTAAAGACTGAGGAACCCAATATAACAAACTGAAAAGAAACCCATAAAAAAAATTGGGAAAACACATAACATTTACAATATGTAAAAAATCATGAGGCATGTTTATCAAACTTAATGACCTTTACTTTTGTACAACAGAGACCATTTCACTTATTAAGATAATAATGGCAACAACTAAGAAAGGAAGCTTCTGTACATATATTCCATTATTCCTTTGTTCATATAATAGACATTTTTTTTTTTTGTTAAGCATCAAGCCATGTCAAAGAAGTAAATAATTGATTAAATTATAATCTTAAAAGCAATACAATAATTATATTTAATTAATATCCTTAAATCAAATGGCTATACCCAGGTAGTTGACAGCTATTCTATAGCCTCGGTTACAGGAATTCTACTTTTCCCCTACTTTTATTATTTTACTGTTGACTGAAACAAAAGGAAATTTTTTTTGATACCAGTTTTTTGAAAGTTCACAACAGAGATTTTTAAAAAAATCATAACAAGACTTTTTTAGACTACAATGATCCTCTACTTAGAAATTTTGCAAACAATGCTTTGACATTCAAGCCAAAGAAGTACCCCTTATCTCCTTTACCTAATGGTATGGGTATTTTTTTTTTTTTTTAAATGTTTAAAAGCTAATTAAGCTAAGACTTTTTTTTTTTTTAATCTTTTTTTCCCTCAAGAAGCAATTTGTTGTGAAATAAACAATTAAAAATATACTTTCGGTTTCCTCTCAAAAGATTGAGCTTAGATGTCACAAGGTAAATTTATTATAGCTATGTTATAACCTTACTTTAACTTTATTAAGATTTTTTTTTTTTTTTTTTTTTTTTTTTTTTTTTTTTTTTTTTTTTTTTTTTTTTTTTTTTTTTTTTTTTTTTTTTTTTTTTTTTTTTTTTTTTTTTTTTTTTTTTTTTTTTTTTTTTTTTTTTTTTTTTTTTTTTTTTTTTTTTTTTTTTTTTTTTTTTTTTTTTTTTTTTTTTTTTTTTTTTTTTTTTTTTTTTTTTTTTTTTTTTTTTTTTTTTTTTTTTTTTTTTTTTTTTTTTTTTTTTTTTTTTTTTTTTTTTTTTTTTTTTTTTTTTTTTTTTTTTTTTTTTTTTTTTTTTTTTTTTTTTTTTTTTTTTTTTTTTTTTTTTTTTTTTTTTTTTTTTTTTTTTTTTTTTTTTTTTTTTTTTTTTTTTTTTTTTTTTTTTTTTTTTTTTTTTTTTATTTTTTTTTTTTTTTTTTTTTTTTTTTTTTTTTTTATTTTTTTTGTTTTTTTTTTTTTTTTTTTTTTTTTTTTTTTTTTTTTTTTTTTTTTTTTTTTTTTTTTTTTTTTTTTTTTTTTTTTTTTTTTTTTTTTTTTTTTTTTTTTTTTTTTTTTTTTTTTTTTTTTTTTTTTTTTTTTTTTTTTTTTTTTTTTTTTTTTTTTTTTTTTTTTTTTTTTTTTTTTTTTTTTTTTTTTTTTTTTTTTTTTTTTTTTTTTTTTTTTTTTTTTTTTTTTTTTTTTTTTTTTTTTTTTTTTTTTTTTTTTTTTTTTTTTTTTTTTTTTTTTTTTTTTTTTTTTTTTTTTTTTTTTTTTTTTTTTTTTTTTTTTTTTTTTTTTTTTTTTTTTTTTTTGATTTTTTTTTTTTTTTTTTTTTTTTTTTTTTATTTTTTTTTTTTTTTTTTTTTTTTTTTTTTTTTTTTTTTTTTTTTTTTTTTTTTTTTTTTTTTTTTTTTTTTTTTTTTTTTTTTTTTTTTTTTTTTTTTTTTTTTTTTTTTTTTTTTTTTTTTTTTTTTTTTTTTTTTTTTTTTTTTTTTTTTTTTTTTTTTTTTTTTTTTTTTTTTTTTTTTTTTTTTTTTTTTTTTTTTTTTTTTTTTTTTTTTTTTTTTTTTTTTTTTTTTTTTTTTTTTTTTTTTTTTTTTTTTTTTTTTTTTTTTTTTTTTTTTTTTTTTTTTTTTTTTTTTTTTTTTTTTTTTTTTTTTTTTTTTTTTTTTTTTTTTTTTATTTTTTTTTTTTTTTTTTTTTATTTTTTTTTTTTTTTTTTTTTTTTTTTTTTTTTCTTTCCTGCAATACGAGAAGCATTGTTTTAACAAATATTGATTAAGTTTCATGTTAAAATTTTCCACTTTAAGTAAATGACAAATTTTTTTTATATAACAACAATATAAAAAAATTTTTTTTTAAAACTTGCCCCCCCTTTTTTTTTGGGGGGGTTTTTTTTTAAAAAAAAAAAAAAAAAAAAAAAAAAAAAATTTTTACATTTCCCTTAAAATTCATTTTAAAAATTTTTTTTTTTTAAATTATACAGGTCATTCATTTTAAAATTTTTTTAAAAAAAAAAAAAAAAATTTTTTAAACCGGGGTTTTTTTTTTTTAAAAAAATTTGGGTTTTTTTAATTTTCCTTTTTTAAAAATTTTTTTGGAAAGAAATTAAAACCAAAAAAAGGGTTTTTTTTAAAAAAAAGATACTTTTAATTTTTAAAATTTTTTTTTAAAAAATTTTTTAATTTATTTTTGGGGGGGGAAAAAAAAAAATTCCCCCCGGGGGAAAAAAAAAAGGGTTTTTTTTTGGGGGGGTTTCCCCAAAAAGGGAAAAACCCTTAGGTTATTTAGGGGAAAAAAAAAAAAAAAATTTTTTAAAACCTGATTTTAAATATTGCAAAGGTCATATTTTTTCAAATGACATTTTTCACTTTCTAATTGATAGCAATTAAAGTAGCATTTAACAAATATAACTGACCAACTATATTTGTATAGTAAGTATGGCATTCAAAAAGTTTGAAACTAACCATGTTTAATTTAGCAGTATAATCTAATCAAATCTAACAAACAACAAAATATTTAAATTTAAAAAAAATACTCCTCCAAGAAATCTTTGACACACAACACTACAAAGGCAAGTAAAATTTCATGGGCAAGAAGGCTGACCACCCTCTATACTGATAACATGAACAAATTAACTACTCATATTTCACAGAAATATTGAAATATTTGGCTTATTATACACTGAGATGTGTAAGGATACTTTCAGAGGAACCACCAGCTGTTACTGTTTTCAGCATTCCCCACAATCCTCCACCTATATTCTGACTGGCTGATCTAAGATTCTCCCTCTTTGCTAATGCTATCCTATAATTAGAAACATTAGAAACTCAGTTCAACAAGGTTTTGCTTAACTTTCATCTAAAACAAGTCAAAACTGCACTGTAAACTAATTACAGTATATTAATTTAAGCTACATTTTTGATAAGTAAACACTAAATGTTAATATAACAATAATGACATGAATGTGTGACAAAGATAAAATATACCGATATTTGTGAAGTATTACTTAACATACTTTATAATTGTTGTAATCATTTCACCTTTGATCAATCAGAAATAAATAATTACTTATATCTGTTATCCCTCAGTATAATACCAAATTTCATCAAAAATATTATGTGCCCATAATTTGTCCCTGTCCTAGAGTCACCATAACTGTATATGTCTTAAAGTCTCCACAAATGTTCAGTAAGAAATAATACAGTTTTTAAACTTCAATTAAAATTTAATGTATCTGTAATTTCTTCAACATTGATCATTAGAAAATATAGTGTATCAAACTAGGGCTTTGAAAATGCTTAGGGTAATGGATTATGGCCACCCCTGGATAATAAGTATTTCATGATTTAATTATATCATCTATTGTTATTCTACTTCTGCATATTTATGCAAACCATATAAAAGGGAGAAAATGACATTTATGCATAATAAATGTATTCAACAAAACTGTCTATAGAAAACCTCAACGACTTTTGTTATCAACAATATAGAATTATATAATGTATAATACCTTCTCTTTTTGTTCATGATCATATCCATGGTCTGCATCAGACGTTTCTCTATACCCTGTATCTCAGCATCTGTTACATGCCTGTAATTGTTTAATATGAATATTTGAGATGCGTCACGACATAACCAACATAATGGGTTTGAGACCAGCATGGATCCAGACCAGCCTGTGCATCCATGCAGTCTGATCAGGATCCATGCTGTTCTCTTACAGACCCTATAACAAGTAAAGAAACTGATAGCGAACAGCATGGATCCTGATCAGACTGCGTGGATGCGCAGGCTGGTCTGGATCTATGCTGGTCGCAAACCCATTATGTTGGTTTTGTTGTGACGCGGCTCAATTTTCTTCTTCATTAATAACTAATATAAGATATACTTTTGCGTATCAGTCTTTAAGATACAAGTTATTTTAAGGTATTGGATGTCACTTATATCAGAATTGATTTAATTACAGTGTATTTTTTTTTTAAACTTAAAGCAATATGCCTCCAGATTCAGGCTAATTTTCATGAAAAATTTTGAAAATGTATTTATAAGTAAAATTAATGAGTGAAATTTAAAAGTAAAATATTGTCAAAGGAACAAATAAATTACGCTACATATTACAAACAACACTTTCAATAAAATAAAGGTCAAAATATGCATAATTAGCCCTTACTGTCTTAGTCACGCAGTAGATATATGGTGATAAATAATACAAAATCATTTATTCATTCTATAACTTGAATTGTGAATATTTTCACTTTTCTTAAAATCTTAGGACCTTTTTCTCAAAATTGATTTTCTTGAAATTTTTAGGCTCATCTGCAGGCATAAAGCTTTAAATAATCCCTTAATTAAGTGAAATATCACTGTTATACACCAATAGTATCAGATACAAAGTTACATGTAAATAAAACCCCATACAAGTGTTATGCCAGCACATCTATGGGTAGGATAGCTTTACTTGACCAGTAAATATATATAACAATAATAATAACTGCAAAAGCAAGGAATGAAGACTGGGTCAAATGTGTGAATCCTAGTTACCTGATAAAGCAGAACATGGATGTGTAAGGATAGTTGACTGCACCAAAACCTGACAGTATAGCCATCAATGTTACACCTATAATACCAACACGGCCTATACACTGCTCTATTGAAAGTATGCCTGTAATATAGAAAATAAATGACTACATAAATGTTACACCTATAATACCAACACGGCCTATACACTGCTCAATTGAAAGTATACCTGTAATATAGGACAATAAATATTATCATCAATGTTACACCTATAATACCAACACGGCCTATACATTGCTCTATTGAAAGTATACCTGTAATATAAGACAATAAATAATATCATCAATGTTACACCTATAATACCAACACGGCCTATACACTGCTCTATTGAAAGTATACCTGTAATATAGGAAAATAAATGACTACATAAATGTTACACCTATAATACCAACACGGCCTATACAATGCTCTATTGAAAGTATACCTGTAATATAGAAAATAAAAGACTACATAAATGTTACACCTATAATACCAACACGGCCTATACACTGCTCTATTGAAAGTATACCTGTAATATAGAAAATAAAAGACTACATAAATGTTACACCTTTAATACCAACACGGCCTATACACTGCTCTATTGAAAGTATACCTGTAATATAAGACAATAAATAATATCATCAATGTTACACCTATAATACCAACACGGCCTATACACTGCTCTATTGAAAGTATACCTGTAATATAAGACAATAAATATAACAGCATCAATGTTACACCTATAATACCGACACAGCCTATACATTGCCCTATTGAAAGTATGCCTGTAATATAAGACAATAAATATAACAGCATCAATGTTACACCTATAATACCGACACAGCCTATACATTGCTCTATTGAAAGTATACCTGTAATATAAGACAATAAATATAACAGCATCAATGTTACACCTATAATACCGACACAGCCTATACATTGCTCTATTGAAAGTATACCTGTAATATAAGACAATAAATATAACAGCATCAATGTTACACCTATAATACTGACACAGCCTATACATTGCTCTATTGAAAGTATGCCTGCAATACAGGAAAATAAATATCTACATCAATGTTATACCTATAATACCAACACAGCATATACATTGCTCTATTGAAAGTATGCCTGCAATATAGGAAAATAAATATCTATGTTACACCTATAATATCAAACACGGCCTATACATTGCTCTATTGAAGGTATGCCTGTAATATAGGACAATTAATTCAATTTATATCTATTATGACACTAATAGACTGAATGTATAAACCTTCAATAGCTTTACTTTTAAAGTAATTATTTTTTACAAAAAATAACAATTTTATACTTACCATGTTTAGGACTTAGGATTGGGAAAGGATCTCCAATTTTCCAGAAGAAATATAGGAAAACACACCAAGAGACGAAAGTTAGTGTGACCCGTACATGGCCCTTTGGTGGTACTGAAATGAACAATACGTTCCTGAATTATACATCAGAGTTTACTATTTAATCAAACAACTTTCTAAAATCTATGTACAAATTGACGTATCCAATAGGTTAATTCACCTCATTTTCTATCCAACACGAAAAGAAGAAAATGGGGTATCAGATCTTATAATATGAATAAGATCTGACAAAACCAAACACTTTTTCATTAAATAATAATGCTGGACATTGTAGAAAAATGGTTTCTTTTATAAATATGTCCCCATCAATAAAATTATGGGCTCATAAAATAAGGTATTCGCGAAGGAAATTTTTCATATTTTCTTCTATGGTATTTTCCAACAACCAATGAAATTGAAGTATTCTCAAATTAACAGAAATTAACAGAAATACAACAATATGATTGGTTACAATTATCGTGTACAGTAAAAGGTTTATTTTCTCTAATTTCGTAAATTTAAAGTACTTTTCGTCTCGTTTAACATCATTATATGTGGTGGTTGGTCCATCTATCCGATTCTGATAAAGGTTTGAGTGATTTATTAGTGCGTGGTCCGCGAGCTCACATTTTCTCCAGCAAAAAGATGAATGTATTAAGATATAATCAATGCCGTAAAATGAAACTTTACAAGATAAATACAAGGTAGTCTAACTAGACAAAACTTTTTGATGTATTAGGTTAAGACGCGAACACAATAACATTACGCGAGAGGTAGTTGCCTAAGTTATATACTACAGTATAGGATACTGTATGTAAGTTTGGACAAATATTTTATATTTTAAATTTTTGAGTCAGTGCACAGCCATTGTATAAAGTGTACAAAACCTATTTTAAGTGTTTATTTTTAAAAGTGGCCCTAATAAGTGGCCGTGAAACGGTGCTATTGAGAAGTTTATTTATTTATTTATTTTGTAATTTTATTGCTATGTAATTTTAATTGAATAATTTCTTAAATAGGCTGTGCACTAGACTATTTTTACCATACAGTCTCATGGTTATTATCAAAATTGGGAGGTGCTGGCTACAGATTACCCATAATGTCAAAAAAGACTCCATATTGTATATATCCCTTTGCCCCCCGCCCCGTGTTATTTATTATCTATCTTTTTTATTCCTGTATATATAAACTAGTATCCTTAATACTAGTAAACGTGAACCCGTGCCCCCATATGGAGCAATACGTTTATCACGGGTTCACTCAAGCATGAGATTTTCTTAAATATGTTACATAAAGACTATCTCATCACATTATGGGTAACCAAGTTATTATTATTAGCCATATTTGGGACTTAGATTTTTTCTTATTCTTCTATGAATTGTTTAAGTAATAGAAGATTAATTATTATGTGTGATATCTAGATGCATAATAATTTATAGACCATGAGACAGTGATAAATAGATAAGGCCGTTTCCACCACATTTTAACTATCATATTTGTTTTAATTTTGAAATAAAGTTGGTAAAAACACGTATACATTGGATGCAACGGGCACCTGCTAAATCTCTATCCCGTTCGCGCGACAAACTTGTCGATATAGGTCAATCCGAAAATTAAGAAAATTTGCAAATTATCACAAAACCGGATTGACCTCCTTATTTTGTAAACAGAGAATTTTCGGCCAATGAGAACAAAGGAGGCAATCCTCTCTAAACCAATCAAAATTAACTTTATAAAGCGGGTGTTCGGTAGAACTTACAAAAACTACAAAATTTAAAACAAACTCTGCTAATTACAAACATGTAATTAATTATATGCATACCAATGTATACGGTTTATAACATTTAAATAGAAACCAACAGTCAGCCCACAATGAATTGGTCAGAAAACGTTCCTGACATGCCTTCTTCGCAAATCTGCGAACTCTACAATATAGGTAATATTTTAAATTTTTTTAGTTACACTAAATATTAGATAGACCTGTTATAAAAGACGGTAACTTCTATAAACGTCTTGGCCAATTTTAAAATAAGTGCTTTTTAATAATTTAATTTTAGAAGTCTTAATCTTAGTATGGGATTGCCCCATCTTCCTCCCATGGCAGAGGTTGTACGTAGTGACTACCCTGTCATGGGGGATATGGTATGCACATAAACACATGTACGGATATGACAATAAGTAATTAAACATCAGCTCCCCCTTTTTTAAAAGGTTATAAATGAAGTATATGCTCGCCCATATGGTCTCTTTCCGGTGGCGAGGGTAAACAAATCCAAACACACACACAAAAAATCTACAGCCCAATGAACTATAATAACTTTTTAAATATGAAATTGGATCATTTGAGTATGATTAAATGTGAACTTAAATAATTCATTTAGATGATGTTTAAACATATACTTTTAACAACATACATTTAAAGACACCAACATACATTTATCACAATCAATTCTATCACGCATTATTTAAATTATAAGTAACAATACATGTAGACGAAAGATATTCTTATTAAAAACTAATCACCCTTACAAACCCAGGATTTTTTTTACCTAAAATCATTTTGTATGAGATTATTATTATTTTTTTTTTTTTGCTTTTTTAAATTGTTTTTTTCTTAAAACCTTTCTTTGAGTTTTTCACCTAAAATAATTTATTTTGTACAAGATTTTTTGTTTTGATTGCTTTTTTTGTTGCTTTTAACCTTTCTTTTAGTTAGTTTACACATGGTACCACTCTGTGTACAGGAAAGAACACATTCCATAATTTATGTCAAAACTCAATAAAAATTCCAGAATACATTTTTTAACATCAATTTGTTTGTGAATATAAAAAATGGAAGCAAGAATTTCCCAGATGTTACACAATCAATGAGAACTTATGTACCTATTACACCATGTGTCAATGATCATACAAACATGTTATATAGAAATGTTACATGCCATTTATAAACATATCTATTGAAGCAGTCAGTATATCAAACTATTACATATATGCACCACCCACTGCAATTTTGTAACATTATTTGTTTGTGAACCTTTTCCATGTAAAATATCTTATTTGGACTTGTCCATCTTTCAATCTGAGTAGATCATTCATCATTTTTAAGAAAAAAAATTGAAATGTTTACAGACTCAGTGAATGGTAAACAGTACAGACCATGATGAGATGGTATAAATGTACAAACTTATATATGTCTGCACTGGTTGAATGGGTAAAATCAGTAGGCTAAGGGTTAACAGGTACAACAACAACATCATAATAATTAAACCTTATGTAGTTACTGTATAAAATATCTGATAATCATATCATTTAACATTTGCTATTTTAAGCATTACATTCCTAATCAAACTGTAACTTGTAAGGCCAATGTGGCATCTTAATATTGATCAAATCCCTTAAACTTTGAATGGACTGTTCCAAATTTAAAGTTAGACAAATTAATTACACAAATTCAGAAGTAAATTCAGAGATAAAGAAAACTGCTTAAATTACAGTAACAAAACTGATCCAAAATAACCAACAAAGGACTTGGGTTCTTTTAAGTTTTTGTCTATTCTTTATGTTTGGTTTAAAATTACTCAGGCACTGTATGTTAATGTCATATGACAACTTTCCTGCTGTAAATAAATAAGCATGACCTCAGATTCTCCAATTTATTTCAGGTATGAGCATTTACTGGAGTAGAAATATATATCCTTGTAAATTCAGCTAAAGAAGACCCTTCTGTTAGATTTGTGAAGGTAACAAAAACATATTCTCTGATAAGTTTGATGCCATTTTACTTGGTAGGATTGTAATTTCTGAGACTGTTAGGCATGAAAATGTTACAGGCCTCTTACAATGTAACATTACAGGCCTATTATAATATTACATTATTAAACTGACTTACCTAGTCTGAGGTTACTAAGCACAAAGAAGGCAATATATGCTGGCAGGATAACTATTAGTAAGAACAGGATGACAAACAACTGTAACTTCCAGTGAAAATAACGAGAACTGAAAATAGAAACATCATATTATTTCACTAATGAAAAAACTTTTTTATTCTATAATGTTGTATTAACAATGCAGTACCAGTTTTAACTGCATATAATTATATTTTATTCATTTACAAGTGAACAGTTACATGACTTGTGAGTATAATGAGAGTTGACAAGAGCCTTTACCACTTCTGACATTTTCCCCCCAAGTATCATTTAACCTTTCGGCATAAAACATTTTTGTTGTCAACCGAAAAGAAAGCAATTGTATTAGGATTACTAAAAGTCTGTAGCCACAGATCAATATCTACAACATATTAAATATTAACCGAGAGCACTAAGATAAAACTAACCGGCCCTTTATTGCTCACTGTAAAAAATAATTATAATGTATCAAATTGGACTAGTTTCAGCTAATATCACTTGTTGCTAAATAATATATATATGCATGATTATCTGGTATATCCATGTGTATACATCTGTTTGCAGTTTGAGAACTCTACTACTTTTTTGTTGGGTTTTATGCCAAAACAATAAAGTAGAGGTCATATGGGGACTTTCCAGCTTTACTTTCTGGTGCCACTCTGTGCATTCTTTCAGGCATGAACGGGCACCTGAGTAGAACTGTCAACACTCCAAAAGCTAGCTAGATAGCTTTCTCACATGAAAGAATCCAAAATCCCTATAGGGATTTGTACCCACAGATGTGAGGGGTAAATGGTTTGAAGTCAATGACCTTAATCGCTAAGCCATGGATGCCCCTCAAATGGATCTATACTCGCATTACTTTATTTATATCTATTTGATATGTTTTATAAATTATCATGTTCTCCTTATTTTGTTGATTTCCATATGTCACAAGGAGAAAAATATATCAAATAAACAACTAATTTTATTGGTCGTCAAACATTTTCTATAAAAACAAGCATACCTTGAGTCCATTATCCCGATGATTTCAAATATGATGAGAACAAACATTGTACAAGAGAGGGAGAATGTTGTAGAAAATACCAGTAACACACCAGCATGATGTACCTGTAAATATCACAATATAACATATAAATAATTATACATTCATATTAACTTTAGGAAACAATTGCATTTATATTCATTAATATCTTAGGTAACTATTCATTTATATTGATTTTTTTAAAAAGGAATCCACAGTCTTTTTAACAGAAAGGAACAGGAAATATATTTCAGACTTATGTTCTATTTGATTCTGATATGAATCAATAACTTGTGTGCTAAATTTCAGATCATTCCCCAATGATGTTTTCCAAGATTTCTCATTTTTATTGTACAAAATGACCAAAAATTGAAGACTGTAATAGAGCTTTTCACACAAAATGAACTATAAATGATAATAAAAAGGGATTTTGAATTTAACTCTTGAGTAATTTATATTTCTTTATTATCTTTTGCAGATTTTCTATTTCAAAGGGACTCTAATGAGGTTTTTGACATGACAGGACTGAAAATAATTTTTTCCAAATTAATGTTCCATTTGATGTAAGTCCAGGCCAATAACACTTGTGTCCTAAAGTTTAGGTCATTTGCTCACTCCGTTTTTTCCAGAATAATTATTCTACTTGTGAACAAAAGCACCGCATGTTAGTGTTAATAAAAATCTCAGATAATTAAACATGTGTTGTTGGCATAATTATATCTGGAGAACAAAATGTCAGCAAGTAGGCCAAACAGATCAAACACATAACTACTGTGCTATATCTCATAATAATTGTACATGTATTATAATCTTACCTAGTAATTCTTTTATAATATCTTACCTTGTCATTCTTTTGTAATGTCTTACCTTGTAATTCTTTTATAATACCTTATAAATCTTGTATAATTTCTTATCTCTTAATTCTTGTTTACATTGCCTCATAATTCTTTTGAAATATCTTACCTCGTAATAACCGTACTGTAAATTTTCTTACCTCATAATTATTATAAATATATAACCTCATAAGTCATGCAAAAATATCTAAGCCCATAATTGTTGTACAATTTCTTATCTCATAATTCTTGTATATAACCGCATAATTCTTGTATAATATCTTACCTCATATTATTATACAATAGCTTATAATAGGACATAATTCTTTTAAAATTTCTTACCTCATAATTCTTGTATAATATCTTTAGAAAGAACAGCCAGCCACCTCCAAAAAACAGTGCCTGAATTCAGAAAATCATTTAGTCAGTTACATATTTTCAGAAATATTTGAGCATTATCATCATTCATGAAACTTTTTTTTCTGCAATTAATTTAGTTGAACTTAAGGGAGATAAGACACACAAATAATGTTAAGGCCAACTTTCCAGCTTTAATCTTATACCTGTTGAGGTTCTTGAAAGGATCTGTCCAGCAACTATTCATAAAACATTTCATCATCTATTTTTGTTGTATCAAGAAGAAAATATAAAGTTTAAATAGTCAGCCAAGAGTGTACAGTCTGGTCAGATGGCATGGATGTGCAGGCTGGCCTAGCTTTTAACTGGTGGTAAGACTAATCACTTTTGGTTCCAGCAGGGTAAGAGTTAATGATGGAGAAATGACACTGTCTGACACAGTTTTTTGAAGACTGATAAAACAGCAAAAAGCAATGTTAAGTGTATCTAAATCTAAAAAACATTAGCACAAAACCAGTTAAGTTTGTATAAAGCCTGTTAAAGTACAAGTCTCAGTTTCAAAGTTTACATTTTCATATTTGCTTAGAGAAAATACAACATTATGCGCTCATTGATTGGATGACCAAGTTAAATAACCAATCTTATTTCTTGTAAAAAAGCTGTTGACTAGTCAGAGTGGGACTAAAACTGGATTTTTTTCCACTTTCATTCTTGGTTGTGAATCTATTGAAATTCTTTTATCAATGTTAGAATCAACAACGCTGGCAAAACCGGTTTTGGATGCATAAGAACGAATCTGTCCACCTCTAGTGCACAGGGCATTTCAATTTTTAGGGAAAATATACCTATATTCGGCTTCAACAACTAGCAAAACATAGAGGGGAAAATCACTGCATTTAGAATTTGTCAAATAAATATTTAATAGCAAACTTTAGGGCTCTAGCTACTCCAAAATGTTTTGGGAGAAGTGACTTCCCCCTCAGCTCCTGTCAGGGAGAAGTTTGAAGACAGGGAGAAGTGAAAAAATGCTATGCACATTGATTTGATCTTATCTATTTACTCTGTAATATTAATATTTAGATTATATATAAAAGATGTACATAATAGGAATACAAATGCAGATTTTATTTTATTTAATACCAATGCAGTTTTTTTTATTTAATACAAATGCAGATTTTTTTATTTAGTTTTGTTTTTAATTCAACAAGACTTATATTGCATTAATAATAAGATATAAGCTACAGGGGATAAGGCCTAAAGTAAATGGACCAGCAATCAAGTGTTGATCATCTGATAGTCTGTCTTTTTCAATGAAATAAAACCATAAATATTGATTTCCCAAAAAAATTCCAAGTTATTTTCCGTTTATTAAATCCATTCTTTTAATGTAATAATTTCTTTTTATAAAATTGCTTTTAATGTCGTGAGTAAAGTACCCAAAACAATAAAAAAAATACTGATTGTTCAAACAGATTATCTCTACATTCTTTCATCGCATTTAAACAGGTGTTTACATGATTCAGTTATAATGAATTTACTGACCGTCAATCTGTTTTTTGCAACTGCTATTCAAAGAAAATCAAAGACGCCACCAACTTTTAAGTTGATGCAAACATAACTGTATTGAGCCATTTACTTATGCTCCTGTTGTGTATTAATCTATATGCATGTAAATTTACACGGACCGTGTGACGTTGCGTGTACTTACTGCCAAATATGGTTGGACCAATTGAACTGAATTCAGAGTGTAATTTTTTAAAAAGTGACAATAAAGTCATGTGTAATTATGCGTAATTAATTGAGATGTTTACATCAGCGAGTAAGTTGGCAATATGTCCAATGGAGCTGCATATCATGTCACAAAAATGTTGTCAATTATCGGCAGTGGCGTTTTACTTACGCCCGGAGGCAACAATTAAATCATTGTCAAGCGCTGTTTGATACGTAAAGAACTGTCTTTGCAGTAAGTAAAAAAGCACGGCAAAGTCGATTTCGCTTTGATGTTCAAATGCGGCGGTCATTTACTTTAGGAGACTTAATCGCCCAAGAGAACTGAAACACAGGGGTAAAAAATCACTGCATTTAGAAATTGTCAAATAAATATTCAATAAAGTAGTTTTTGCTATTAAAAATATATTAGCAAACATTAAATCAATAAAATAGCAAACATTAAATAAATCTAACACAAAAAATGAATGGTGTTTACTTGCAGCCATTTTTGGGTTTATAATAATTCATACATGCCATAACGTCCCGGATGTCCGGGACAGTCGCGGAAATAAGGTGTCTGTCCCGGTAAAAAAAAATTCTATAATAATCTACTTTGAAACAAGAAATTTTACATTTTTATATAATTTTATTGTCAATTTTTTATAAACAAGATATGTTTGTAAAACATGTATGCCCCCTATCTGCAGCCAATTTGTCATGTGATCAGGTTATTATGCATGACTTCTGACCCAGTGAACAAGCAATTAATAAGGGTTATCTAGTATCTACTGGTCATGACTAGTCACAAGGTAATAATTATTGTGACCCCATAGGTTGTGTGCAGCAATTAAAATTATTAAAAATCTTACCAAATAATATATACATAAATTTTATGAATCACATAGGCCTCATTAATGACAGCCAAGTTGTTATATTACATAAGACCTTCAAATGTGTATACCAAAAGCACATAAAAATATCAACAAAGGCAACTTGAGTTGTTGAGTTATTGGTCAGAAACGGTCATTAAGTACAAGATAACTATGACATTGACCCCTTGACCCCAAAATCAATAGGGGTCATCTTCTGGTCATGACCAATCATCAGACCAAGTTTGAGGTTCCTAGGCCTAAGGGTTCTTTAGTTATTGATCGGAAACCGTTTTTACCTACAAGGTCAATGTGAACTTGACCTTTGACCCCAAAATCAATAGGGGTCATCTGCTGGTCATGACCAATCATCATACCAAGTTTGAAATTCCTAGGCTTAAGCGTTCTTTAGTTTTTGATCAGAAACCGTTTTTACCTACAAGGTCAATATGACCTTGACCTTTGACCCCTTGACCCCAAAATCAATAGGGGTCATCTGATGGTCATGACCAATTATCATACCAAGTTTGAAGTCTCTAGGCCTAAGGGTTCTTTAGTTATTGATCGGAAACCGTTTTTACCTACAAGATCAATGTGACCTTGACCTTTGACCCCTTGACCCCTAAATCAATAGGGGTCATCTGCTGGTCATGACCAATCATCATACCAAGTTTGAAGTTCCTAGGCCTAAGCGTTCTTTAGTTATTGATCGGAAACCGTTTTTACCTACAAGGTCAATGTGACCTTGACCTTTGACCCCTTGACCCCAAAATCAATAGGGGTCATCTGCTGGTCATGACTAATCATGATACCAAGTTTGAAGTACCTAGGCCTAAGCGTTCTTTATTTATTGATCGGAAACCGTTTTCACCTACAAGGTCAATGTGACCTTGACCTTTGACCCCTTGACCCCAAAATCAATAGGGGTCATCTGATGGTCATGACCAATCATCATACCAAGTTTGAAGTACCTAGGCCTAAGCGTTCTTTAGTTATTGATCGGAAACGGTTTTTACCTAAAAGGTCAATGTGACCTTGACCTTTGACCCCTTGACCCCAAAATCAATAGGGGTCATCTGCTGGTCATGACCAATCACCATACCAAGTTTGAAGTTCCTAGGCCTAAGCGTTCTTTAGTTATTGATCGGAAACCGTTTTAACATACAAGGTCAATGTGACCTTGACCTTTGACCCCTTGACCCCAAAATCAATAGGGGTCATCTACTGGTCATTACCAATCACCATACCAAGTTTGAAGTTCCTAGGCCTAAGGGTTCTTTAGTTATCACTCGGAAACCATTTGGTCTACGGACCGACAGACCGACGGACCGACAAGTGCAAAGCAATATACCCCCTCTTCTTCGAAGTGGAGGCATAATTAGTCTAGAACGCTTATAACAATTATCCCCTAACAGCATTCCAATGATGACACTAATCCTTTGATTGGTATATCTACGTGCCCCCTTCCAACAAACAATTATCGGCATGTTTACCCCATGTGGCTTTATTGTATTCTGTAACTGATTGAATTAACGATGCCTAAATACTTAAGCTTAGCTTTTTACAGTTTATTTTATTTTATTTTGTTTTGTTTTGTTTTTTACCTTTTTATTTCTACTTTTAATTTAATTTGGTTTTAATTAATATATTAACCTAGACCATGAACTTGTCTAGGCCAGCTCAGATCAGCAACTGTTACACAAACATTTCAAATTTTATTATGATGCTTGTACATGTTTTAGTTACACCAATATTTTCATGATTGAGTATATATCAGATGCTGCTACTGATATATGCTTAAGCATCATGCTGGACTTTAGGTCAACCATATTAAAATAAGATTGAATCATTATTATTTTAATTTATTTTAAAAATTTTAAATTAAAAAAAAAAATTTCTATTGCTGATTTTAGGGTTGTGTACATAAAATGGAATTCTTGTATGAAGTAATTTTCTGTGATGTTTGATTGTAGTGTTATATTTGCTTTTAATCAATTAATACTATCTTACCCATATTTATAGTCACTCATCACTCATAAATGTACATTGATCTTCTTAATACTTTTATATATTTTCTTTTATACAGATTGTTTGTTTGTATTGTTAAAGGATAGTCAGTTATGTCGGAAAATAGCTTATATAGCTAATGTTTATATGTTTTATGTAACAGACTATAAATAAAGATTATCTTATCTTATATCTTAAAAAAGATAGAAAAACCAGGGTTCTCACTAGGACTTTAAAACATGGACTCCCAAGCCTGAAAAAGTTGGAGTCCAAAAGCGCGTTGCAATTAATATGTTTACAGATTAGTCATTTAATGCTCACAATAGCATTGCTGATATTTTGAATCTTCAAGAGACTTTCAAAGTTTATAGTTATTCAAAACAAACTCTGAACTACATAGTATAATTATTGTTTTGTTGTTAATATTTATTATGAAACAATAAAATTATAATGCATCAACACTTAATTGGAAATCGTTTTTTTTTTTCCCACTTTTATACCAAATCAAATTTTATTCTGGTTAAATAAGTCTACTCTAAAGACCAAAGGTTTATATTTGTAAAAAAAACGTAAACGTATTAATAGGCAGCGTTTAGTGGAATGAATAGGAAAATTGTGTACAGCTTCACACAGTGTGTAAGAGATACTTCCGATCGACAATTATTTTAGCAAATATCTTCAAAAGGGGGCAAACTGAAGATCGATATTTTTAAAGATTAAATGTTGATTAAATAAGATAGGAACAATTCATTCACATGTTTGGCTTGGAAACTGAGAATTATTGTGCCCTTTGCAAAATTTTAGGGTTTCTGGCGAACGTAAAATCGCCGATGTTCGTAATCAATTTTGGGATAGAATCTAAATATCAAAGAAAAGCGCATGTGTATTTTGGTTTGTTGTCCTGGCATTTCGGCACAATATCTAAAATTCTTAATACTCTTATAGAGCATGTTTGCAAGAATGAAACTAAAGCAAAATTTTGTCTAGAAATTCGACAATAATTTAAAATTACAGTCATTTGTAATTTGAGAAAACAGTCTTTAAACTTGCGGCATAAACAGTCAATAGTTACTCGTTTTGTCAGTAAAATTTGTTATTTTCCAATCAACTGTTGATCAAAGATAAAAAATTATTACCTCTTGTTATATCTGGTAATTACATGTACAGGGCGTGTATACATTAGTCTGATCTCGATTGCGTAATAATGATCGAAAGCGTTATCGCTGATTGGCTAATCGCTTCACTGGTGGATGTGCATAGGACCGGCCCTACCTATAGACTGACACGTGCTGACGTATTTGTGTATTTGACAATTTGTGGTTGTAAACAATCGGTAATATTTATGCCTCCTCAGGCAAAATTAAATGTACGCAGAATCCTTGCTTTGAAATATTTGCGTCCAGCTGTAATAAACATGCGTACCGGGACGCCGAAATAAGCATCCCTGAAAAACTGTTAATAATTATTGACATTCTGTCTTTTGTTTATGGTGTCATTAAATTTGCGAGTTGTAAATACCGGTAATATAGGTTGTATGCCACTATGTAAATTTAAAAAAATACGTTTGCTGATCAATGCCCCACCTCCAAATGAAAAGTGTCCCGCAAATGAGTCTAAAAATAATGGCATGTATGGTTTATTTTATTGCCAATATACGGTCATACTCCCAATTAAAAACTGATAAGTGTTTCCCAATCCACAAGAAAAAAATCCTTATTAAAAGTTACAAAATATTGAAAAAAAATTCTAAAATCTTTGAAAATAAGGGCTTCTTCACTGTTATGGTGCTTTAATACGCGGAAAGCCCGAGCGGGGCCAAAGGCCCCGCGAGGGCTGTAGCGCTCTTAGATAATATGTATGACGCGTATCAATTCAAATAAAATCAAATTAAAAGTAAATGAAAATTTCAAAAAAACATATATCCTATACCTAATGAGCTGTGTAAAAATCCTTAGTTAACTGGGCGCCGCCATTTTGAAATCCTTTTGAGCTAAATATAGATATCAGAGTGCTTTTAATGAGCATCGAAATAATTCAGACTATTACTAGCAGACACATGATAAATAACACTTCCGGTGAAAGAATGATGTACAAAATATAGTAACGATTATAAATATAAAAAGTTACTTTAACGAATCCTTTTTGATAAATAAGCACATTAAAAAATAACATTCAAACAACAACTGTGATTAGAGATTAACAAAAATGGCGGCCGGAATTTTCCAAAAGCCGACGCATGCGCAGTGGCCCCACTTTACGTTCGGAGATTTTCGGGCGGCCCGATGATAGGTTTAACACCACCAATTTATCCGTTTTGTTTACGGTACAAAATACCTGCAAGAAAAATCTGGTTTACATGTACACTCCACATGTTATGCTAAAATCATTATTCATAAGAGCTTTCCGCGCCATAGGTAGCACCTAATTTCATATTATTTGAAGATGCAATCCTAGACAGTGATTCTATACATTCATTTAATTACTGCGCGGTTTAAACCATGCATTTTTTCCAAATTTTTTAACAAAACATCGCTGGATTACCCAATTCCATGGGTATGGGTTATATCCAAAATACAGGCCTATATGAGTTATATCCATACCCCACCCACTACATTTTTCAATACAAGTGTCAGCATACCTGCAAAAAAAACATTATGCACGAGTCTACGAGAAATGACATCCTTGTAAAGTTATTCAAACGATTTAAACAATTATTTTCAATTTAAAATAATTTCATTTATATAAGTCTTTTAGTTGCATAAATAGATAAATTTAACACAATATCTGCCAGGATGGAACCGGAAGTTATGGATCAACCATATTTAATAGAGTGATATAAAACCATTTTTCATTGGATAAAAAAAATGGGTTTTTAATCTCTATCAAATCATTATTCCTTAAAACGGATTTCAATAGGATACACATTGAATTTTTTATACCAATAATTAGTAATGTGTGATAAATTTCCCAAACAGTTTGATTTTTACCGCAAATAAAACGAAATTCTAATAATTGAATATACCCTCTAATAATTTTGTCCAATCACATGTGTCGTAACAAAATGTATTGGGAAACCCCATGGAGGTTGTAAACATGGATGCTTGAACTTCCAAAAAGCTACAAAAAGTTTCTTATGTTTTACTTTTTGTTCTGAAAGAACATCGCTTATTTTCCTGAAAACTTTATTTACGTCATACCTCTTGATTTTGTTGCGAAAACTGTCGTGTAATTTGTTTACGTCAAGTTGTAAATAAGTGGAAGTAAAATCTAGATTTAGTCAGAGCAGTTACAAAAAGAAAGCATCCGGCATCACAATCAGATGGGATTAAATTCGTCGTTAAACAAAGATGACCGTTGAGCAGCCAGCTCTGCAAAGATTTGGTCAAGTATGTTTTGCAGTTGTCTCAGTAAAGTTTTTTTTTTTTTTTTTTAATTAATTATCTAATATGAAAAAGGCAAAGCCTCAAAGCGAGCTCGATTTACTTTTACCGTGTCGTGAAATAGTATAAAATAATCGTTTATTTTTATTTTACATTTTAAATGTTTTACATTTTACCGTTTTAAAATTGTCATTCGGTATTTTATACACTGCTTCCGTTTATTCTGGTTCCCCCTTTTTATTATGATTCCTTTATAAGTGCGCAGGACACCAGTCTACGCTTCCGTTTTCAACCAGAGTACATCGGATTTTATCTTTATCTTGTAATTCGAAAAGTTGCGATGTGTCCAATTCGGTACTTCGGACGTAACTTTTCAAAACCATCACTATGTATGAGGTACTCGCGGGTCATTGCTTCGAGCTCGCTATAATTTCTAGCAAATTCTAAACAGGCAAAGCAGATAAACAAACTGAGTTTTAAAGTTTATAATGCATGTGAATGTAGCAATTGCGTAAATGACAATGAATATAATCTCTTTATATAGTAACCAATATATCCAGACAGAATACCTGGTGCCTCATAAGACTGTAAGATACTTGATGTAAAAGATACTCAAAAACTTCATCCTGAGCTTGGAAAATTATAACAGGACAAACAACTACTTTCTAGATGAATGGTCTTTGGTGTCCATTTGACAGTTGATCATTTGATTATGGTAGTGTTTAAAACGTAATATTGCTGTTTTTATAAATAACTAAATTTTCATAAAATTGTGTTAACTTAAGGCCAATTAGGTACTGACTATAGTACTCTGTACTGTTAAAATCTTACTATATGCAAGTTGGCTTATATTTTTCTAATTTATACCATAAAAAAAGGACAAAAAATATTTCTCAGAATGTTCATTGACAGTACTCAAGATAATTTTTCATACAATTAGTATTCAACTTCTGGATTTTTTCAGCAATAAGTTTTTTTTACTAGCAATTTCAGATTCAATTTTTTTTTTAAATTTTCAATTAGGTTTTTTTTGTTGTAGGGTCATAAAAATCAATTTTACAAAAGTTCATTGGGTACTGCATGTATATTATAAAGTATCATATTAGCACAGAGGCTCAGTTTTACATGACTAGAGTAACATTGTCCACTACATTTTGTGCTGTTGTTTTTTCACCAGAAACCATGGCGTTTGCTTTTATCTCCCTAACTACCAAGCACAATTTCCTCATTCATTTTTTTTGTTATTTTTACAAAATTTAGCTTATAAGAAAATATGCTGTCAGTTTGTTTTTTGGCATGTCCTCACTTTATTTCAGACACCATTAACACATTTTTTACAAAGGGGAGGTCACTCTAGCACATTTAAAACTGTGCATACAGTTTCCCTGAGCAGTGTCAAGTTGCCTGCTGCACAGTAAATGGGCCAATTTTTCAAAAATACATGTAATGCAGGCTTTTTCAAAAAATATATTGCATTTTCTATTATTTTTTTGTGCATTTACAAAAGACTTACAATAAAGCAAATGTGCCCAAAATTTTTTTGGGATAGCATTACCCAAAATAAAAATACAGACATTTTTATACCCTAAAATTGTCCAATTTTACATGTAATGTGTTAGCATCTGTTTTTTTGGTGTTTTTAGAATTAACACCACTATTATCTGTTTTAATTTATCACTTAAATCTTTTTATATGCACATAGAAAATTTAATAACCTTTCCAGTGATATATAATACTTGGTATACATCATCCAGGTTTTTATCGTTAAGATGATTTTAGTAAAATCAGACTTATGTAATGCATCAGTTTTTTCAAAATTCAGTTGTTAAGTAAACAAGTATACCTTTAAGCAATTACAAATAAAATAGTACTTTATTGTCTCAATCTAATGAAATATGAATTAAAAACATATGTTAAGTGTTTTCAATTCAAATTTTCAAACATTTTTACCATAGTAGGCATTATAGTGGGAAAAAAAATTTTGTGATGAAAAAACTGTAACATCCGTCCCCCTCTCATATAATATCCAATTATAAAACAATACTCATAAAAAACAATGTTTCTGGTGCTTAATGATAGCCTTACTATGAAAATGTTACAAAAATTGCCAATTTCTATGTTTATAAGAAGAAAAATACAATAATGTAAAAGTTGTCTGTAACATCCGTCCCCGTAACATCCGTCCCCCTATATAAGGTGCTTATTAAATCTCACATAAACTGTAACTGAAAAGGGAATTTTACACTAAAACACCAAAGTTACATTGAAAAATGAAGAAATGACAGAAATAAAGCACTGAAATGATGTATTTATGAAAAAAAAATTATTTGTGAACACTAAATTCCTTAATTTTGAAAAAAAATCAGTATTTTTTGCTCTGAAAACAAAATTATTTACTTTGAAATAAAATTTGTATGTTATTTTTTAACATCAAGTGGACCAATGAGTTTAATAAGATAATATTTAAGCTTATATGAATTTATAACAAATATAATCTTTTGTTATTCTGTGTTTACAAACTAAGGGTACAGAAGGGGACGGATGTTACAGAATTGAACTAAAAATTCTTTTTACAGTAATACAAAACTTATCTTGTTCTTATGATGCATGACAGAGAAGTAGTAAGCTTTGCAACTGTATAGGAATGTTTCACACAACAAATAAAATACTATTAAAAAAAACTAGAAGAAAGAAACACAAAATCCATAACAGGATATATAGAAAAAGGTGCAAACAATAGAGATGTTGAAAGTATCTTTGTGATTAAAATTGGTCAATTGTTAAAACATAAAGTCTTTAGCCTTAAATAGTTAACAAACCATGTATCCCAGCCCCTCATAAAACAGTGGGATATGGATCCTAACTCTATACACACAGAAGGGGCTGGCACTTTATTGGAAGTTAACGAGCTGTATATTGGGAGCCTTGTATATTGGGAAGCGTGATATATTACAAAACAGTAGGGGTGCCAATTAAGGGTGATATTTATTATGCTTAAAAACAGTGGGAGGGACTACCATATCTTATTCAAGAATGTCTGTCATTAAGTATTAAAGTTGAAGATCAATTAAGTCAAAGGATTTATTGAACTTCAAAAATTTATAGGCTAAATATGTAGTCAATGAAAAATAAATAAAGAAATATAATTCAACACCCTGATTAAAATTTTTAGATTTTTTTCCCCAAAAAAAACTCAAGCACATTTTCATACAATTTGACCCATTTAATTATTGTTAATAAAGTGAAAGAAACTTGTAAGTAAAGGATATGGTAAGGATTCCTGTAATGAAAAAGGTTGGGATAATTGTGAAAATTATTCTGTAAATAAACCCTTCGCAAATTATTTTGCACCTATTAATTTTATTGAATGACAAATTAGTTCATTAAGTTAAGCAGCTCATGTACACTGAAATATATACACAGAGAATTATTAAAAGTTAGAAATAATGAGATTATGATACTGAATCATAATGAAATCTTTGGATAATGCTGCTAACATTCCATATTAATTTACTTAAAATTTCATCAAATCGATAGAACTTAATTGCAACAATTTAAAATCTTATAATTTTTAATGAAAATTTTTAATTGTGTATAATTTATGTATTTAGTAATGAGAAATTCAAGCTTGCATATGTTTTAATCTGAAAACTTCTTATTTACTTCACACTGTATCATATCTTTTACAAATATAAATCTTATTATTTAACTAAAGTAATTTGTAAATAATTTCATGTATAGAAAGATACTGTTGGTATGACATTCTCTCTTTAACGTTAATGCATTATCTGGAAACAAAGATTCTTTATTTAATTAGCAATGTTTTTATTTTATTCCAAACATTTCAATGTTCATTCAAATGTAAGATAAATGGAAGAAAACTAAGTCAATGCAACTTTTCATTGTGAAACGCAAATAGTAAGAAACTACATAATTGTCGGGTATATTTCTACATTTTTCTCATAATTTGTTCAATTATTTTACATTTATTGTACTGTACAAAGATTATACTCTTATAAATTTCATTACTTTAAAATAAAACCAAAAAAAGTATGAACTATGAGCTTTAAACATCTATTGTAACATCCGTCCCCCCAAAAATGTAACATCCGTCCCCCTGATACAATTCATTTTTGGGTTATCTGACAAGAAATATACATAAGAAAGTCCTATAATTTCTACTGTTTTATAAGAAATGTGTTTGCATATTTGATTTAAGTATGATTTGGTGTACCTATCCTTGTTTTTTTCACTCTGTTTCTAACATGTTTGAAAATTTCATTTTGTGTGAAAAATACTGAAAATTTGAAAGCAAATATTTTTATATCTAAGATGAATTTTCTGGATTTTTTTTGTAACATTTATTAGAACACATAATATTTTAATAAAATAAAGAGAAATAATACAATTTTTATTATAAACTGTAAGATATTCAGACTTTAAGTATATCTTTGTAACATCCGTCCCCTACCCACACAGTCTGCAAGAGATGTAATATTTTGAAAAAGGTATCCAAAAAGTTATCCTTTCTTTCCAAAAATATTGTTATAGACACCCTAAGGTACTTAAAAAGAGCAAATATTGTCTTGTATGTTTAACTTTATTTTTTGACTTAGATGCTAACACAATTGGCCCATTTACTGTGCAGCAGGCAAAGTGCATTATCACTCTGACAAAACACACATGTACACAGCAATAAATAGTACAGTCGGAAAATTGCTTCTTTTCGTTTTAAGTGATTTTGTTATTGATTATGAAACAATTGGAAATCAATTCATTTTTTGGACAAAAGCATTTGGAATTAAATTTTTTTTGGTGAAAATCATTTTGTTTTTAACGATAAAATGATCCTTGTCTGGAGCTGTGAGTTCATCATGATAAAATACCACAGTGTGTAACAGAGTGTTTAAAATTGAAAAGATTATAAAGTGCTTAATCTTCAGGTGCTTGTCCTGTGATGTTATGTCAACTGACTTCCAAACACTTTATATTAACCTTTTTTTTTTGCTTCTTATGTAAATAAAGCTTTAATAGACTAGGTATTTTATGATATTTTAGTATAAGATCGAGAATCTTTCAGGATCATGTACAATTTAGTGCTTATTTTAAAAGCATGAAAAAATGCACAAAAAACCGAGTATAAACAATTTATATTGGCATGTTGTTGTTGATTTTTTTTATCCTATTTTAAAGTATGAGAAATAGTATTATTGTAAGAATTAATATCTAATGATCATGTATTCAATATTGTTTCAGACAAAATCTGTAGAAGATCACACTTATGCTACAGTAAAAGAGATAACCGGTATCACAGATAGAAAAAGGATTTGTCAAGCCATAGAGGCTTGCCGTAACAATGATGGTAAATATGAGGACACAGAAGTTGTCAACATGCTTATATCAGACACTGCTGTAAAAGCCGAGAACACCAATGAGAAAAAGGTAACAAAAATGTCCATGTCTTTGAAAATAATTCTCTAATCTTCTGATTCTCCTCTATGAAGGAAAAAAAACTTTGATTAAATTATCTCAACATTTGTTTAAATCTGTTTGTCAATATTAAATTTCAGTTGTCAATGATAATAAAACATAATGTATTGTTGTAAGAGCTATTTCTTTTTTGAATGGATATGATTTGCATGAGTGTTATTACATGCCCACAGATTTGTCTGAGAGATACTTAAAAACAATTTTTAAATTATTATTTATTTATTATGTAAACTTGTAATACCTGAGTAAGTTATTGTTTTTAGAGATTATTATTACCAGTGCATTTACCATTGCTAATTTTAGATGGCTATAACTTACCCTAAAGAAAAGGACTCTGTAGATGCAGTAGCAGGGCCTCAACAAAATCTGAACAAAAACTCAAAAGGTAGCAGTTTCCTTTTAGATAAAACTTAATTATAACATGTTTGCATGTACAATAAGATTGTTATAGTAATGAAACATTCACAGCAAGCCAGATAAAATATAATTTCATGCCAGGGAAAACATTATTTAAAGTACAAAGGGTTTATTTTTTAAGAGCTTAAGATATGTCTGCTCAAGTATTATAATGTGTACATTTTGACACACGCTGTTGTTTAAATGTTGTATGGACCAGGTGAGTATCTGGATTATTCAACCCTGTACATATACTGGTAACTCCTGTCATTTCATGAAGAAAGTTCCCTTGTGGCTGAAGACTTGCCTTAAAGGGTTGAGGCATTAGAAATGTTGTGAAAATATTTATATATATTAACATAATTGTTATTAAGCCTGTCAGTGAATAAAACCTGAACCAAAAGTCTATATTTCACTGAAATTCAAACAATATGATACAATTTATATTTCATTTGTATATCTAAGTTACTCATGGAATATCATTATGATGAATAAATTGTAACATTGTTTATATAGGAGTGATAGATCTGACAAATGTAAGTGATACGAACGAGACCGAGGATATACAGAAAGCTATAGCAGCCAGTCTCGCTGACAGCACAGGTCCGTATCAACAAGAAACTACCCCAGGTATTCTAGGTGGTCAGGTATCAAGAGAGGAGCAAGATATCAGCAGGTTGTTATTACATTTTACACTTTCTTAGAATTACTATTTATATTGTTCGGCAATATTGATCCATACAGACATTTAAGATCTCATCAAGTCTACATCATCTGTGATAAATTTTGATAATATTATTTATATACTTGAATTTAATTAAGATTGGATAATGGCAAACTGTGCCATTTTAGCCATTTGCTAAGACTTTATAAATTTGGATATTGAAATTATAATTTGGCAACAGAATTCCTTGCCTAGGTTATGCAGTTATGATAAAATTTCATATGAAATAAGAAAATATTACAAATTTGACTAAAAGAAACTGTGCTGTGGTGTTAAAACTCATTTTTAATTAAATTTTCAGAGTATTAGAGCAGAGCCTGATAGAGAGTAAGGCAGGTACTAAACGTAAACGAGGAGATTTGTGGTTTGTTGATCCGCTAAATCCACACGAGAGAAAACGAAATGATGACTGGCCTATCGGGCTGAAAAATGTCGGAAATACATGCTGGTTTAGTGCTGTGATACAGGTGCTCATATTTTAATATTAAAATGTTCAAAATACATGTTACTTTGTTACTATAGCTGAATCTGTATAGTTTTTTGTTATATTTCTTTTTCATTTTCTACATGAAAAAAATTGATTTGAATAATATAAAAAATACATTCAGGCAATATGTTATTACAGTTTACAAAGAAATGAACACCAATATTAATATTAGATATTCCTGTCAGAGACATTTCTCACAGTTAAGTTAAAATATTGTCTTGTATTTTAGTATTTGACTATAAAGTGTAAGTATTGTATTATAACTATTGACAGTCACTGTTCCTTTTGCGGAGATTTCGTCATCTAGTCCTTACTTATCAACCTAATAAAGAGGCTTCACAAACTGGAACAGGCAATATAGAGGTAATTATCTATCATCAGCACAAACTATATACTGTCAGTTATACAAGTTACTGATGGAAGAATATAGCTCGAATGAGTTAAATATTACACCCGGGGTGCGAGTCAAGGGTTATAATTATGTCATCAAGGCTATATTCTCCCATATATATCCCATCAGCAAATTGCATAACAACTTTATAGTAATGCTAATTCTTATTGACAGCAAGTTTGTCAATGAAAAATATAAAGTAGTGCTACTATGCTATAAAGCATAAAATACTATATGAATCTTACACCGGCTGCCGGTACAGACCGGAATATCTAGCTCGAGGGTGACTGTTTACGGCGGTAACGTGGCTCTGCCAAGTTACCGCTTAACAGTTACCTGAGAGCTAGATATTCCCGTCTGCACCGACAGCCAATGTTTGATTCTTTTTATTGCATATTACATATCAGTTATTTTCAGAACAGAAATTACGAAGACTGATATTTTCATTACGCACTTTTTTCTTATAGTAGCGTATGAACTTACAACTTCATGTGACGTCATCTTAAGAATGCAATTCATTCATACAAGGCGCGCAGCAATGACGTCATTTAAAACACACGACTTGTCTTACATCGGGGGTGTAAGACAGGGTTTTCTAGCACCGCTGACACGGTTGATAATCCTGTCTGATATGCAAGAAATGATTAACTTACCACTTGATAAAAGTCTGCACGCAAAATTTCATATCATTTTATTACTTTGTTATACCATTTTATTCATATTGTGCAAATATAAAAGCTTTTAAGTCATTTGGCTAGGAATTGCACTTAAAATTGGTTTTCTGTTAAATTCTAAGTATATCTCTTCCCTATAGTTTGCATTGTTTCCAAACATCTGTGTAAGAATTTCAAATCAAATGGTTTTAGGGTCTTTGGACTCCAGTGGAGCTTCTTAAAAACACTTTAATATGATCTTTAAAAGCAGCAAGCCTCAATTTTAATGCTAATTTTCATGAGAATTTTTAAAATGTAAAATATTGTTAGGTGAATTAAGAATATAATTTACATATTGTAAACGTCACTTACAGGCTACAAAAATTACCAAAAATAGATCAGAATATGGAAAAATAGCCCTTACTTTGTTAGTCATGCAGTAGAAATATGGTGATATATACTGCACAATCAGTCTTTAATTGCATACAATATGAAAATTATTTCTTGAATTTGTTATATTTATACTTTTCTTAAAATCTTTTTACATTTTTCTCAATTTTGATTTTTGTACATTTTTCTCAATTTTGATTTTCTTGAAATATTTTTGGGTGGTCTTGAGGCATGCAGCTTTAATGTCTGAATTGCTTTGTATAATAATGTGCTCTAGATTTTATACATCAACTTTGATTATGGTTGGTTTATATAAATATTCAGGTAAGAAGAAACCTGCGATTTATGCAAGAGTTACGTCACTTGTTTGCATTAATGGTGGGTTCTAAGAGGAAATATGTTGATCCATCTAAAGCTGTAGATATATTGAAGGAAGCTTTCTCGTCTACTGTAGTCAGCAATACCAGTGTAACAGACAGCCAACAGGTAGGTGTAGTGATTTTAAATTGTTTTATTTTACATTTCATAACAGAAAATTCTACCTGGCTAGACGATCTAACCAGGGTCCTCTGTATTTCAAATCCAATGTTCAATGTATTGAGTAAAGCTGGGGGAACTTAAAAGCATGATACAGTTATATCAATGAAGTTCACAAAATATAAATTATAAAGATTTTTATTTGCGACTTGTATGAAAAAATGTTTGTAACTGAAAAACCCAGGGAGTTGGGCATGTGCTTAGGACTGAAAGGAATGAACTTCTGTATACAATTCTGATAATACTCTGATTGAGACATGGCAATTCCTACATTTTTTGTCTACTATTCATGTAGGAAAACCTGTCTTACAATGTTAGATTTAATTTAATTGAGAGCTTTGAGCAAAAGAATTATCTTTCTTTATTTTATATTGAGTAACAGTTTCAAAAGTTCCTAGTTTCTACATTGTTAGTTGTGTTTTTATTACCTATCCTGTTGCCTGTAGTTTGATGGTAATAATTTTATGTGTTTTTGTGTTATGTTAAATCTTATCTTAAAGTTAATCTTATCTTATATTTCAGGATGTCAGTGAATTTCAACATAAATTATTAGACTGGTTAGAAGATGCATTCAAGTCTGCTTCCAGGCCATCTTCTCCTACTGAAAAGTATGTTAATATATTACACTAAACTACTTGGATATTCATTGATATTTATTCAGTTATTGACAGATTCCAGGTTTGTGCTAAGTAGGGCCTACCTTAATGATTATGTTACTTAATTGACTGTGTATCTGAATTTTATATTGTGTATTATTACATGACAATAGTATTTAACTTTTTTTGTATACATATAATACTGAAAAGGGGAGATCTTATTATGTGAATTGAAGAATGATGTCAGTCATCTTTGTTTGATAGATTCATCATTGATTAAGTAATTGTCATTTGAAATTTGTTTCACATTAATTCTTGTGTATGCAAACTATGTACATGTATGTACTGATGCAGGCTTAAGAATTTTCATTTATACATGTACTTGAATACTGTTTTCCTACATTTATATGAACCCTACTAACGGGCATATATGAAAGAGTGCACAAATAAACTTTTCGTACAAATTTCCGTGTATTGTTTACAGGACAGATAATACCTCGAGTGGTGAGAAAACATCGTGCAGTAACCCAATGGTAGATTTGTTTTATGGTCAATATAGAGCTGATGGTGTCAATGAAGGTAAATATTTTACCACTGATTTTTAGCTCGACTTTTCTATGAAAAGGGGAGCTATCCTACTCGCCCCGGCGTCGGCGTCGGCGTCACACCTTGGTTAAGTTTTTCGTACCACCCCACTTTATTTCAGAAGTATTACAAGTATGGCTTTGAAACTTACCATACTTGTTCACCATCATAACCTCCATCTACAGACAAGAGTACATAACTCTGTCAAGGTTTTTGACAGAATTATGGCCCTTTTTTGACTTAGAAAGTGTATTGAGCTTGGTTAAGTTTTTTGTACCACCTCACTTTAATTCAAAACCATTGGAGGTATTGCTTTGAAACTGACCATACTTGTTTACCATCACGACCTTCATCAACAGACAAGAGGACATAACTCTGTCAAGGTTTTTGACAGAATTATGCCCCTTTTTGACTTAGAAAATACATTGAATATGGGTAAAATCCACTTATTGCCTTAACCCTTTGAGATATTGCTTTGAAACTTTTAATGCTATTTCACATCATTACCCCCATCTGTACGCAAGAGAAGGTAACTCTGTCAAGGATTTGTTTTAAAAATTAAGGCCTTTTATCGACTTAGAATCTTGGTTAAGTTTAAGTTGCTGCAGTGTTCAAGGGTATCACACAATTCAGTAAAATAATTCTTCACTAAATATCTTAATGCTCATGGCCATTGTTCACTTTAAAAATACAGAGATTCTTGTATTGCCTTTTACTGCAAAAACTTTTTTTATTGGCAAGCAATAAAAAAGTCGAGCGCGCTGTCTTACGGACAGCTCTTGTTTTCTCTGTCCTTTAAAATTGGGTCCTGAACCTTTAAATTGTGAAAACTAGCAAAACACATTTCCTCATGTGATGCCAGGATTGGTAAATTCCAGGAAGTTGGTGGTGTTGGTAGTTTTCACTTTGGGTCACGCCAGTAAGCCACATTGAATTTACCAGAGCACAATTCAGGCATGGCATTTTTCCTTGGCAAGCTGGCTGTCAAGTAGTTTACCAGTACTAGTTGCCTTCACTTTTGCAAGAAACTGATAACTTCTGTACATGCCAGAGTGGAGGTACAGTGAGAATGATCATAGCAAGGATTTCATGATCAATCCCAACAAAAGTGACCTGTATCATCTGGGAATCGAACCTGGATCGCTTGATTCACAGTACAGCTAACTGGACGACGTTGTTACAGGAAGCTGGTTCCATGGTTATTTATAGAAGTTGTAAGAAGAATCGAGCTGTAATAAATATGTGTAAACATGTAACAGTCAACTCAATATGGATTATAACGTTGTTGGGTTTTTTTTGTCAAATAGGTAAAGGTTTCAGCAATGAAGAAACATTTGGTCAGTTCCCACTACAGGTGAATGGTTTCCGAGATATCCATGAAAGTTTGGAGGCAGCAACTGCTCATAGAGAAATAGAAACTGTAAATAGTGAAACTACACAAAAATCGGGACAAGAGGTAAAAATATCATTTCTACTTCTTTGATTATTGTCATAGGTATAGACATTAGAAAGTTTTTGCAAAGAAAAAGTTCTTAATACACTTGTTACTATATATAGTAACAAAATTGCCTATGATTTCAACTGATTATGAGTGTCACGTGACCTATTATGAGTTTGCGGCCCGGGGCCGAGAACTAGTTATCAGCCCGCAGAACATGTGCACGTGCACAAACTGAAACAATGACGTCATATTTTACGTCATCAAACAGTTAACTGTAAAAGTGAAAGTAGGTTGTCAGCACGAATCGCTTTATTTCTATTATGAGAGCTTAAGCGTATTTAGTACAAACACATTTTTGTTACTATTGAAATTTGAAGAAATAATACGACAAATTCATTCCGAAAAAAATGAAAATAAAACTTGCTTCTAGATTCTACTGCTTTGAACACACAAACAGTAAACGTCTCTGTACAGAACAGTAGAAGAGTAGACAAGAATTTCAACGAAAGAACTTCAAAGTATTTGTGTTTTTTTAAAACAAATGCTACTATTAGATCTACCAAGTGTATTAAAGACATTAATACACGGCAGAGTATGGCCGGAAGGTGATAATCGGCCCTGAAATGAATAATGCCCTCGGGCTGAAGCCCTCGGGGCCATTATTCATTTTGCGGGCCGATTATTACCTTCCGGCCCTACTCTGCCGTGTATTAATCTCTTATTATTTACACAAAACAGGCTTTATCTTTCAGATTTCAAATGTAAAAAGATTTTGAGAACACACTTTACTTGAGTGTTTACTATTTGGAATTAAAGATTCCTGTATCTATTACTTGAAGTATACTGTTTCTGATTTTGATTTAGCGTGTAAGCTTGAACATTCATACCTTTAATAATGACAAGAATGATAATAAATATTGTCAGAGTAAAAAATGTCATATACTCACTTTGCAATAATTATAGAACTCTAGGATTACAACAAAATATTTGTGATATACATTTTACACCACCATCATATGACAAAATCTAGAAATGTTAGATACTAGTTTTTCAATATTCTTGAGTTAATCTGAAGCAAATTATGCTGTTTTAATACATTTTGATTGATAATTGTAACATGTCATACAATATAATTATGTTACAGTTATGGTTTACAAGATTACCTCCTGTGTTGACATTTGAACTATCACGGTTCCAGTTTAATCAACAAATAGGTAGACCAGAGAAAATACACAACAAAATAGAATTCCCTCAAGTTATTTATATGGATAGGTAATTCATTTGTTTTTCAAGACATGGTTATTTTTGACAACATTTTCTTCATTAAACCTTTTTTCGCACATCAATTGTGGAATAAACCTACTTTACTTTGAATTTTGGCATGTATGATGTTGAATTTAAACAATTTCAGTATCAGAATGTTAGAATGATACAGTTGCAAGTATTGAGTGTTGTCAGGATATTGTGCATGCTTGAAGGCAAGAAGGATTGACAATTACTGTGCAAGTTTGCCTGATAACCAAGACAATATCTCTTTGAGAGAAAAGCTTATTGTCATCTGAAGCTGCCACCATATCCAGTCAACTTGTTTCAGAAACAATTTGTAGGAACAAAATCTACAGATTGTCACCTTAGTGCAGTAACTGGTTAACTCCTTATATAATTTAATAGGAGTTAATTCATTACAGCACTAATGTTACAAGATAGAGTGTTTACTACTCTGTTACTGAAATTACTGTCACCTTATATGTTTATTATACATATTGAAATGTAAGCATTATTTAATATTTATTGATGTGAGATGTATAATTGAACTTCTTTATGTATTGTTGTTGGTTGGATGTAAGCTACGTATACAATGTACATATGTATCGACATTGTATATATGTAGGCAATTCGTATATTGGGAGATAAGATATTAAACAGATGGTTATTATATTTTCAGATATTTAGATTGTAATAGAAATGAAACTCGGCATCGTAGAGAGCAAGCTAAAAAGTTGAAAGAAGAACTAGTGTTATTACAAGCTAAACTTGACAAGTATGATTTTATCTCTATTTCTGTAAAACTCTACATAATTGTTGACAATACATAAAAGGCAAACATTTTCAGGATTAAAATCCCTTGGAGGCAAAGATATGGACACAAGGTCAATGGATAGAATAATTTAGCAGAAAGTTACATATTTATGACAGATCTATATCCATATGGCCAATGTTGTCTTCTTAATTTTAACTTAAATAATAAGCTAGGAATTCCGATTTACTGACTGTTTTAGTCTCATAGTCTTTGATTGATTAATTTTATCTGGTGTAAATATTGTTTATAAAATTAAGTTTGAAAAAAAAAATTCTTTACCACACACAAGAGGATAAATGTAAGGTAGTATCAAAGTTGTTGGAGAAAATAAAGAAATTGAAATAATGATCTTACGTGTTCATGTTTTCAGATTTGTAAATTATGGGTCTGGGGTAAAAAGATTTCCGTTACAAGATGTACTTCTATATGCCCTAGAGTTTGCTAAATCTCGTCCAGACACTGTCCGTAAATCTGCCATTTTGTCTCAAGATGTTGATATGGAGTGTCCGTCACCTAATGTCAGGTAATACCTTCACAAATATGTATATATAGATATTTATATTATTCATTAATTTAATATTATATCAATTATGTATGTAAAATTATATCAATTGTGCATTACATCTGTTGACATTGTTTGAAAATTCTAAAAGATGATTTATAAAAAAGATAGCCCTGTTAGCCACAAGACAGGATGAGATTCCTACTATGATCAATGTTAAAGTACAGTTTATTTTTCTGTTAAATGAAAAGAATTATTTCTGAAGGAGTTATTTGTTGTTTGAGTATTTGTCTTTAGTCTTGACCAGAGATCCTCAATCTGTCTAAATTTTTAGTTACTCTTTCGTGTTATTCATGTTTCAGTATGAGTGTAGATTCTCCGATAAAATCTCCAGCTGATGTTGTCATGGCACCAGTCACCTCACCCTCACCCCTCCAGTCTCCCGAACCCTCCATGAAGTCGCCCTCCACCGCCTCCACTTCTCCTACCCTCCCTCAACCTATCCCAGATGTACCTATGACACCAGTTTCACAGGGAACCTCAGCTTCAAGTACACCTCCTGATATTGCCATGGGAAGTGACAGTGGGTCATCTCCAAATACAAAGTCTGAACACGGGCTTCGGTCTCCGCAGCCGAGACATGTAACTGAGACAGAACTTGTTGTACTTCAGAATTGTCTTCACAGATGGAGAACTGAAGTCGAGAGTGATGTTAGAGGTATAAAACCACTCAATAGACATATAGTTATGTGAAAACCTTTTCAATATTACGATTGTTATTATCATGATCAGTCTTTTGTCATGTGTTTGACCATTCTAGTCCTAGGGAACTGAAAGACTTTAATTAATTTCAGTTCTAATTGTTAATTTTAAAATTCTGTATGCAAATTTTGTAACATAGTAAATTTCAAATTACATATTTATTGTTTTTATTTTTATTACAGAATTACAAGAAAACATTAGTAGACTAGAAGATTCTATCAATAAGATGTACAGTGATGAGGCTATGACAAAGGTTTGGAATTATTATCTGTTATATAATGTTTCCAAACAATAGGTAAACTAAAGAAATAATATTTATCACATAAACTACAGCACAGTAGTGTTATAAAGCCATTTAATAAAAACAATTACACTAGTGTAATAATGCTTTGATGTGAAGTCATTTACTCGCCAGAGGCTCGCATAATATTTAAACAACTTGCTCAATAAATTTAGTATTAAACCTACATTTTTATCCTCTATAATGCAAATAGGTAAACTTAATACCTTAGTCTAAATAAAACCTGATTTGTTGTATAAACATGTACCTATTATGAATAATTACTTATTCAAATTATAAAGTGCACATTTTTAGCTCTACTATTTGAAGGATAGTGAGAGCTGTTGTACTTGTGTCAGCATTGCTTTCTCACTTTAAGTTTTTGCGTGCAAGTTGGTATCTCCAAAACTACTGAAGGGAATTGGTTGAAACTTCACACACTTATTCTCTATGATATTCTTACATGATGGGTATTGTCTCATAACTCAGAGTTACCTTCTACTGAGTTTTGAACCTTTTCTTACTGTCAAGCTCTGAGAAAAGTCGAGCGTGCTGTTTTATTGACAGGTCTTGTTTTTTATTACAGAATGCATATCACCTCCATGCTGTATTAGTACATGAAGGTCAAGCTGCGTCAGGTCACTACTGGGCGTATATCTATGACTCAGCTAGCGATCAGTGGCTGAAGTTTAATGACATCACAGTGAGTGAGGCATCATGGGAAGAGTTAGAGAAGGAGAGTGTCGGAGGATATCACAATGCCAGCGCGTACTGCCTCATGTATATTGATAAATCCAAGATTGCCGATGAGGAAGGTACTTCAATATACTACTTGTGTTAAAACTTTTCACAATGATGCTTCCTTTTTTTTTCCATATAGAGCAAAAAAGACAGATATTTTTACTATTTTTCTCCATGTAATAAGCAAATAAGAGTGACTTACAAGCATATCTGAATTATCTTTGTCATAAATATAATGTATCTGCCTTTCTAACATATTGTAGACTTATTGTCTCTTTACTATATATTTGTTCTATTTTTAGATAACCTGAAGCTAACCTGAAGCTAGGTTATTCTTTAACATAGGATTATTTGATATTTATGTTTTAACATTAAAGCAATAAAAGTTGAAATGATTTCTAAGAAGAATAAACAGAATGAGATGGTACAATCATGATTCTCAGTTTCAGGAAAGCCGGGCTCCAGTATGGCATCTGACCTTGAGAATTTACCTGATGACCTTAAGGAGCTGGTTGCTGGTGACAACAAGGTGTTTGCTGAGGAGATAGAGAAATGGGATAGAGACGTGGCTAGGAAAGCATCGGGTGCTGGAGATGCTGATGTTACTATTGTATCTGAACAAAAACCTGGTAAATCACAATGTCATTGCATTTTTCAGAATGGTAAAGCCATGAAATCTTACCAGTAATTTTATATGTTTCATTTTTAGCTTGTCTGTTTCAAAGAAAGTTGAGCTATAATGATCACTTCAGTGTTATTGTTGTTGTGGTAGTTATTATCATGCAAAAAATGTAATGTAGCCCATTTCTCAAACAATTGTTAAGGCACAGCTGTAAGACATGGGACAGTATCCTGAAAGCAACGCTTTAGAAGTTATGCCCCTTATAAGTTATAATATTGATAAAAGTTGGTTATTGATAATGTTTGCCCTTTACAGACAAGTGTCACAGAGTGGTTGCCCTTTACAGAATGAGATGAGCTGCTCTTGTTTTATGTATATTATAGATATGAAGACTATTATGTTATTTTTAATTACAATTTGTGATAGATATAAAGACTTGTATTATATTATATTACAGCATTGTTATCACCAGCTAGTTCTAGCAGTACTGTATCTACACAGACAGTTGTACAACAAACATTACGACCAAGCTATGCAAGTGTTCACGCCTACATCTCCGCACATGAGAGTTTGGCTGCATTACGGAAGGTTCTAGAGTCAAACATCTATGACACTAGTGGTCCTAGGGAAGCCATGCAAAGTGTAAGTTACACCTACTTATTCATAGAGCCAAACTTTCCATTATTTTAAGTGCAGTTGAACTTGTCATTAGTCATAATTTTAACATATATGAGATAATGAAAAAGTTTAGCATGTAACTTGATGATATTTTTTCGACACCATGCTTAATATTAATTGAAGCACTTTTTTTTACCCATTCTATATACTGTATAAAGGATATTTTCGATTGTCAAAAAGTTCACAAATTTTGCACATATTGTTCATGAATCCTATATACTTTTAAAAAATAAATCTGCTTACATAGCTCCAGTATGTTTCAATCGGTTGAATGGCTTTTACTGGTGATTTAAAGATACACGGGAAAACTCCTTTTGTGGCTGAGGGGCTGCCTTAAAGGGTTGAGGCATCAGAATTGCAGCCACTGTTCTCTATCTGCATAATCATTAAAGGCTACTAAATGGGTTTGAATTACTGGAGTCTATGCATTTCCTAGCTGAAGCAGGTGCAGTTGTTTTAAGTTTGTAACATTGGAGGTTAGCCAAAATCATCTTTCCTGTTTTGGCACCAATGACCTAAATTGTGTTGGTGCGCAGTGAAAACAAATGAAACATGTGAAACCTGAAATGTTTACTCACTGTTTCTCAATAACTGATAAGCAAGTATATTTATCAGTTTGTTGATTGTTGTTTTGAAAATCATACTAGATGTCTATTACGCAGCATAGCAAGCTAAGTTTACAGAGAATTATTACAATGTTTGGTATTTGTTTGGCATGGGTGGTGGCAATAATTTTAAGGAAACAATTTTAAGATTGAAACTTGTCAAATTGTCTCCAGTTCTGTCATTTTACTGAGAGACATAGGGACTGGAGTGGTAAAATTTTGTGATTTTTATGAACAAGTGGAAATCAAAAACCTTCCCTCATCACAAACTTTACCTCGTATATAGTAAATGAACATTATTTAGACTGAACAAAATTGTAAAAATTTCATCTTTGTCACCTTCACCTTACAATGAAGACATCTTTACCATTGTATTTGATAGGGTATTGAACTAGAGCACAAAAGAATAAAGAATGTGGTAGAAAACATAAGTCGAGAGTTCCCTACACGTGACCCACGACTTCAACATATTGTTACGTACATGATGCACTGTGAATGCTCCAATGAACTGATTCTTATAATGTTGCTGGAACAATTTGCAGAACTTATTCGAGAAGATAATGAAAAGTAAGTCTTTATATCAAATTTTTCTTCTGTTGAAATTTTCGTTCATAACACAGCATATGAGTGTTTTGTGTTAAATAATGTAAGATAAAGAAAATTTAATCATCAGCGCAGAATAATCAGTAACAGAAATAAGCCTTTAGATTTCAAACTTCTGGTTTTTTGTACAGTTTCTGCATCTTAAAGTGAAAAGAAGAAAAATGATTATTTAAAGTAAGTTTATTAAGCAAAAAAAATGAAGGTTCCAAATTCTGATGCGCTCATCCTTTGATAAACCATGAATATTTTTAACATTTTGGAAAATTGAAGCCATTTTTTCAGGTAAGTTAACTTTGAAATTTGTTGTAATTAGTTGATTTAATGAGCCAAACCATATTATCACAAATCAACTGGTGTTGACTTTACATGTAGATGGTAAAATGAACTATATACTTTATTTGATTATTTTGTAGGATTAAAAAGATGAAGGCTTCAGCTAATGAGTGGAGGAAAAAACTTTTGTCCGATTCTGAGAAAATAGAAAAACATTACCAGGTGAGGATATTTGAGATTTCATTATTGTACAGAAACTTAATTTCTTATTTTAAGGTTACTTGGAACAACATGTGAAAAATATTGATATATATAGGAGCATTGAAAAGCACAGATTTGAAGTAATGCATTTATGTTAAATATTATTGAACAGTTATAGTGCAAGTTCTGAAAGTTGTAGACTAATTTGACCAGAACAGAGTTGCAAATGCTTACTTCTATGGGCTGTATAAGCAAATTCTCAAAAATTCTGTAATTACTTAGGTGGACTGACTGCCAAGATACAACCAAAAATGTATTATAAAAGGTGCAAACAAACAATCTGCTTGACCATTAGTGCAAAGCCTGCTAAATTTTGATATTGATAAGAAATTGTTATAAATGAAAGCAGGATAAGGTCATGTTGGTAAAGATTAACCAAGAATCATAAAGACACAAATAATGAAGTTTAAAAACCACACAAGGGTGGTGAATTTACAAAAATTTGTAGACTCAATTTAATAGACAAAAGTAAATGCAACATCTTTTATACCCAAACCCTTAGCACTATGACTTAGGCAATATACTAAATTATATTATATTTTAATTTAAAAAAATTATATTTTAATTTAAAAAAAAAAAACAAGAGAATGTTTGATGATTTATTATATAAAGAGTTAAAGACAAGTTTGCATACTTGTTATTCTCTTACACCATTTCAGTAATAACATTCTTATCTTGAATGTACCGTATACACTTATAAATGAAATATTGATGAAATATTGATGAAAAAAAATGCATATTTTCATTTTCGTTATATTCTCTATAACAATGTATTTTACAGTACTGTAAAACATATTTTCTATATTTTCATGGATGTCTTTCACTTCTGAAACCAAAATACACAAATTTTAAGGGAAAGTCTTTCATAGTTATGTCAACAAAGAGAAAAATATATATAATAAACAGAAAATTCTACCACCACTCATGAAATATTTATTTTCATACCACCCAATGAAAATAAATCCTGTATTTATAGAAAAAATTTAAGTATCCTCTATATATCAGCATTTAAAAGATCATATTATAATAATAGTAATAATTGTGTTTTTATTTGTAGTTTTGGCATGAAACTTACCAGATATACAGAAAAACTGCAGCTTTGTTTATAAGAGGAGTGATGACATATTTTGATGAAAAGTACGTAAACACAAAATTCTAAATATGAATAAATAATATGAATAATAAAAAAGTTTAACAATAGAAAATGTTATTTTATATGATGACTTTCTATATATAATGGTGGGGAGCACCTCAGGTGATCCTCCCAGCATTATTTTTTTCAAGCACAAGTGGGCCCCCAAGTTGAACCATTGACTGTCTGTAAGCTAGCTGGATAACTTTACTATATGATAGATTCCAAAGAGTTGACATTGTGATTGAAACACACAGTGGTGAAGTGGAAACTTCATTTTGTCATGAGAAAAAATTTAGTGCTGGGTACAACATTATTCAAACCGGACTAGATTCTGTTTCATAAATTGTTATCATGGGTGTATCATCAACAAAACAACCTGTGTAGGTAATGGATTATGGAAATATCATGTTATTGTTAAAGATTGGTTAAGAAATATGTCATATTATTGTTTAAGAAATATGTCATATTATTGTTTAAACCGATTTTCATGAGTGTAATCATATTTGTTTATGTTATTTCAGATATGTCGCAGCATTAGCATACTTGATCCATGCTCATAGATTATCCGAAGAATTGAAGAAAAGACACAAAAATGCCTGCCTTCCTGAACCCAAAATTAGTGCTTTCTTTTTACGACAAACTTTATTGGTAATGTTTACCTTATTTTAAAGATATTTTATATATGGATAATGGTTTAATTTAGTTAACCTGTCCTCTGCCAAATTTATGTAACACATTTGCTTGTCATTAAATTTAAATTGAAACATTGTTATATTCAGGAATATCAACTAATTTTTAAATTGAATCCTGTCAATTTGTTAATATGTATTTGCCTAACCTGCCTCTATACAGGTTAAATAGACAGTGTGTAACAAATAATTCACAAGTTCTGGTGCAAATACCCATTTAAAGTTATCTTAACTTTGTGTTAGTCTAGATTATATCGTGGATGAATCAGAAATTGGACATATCTAGCATTAAGACCACATTTTCTGTGCCATTCTTGCATTATAAAGGTCAGAAATGTATTGAGATGTTGCCATTTCTGACCAGTAATGAATGCTACATTAATGTATGTGTTCAACGGTAACTGTAGGTTAGATTTCTACCGTAACTGCAAGACCTTACAACAATATAGTCAATATGTTTAGTAGTATCCAGTACATAACACATGTGTATCAAGTACATAACACATGTGTATCAAGTACATAACACATGTGTATCAAGTACATAACACATGTGTATCAAGTACATAACACATGTGTATCAAGTTTATAACACTTGTGTATCCAGTATATAACACTGGTGTATCCAGTTTATAACACTGGTGTATCCAGTTTATAACACTTGTGTATCCAGTATATAACACTGGTGTATCCAGTTTATAACACTGGTGTATCCAGTATATAACACTTGTGTATCCAGTATATAACACTGGTGTATCCAGTTTATAACACTTGTGTATCCAGTATATAACACTTGTGTATCCAGTATATAACACTGGTGTATCCAGTTTATAACACTGATGTATCCAGTTTATAACACTTGTGTATCCAGTATATAACACTGGTGTATCCAGTTTATAACACTGGTGTATCCAGTTTATAACACTTGTGTATCCAGTATATAACACTGGTGTATCCAGTATATAACACTTGTGTATCCAGTATATAACACTTGTGTATCCAGTATATAACACTGGTGTATCCAGTTTATAACACTTGTGTATCCAGTATACTGTATTCCTAGAAAAGATTTCGCGCATTTTAAGTTAGCGGTTTTCGCGGTAGGCATGATTCCGCGAATCTTTATAGCCGCGAATATGTCACTTATAACAAATCCGCGAACATTTCTAGCTTCAACCAAATATATCATAAAAAGTGCAGAATATTTATTATAATCTACTTACAGAAAACAACATATACACACAGGTGTTACAGAAATTTGTAAAAAAATATTTATGTATGTTATTGATACTAGTTTGCACGCTGAAAAAGAAAAAAATCAATTATTAGTAATTAACATGCTTATTGACGTTATTTGCTAGTCACGGCGTTGACAAACGCATTTACAGTTTGCGAACATTGAATGACTTGGATTTTATTTGCTTGGAGTAGGTGTAATCCTTTGTTAAAAGTACAATAGCGATCAAGTGCTACATTGATAAACAGTTGTTATAATGAAAGCTATGTACAGTCCGATAATGTGTAAAAATGTGTAAAAAAATACGTATCGACATTTTGAAGATAAAGTCAGTTATGATTCAAATGAGAATCAAAGCTAACGGGTCTGACTAAATCTTACTTAATAACATAATGAAAAAGGTATGGAAATATGAACTTGTTCACGGAACAACCGACCTTGTTCTACTAGTTAATAGATGAAAATGTATCGAGTAACGTTGCGCTTTAGGCGCGACTTGTCAAGAAAAAAAAATAAGTAAAAGCACCCAACAGGCAAGGTCATGCATAACAAACGTAGCCTCCAAAAACTGTAATTTAGGCCGTAGCGACTTAACATTCGCGGAATTCGCGGTTACTACATTTCCGCGAAAGTTTGTCTCCGCGAAAATGCCGACGTTGTGAAAAACGCGAAATATTGTATCCGCGAACATTTCTAGGAATACAGTATAACACTTGTGTATCCAGTATATAACACTGGTGTATCCAGTATATAACACTGGTGTATCCAGTTTATAACACTGGTGTATCCAGTTTATAACACTTGTGTATCCAGTATATAACACTTGTGTATCCAGTATATAACACTGGTGTATCCAGTATATAACACTGGTGTATCCAGTTTATAACACTTGTGTATCCAGTACTTAACACTTGTGTATCCAGTATATAACACTTGTGTATCTGGTATGTGACACTTGTGTAAGATTTAATATAGCAAGTGTTTTAGTCAATCATGTACAAAGTGATTGTTTATTTATGAATGTTTCTCAGACATATATTTTTGTGTCATATGGATAGTGAAACAAAAGTTGTTGTTTTTTTTTATCAAATGAACCTTTCATTGTAATTTTCTAGTAATAATATCATATATTGTATATTCCAGCAAATAAATGACTGTATAACACAGCAATTTGAAGATGCCAGTGATGTAACAGCCCTGCTAGACTCTATGAAGTCACATGTGTTACCATGCCTACAAACTGTCATTAACTCTGGTAGTCAGGAGGATATTACAGCTGTTGAGGAAATCAGAGAAAAATGGTGCTCGTTTCTTGGACAAGAAATGGAAGGTCTGTAGTTTGTTATTACCTGATATGATATCTTTTTTTGTATTCCTCAGGTACTAAAGCCAAAATAAAAGAAAGTTCTGTTTAGTTTAGGGCGTTCCTGCCTACCTTCTTGAAATTGCAAGTTCTAGACTTTGTTGCCTTTCTGCATATGAAAGAAAGGCAGTCATGAGCGGGAAATTATACATAGAAAAATCACACCAAAAATTAGCATGTTGCAGCTGGGACTCAAGCCACGGGTCTCTAAATTGCCAATCCAGTATGCCAATCACTACTTATCAAGTGCACAGATAAATAATCATTTTGATAATTTAAAATAAAAATGTTAAGTAAGGAAAATTTGTAAAATAAAAAATGTTGTTTTGAAGAAATAATTGTATTTTTTATTTCTTTGTTTACAGCACAGAAGATAGAACAGCTACAGGACTTTTTATCAAAACTTTTTGAGCCACCTCTAGATTTACATATTCCCAAAATTCCCAGCTTGAAACATGAAAGCTTCCAAAATTTAGCTATAGATTTTGCTAAGGTGATGGAAAACGCACGAGATTATGGATATATTGAAAGAGCATTGAAAAATTCATGATGTTGATACATGAAGAAAAACGAACTGGAGAGATATCAAAATCTGAGTGTTAAATGTGTTGTTTGCTGTATGTTAGATCCCAGTGACACACTGATGTAATAACAGCAAAGTGAAATCCAGGTAAAAAATACAAAACTGGTTTTATCAAGAAATAAAACAATTACCATGGTAACATCTTTGTGGAACCATTCACAACAGGAGTAAGTAGAAAATACTAAAACATGGTAATGATACACATGCACACACAAACTTTAACTAACAAGGAATATCATTTATTTGCCATATTTAATATGATACTGAAGTGAAGTGAACAGTGTTCATACTAGAGTTTTTTGTCTTCATGTGTGTTCCATAAAGTGCTGGATGTGTGTTCCATACACTACTGGAGGACATGTGTGTTCCATAAAGTGCTGGATGACTGCATTTTAATTTTATGATTCAAGTATAATTAGTATTCTTAAAATATTATAACTAACATGTGATAAACGTTAATGTATAATCGATTAAACTGTTTCCAATTTGGTGATATAAGTGATTGAACAAAACTTAATACACATGTATCTTGTGATATGAAAGTACGTTGACCTCTTTTATATATATATAAAATGCGGGTTTACCCTCAGTGTCTTGTATAACTGTGATTATATATAAAAGTAAAAAACAAAGGACAGTCAATCTGTGACATTAAAACTCTTGACAGTAAAGCATTGGAAACAGAGGACTGTTCATACTAATGGAATATAACAATTTAGTAACCCAAGAAAGATTGTACTGACTCAATACAGCCCAAGAAAGATTGTATTGGCTTCACACTGACTAGTTTGTACTGGCTCAACACTGTCAAGAGAATAATACAAAATAATGTCCATATTGGTCTTCAATTTTTAAATAGATTTATGATTACAGATTTTGGGGGGGGGGGGGGTTGTAAATTTTCTTTCAGCAGCATTTTTCTTTCTTGTTTACTGGATTTGATCATCATGCTTGAAACTTACAATACACAACATTTTGTTCACTGCTATTAAATACACACAGTTATTATATAGCACAAATGTGTACAGTGTTATTTCAAAGTTGTTATGATAAAGTATATATCTATATCAGCAAGAACATCATGTCAAGTCAGATAGTGAAATATACTGTTGTGTTACAAACCTCTACTGTTCTATACAACAACTGTTTTCTTTTATCTGTACCTGTATATCAAGGGTTCCAAAACTGATAATTTTTCATTTCATTGTCTTCCTTGTTAGTCAATTGTTAATTATTATTTCCCCACATCTGATTAATCCATAAATAAAGGGGAGATAACTATTGAACATTTGTTGTGACAGGAGTTAATGGTAGTTTCCCTTGAATCTGACATTTTCCTGTAAGATGTTCACATTCTCAGTTAATACGTTTTAAATCTATAATGATAATCAATCTATTTCACTTCACTTAAGATGTGGATTATTTAGTCAAACAGTTATGCAGTATTAATTATTTTGTCCTATTTAAACCAGACTTTCTGCTCATAGGTCAGACTGATATCTGCACAGGTTGTCGTTACGTAGAAGATAGTATGTAGAAGATAGTAGGGTAATAGGGTAATATGCAGGAAAATCATAGTCATAAAGATATTATAATGTTATTGTCAGACTATCTTGGGTCAGAGGTTATAAAGAAATTTATTCAGGTATTTGATTGGTCAGAAACTGCTATAAAATGTTCACTGACCAATAGAAATTTGAAATCATGAGATTTGAGAGAGAACTCAGAAAGAAGAGTTTTATAACCTCCAGGCCAGATCTGGAATTTGTATTTGACTTAGTGGATTTTTACTTATTCGAGATCAGCTCTATTAGTAAAATACAAATACTAGGTAGAGATACTCTTGAACTTTATTTACCTCCTTGACTTTGAGCTACACATTCATCTATAACATAATGGCATTAGGTTAGCAATTCGGATCACATTTGTATAGAATTGAGATTTTTTTGTTCCGTAAGGACGTATATAATAAACATTGTTACAAATTGGTGCTGGACCTAGTATTATAATTCTCATTGATAAATAATTGCACAAATTTCTGTATACCAGCTGGAGTATTAAAGTCTTTGTTTGCAAACATAATGGTAATTTTTTTATGAAAATAAAAAATACAATTTCCCGGGATCAGAATCTGTTGACACCATAATTTGTTTTGTATTAAGAGACCATTTGTATTAAAGCAGTGGTAATTTTCATGAAAGGGTTTATGTATTAAAAAGTAAAATATTGTCAAGTAAACAAAGGAAGTTATTTACCCTTTGCAAACAGCATTTAAAATCTACCAAAATCACCAAAACACAGGTCAGAATATACAAAGATAGCTTTTACTGCTTTAGTCAAGCAGCAGAAATTTGGTAAAAATATTTTAAAAATCAGTCAGTTAAACTCGCAATTCATGTAAATTATTATTACTTTAATCTTTTTACTTTTCTAAAATCTAAGTACATTTTCCTCAAGTAAGAATTTCTTGAAGTATGTTAGCTGATCTGGAGCTATGCAGCTTTAAGCGACCATTTTAGCAGTCTTTTAATACAAGTTTGATTGTCCATAAGTTTACTGATGTGTATCTTGTTTTAGGTGTTCTTTTGACCAAAAAAAAAACATGTTGGGGAAATAATAATGGTTATAATATCTCGTTTTGTAAATTTTATTTGATAAGATTTATTATTGCAGTTTGTTTTTAATGAAATATATACACATAAATAATCAACAGTATTATATGATGTTGTTTTCAGTTGGAAGAATTTAGTTTTTTATGTCGACATTATTGAAGATGAAGTCAGTTTTATTACATTTTTGAGTTGGTTTTACTTTAAGCATTATATACTTTAGGAAAAAGGCGTCAGATAATGTTTAATAAAGTTAAAGTGTCTTAGTTTGAATATTTGCTGGTTTGTTGCTTTAACAAAACTTAAACGTTCATTTAGTTTTTTATCCAAATTTATCAATTTTATTATGATAAACATTGTATCTCGTAAAACTAAAATATATTTTCTACATATCGATTAATTTTGCAAGTATATAAGTTTTAAAATAACCTTTCTTTTGCGATATTGTATAAGACAGTTTCCGTGCTTTGAATTAAAAACTGCCCTTTATTGATTAAATAGGTTTCATTATGAACGTACTTATAAATTGAGCAGTACAGTAGCTAGTCAGTCTCCCAAGAATGTGGGCTGGTCTAGTTGTAAGTATATATAGAGAATATTGAATGCATGTAGGTTGAATAATAAATTTATTCAACAAGTTCAATTTATTCTGTAATGAACCTACACAAATATGATATTTTATTTATAACATACCCAAAATAAAGATTGTTTAACTTGCATTCATTGACACACCTATAGAATACACTAACATTTAGGGCGTCTTTATATTATTTTCTATAACGCAAAAATATGACGTTGCGTCAAAATATATGCACAGCTGTGCAATAGCATTTTTACAGAGTCACAAAATTGGCACGGGTATGTGACCAAATGGTGAAAAAATACTTATGGTTGCTGCTAACACACTCATGGTTAAAATGTTGTTTCCAAATTCCTAACATTAGCATTGTTGACAGTTATTAATATCCTTTTAAAACTCATGTACTGTAGGTTACAATGTTCTTTCTGTATTGTTTTTACAAGGAATTAATTCTTACCCATAAATTCTTGACATTTTACGTACATTGCTTAGCTTACAGAACATTGGTGGTTCTACTTGGTTGTGCCTGAAATAATGCATGGAAGGGCACATGAGGTCTTCCTCCACCAGTAAAGCTGTAATGTTGCCATATGACCTTTGTCGTGTGACATTAAACCCAAGCAGACAAACATACATTGCTTGTATGTATTAAATTAATATAGCACTGCTGCATTGTTACATTCCCCACTTCCTGTCACTAAACTTTCCTCTATTCTTTTTAAGGGAGTCATCTCAGCTTTTCTCCCTATTTTAATGCACACCTCCATTACAATGCTAGTAATTGATTTCCATTTGGTTTTAAAGTATAATTTTTTTTATTGTTTTAACATTTTCTGATCATCAAATTGAGCACTGTCCATCAAGAAAGGAAATATTTTTGACATTGTTGATGTGTATGGTTGGCCCTTATATGAGATTTTTCAAATTCTAATTTTGGAATTATGTTGATGATATTGATATATTTAAAATGTTTGTGGCTTGTCTGTCCATCTTATATTTTACACTGAGTATAAAATTCATGGTTTGAAATTCTATATAAATATAAGAAATATAGTAAAAATAAAGATAAAAGTCTCCTTTTTATTATACATGGAGGTGATATTTTACTATATTATTTTATTTATTTATTGGTAAGATGTTATTCTATTACAGGATTGTTTGATGTTAAATTCATAACATAACCATGTACATATAGATATAAATTTATTAAATCACCACACACATGTTGTATTATATACATTTAACAAGTTTTTTCTAAACACAGTATCTCACTAGAAAAACTCATCTTACCAATGCTATGATTACACACCTGTATCACTGCCAAATATGTTGAAAACAGTAATGTACAAAATTTGTAATAAGAATAAACAGTTGCTATGTAAACTGTTTTACATTTAAATTATGATTAAATTAATTTAAATTAATACTCAACACTTTATACTAGACACAATTGATCAGAATTTAGAAAATAATTGTGTAAGATTTTCGCAATATATCAAAAAGTCTTCAATATGTCAAGCAGCACACCTCCAGATAGGTGTTTAGTTTTTTTTGGAACCCTTAAATTTTCTTAAGAGTCAATATATCAATAAGCATACAACTTAATGATTTAACTATGCCTTAGACACCTTCTATCCACATAACTTACATGGTGCTGTCAAAATAATGCAGATATCTTGCTTACTTTGTTACAGAGAAGAACATTTTGGGGATGAAAAAAGTAAATTATGTCATACTTGGCATAATTATAGATATAGTTTCAGCTAAATTGTTAGTGTTTGTTTAAATATGAATATATGATTCTCTAGTTTGATTTTTGAAAAATTATTTTTCTCATTTTCTCATCTAGAGGTGTGTCGCTTTAATATTTAGCCGTGTCACGACAAAACCAACATAATGGGTTTGCGACCAGCATGGATCCAGATCAGCCTGCGCATCCGCGCAGTCTGATCAGGATCCATGCTGTTCGCTATCAGTTTCTCTACTTGTAATAGAGTTGGAAAGCAAACAACATGGATACTGATCAGACTGCTTGGATGCACAGGCTGATCTGAATTCATGCTGGTCGCAAACCCATTATGTTGGTTTTGTCGTGACACGGCTCATTTATGATGAAGTCCTGAATAACTCACACACAACACTTAATAAGTTAAAATGTTAGTTTACATACACACTTGTTTTGTTAACAAATTTTTACAACACATGAAGTTATTAACCCTTAATCTACTGGAACCAAAAATGACTGTCCTCTACCACCAGTATAGAGCCAGGCCAGCCTGTGCGTCCGTACAGTCTGACCAAATTCTGCGCTGCTGGTAGCTCAAATGTTGATACTGAAATCCTTTCAAGTTTAAATGGACTGTTCCAAATTCAAAGCAGGCGAGGCTTATTACACAAAGTCAACAGGTCAAGGTTGAATATCCAATCTTTTGATCAGATGCATTGTTTGAAAATAAGTGTTTCTTTCTATGTATGAAAGCTTTTAGATTCTCTACTTTTTGATAGAAAAAAAACTAGAAGGTTTTTATTGTATTCCATAAAAAATGTGTATTTAAATGTTGAATGGCAGGAAGCACTATTTTTAACATTTTAAAATAAATTTGTTGCTGAATAAAGTTGTAAAAAATATAACTATTTTATCTTTTCTTAATCCGAGTCTACGGATTTCCTACACAATATTCTACACATCAAAACTCAGTTAAATAGCTGAATAACATTAACATTATTCACAAACTTTAAGAAGATTGTGAAAGTGAATTAACATTTTCTTTTACATATTTAAAAAAAATTTAGCGCCAATACCTTATAAGATTTTTATTGAATATGAGAAGATTATTACAAAACGGAATGCTTGTCATAGGAAAAGCATTTAATGTAACTACATGTGTATGTGTATGAATAAGATAAAATTTAATGGAAACCTTTAAGCGCATAACACAGTATAATTGAAAATGTTACAGGCTCCGTTAGTTTGAGTTTTTGTCATGGATTGTTAAACAAAATTTGACATTAAAAGATCTTGATTATATCCCCATAATTATATGTTCATTCAAGGACGTTTATGTTTCACTTAAAACATGTGTTAAGTAAAGTATGAAACACACAAAAAGTGAAAAAGCTGTTACAAGTCAATAATAGATGCATGAACGGTAGAGATATATGGAACATTGTGATTTTGTACATAATAAAACTTACGATTAGTATTTGTGGTTAGAAATATTCCGTTTCATTCATAGTTCTCTATTACAAATTATTTCAACCTAAACATGAGAACTTTGTTATTTTTAAGACTTGTCACAATAAAAATATCATTCTTCTGTGAGAAGCAGACGACTTTTGGCGCCACCAGTCCGTCTTTCTCTGTAAGTAGGTCACGCTTCACGCGCCCGTCAGCCGACATTTGGTGGATTTTGTTACAGCTGGACATGCAGACGTAAATGTTACCACCGTGGTCGACAGCAATACTGTCTGCCCGATACACAAGTTTCGGTGGAGCTGCAAATGTTACAGTTCCAACAGTGGAATTTGATGTTATCGTTGAGTTTAAATTTATTGTAGATTCTGGGTTGTCGCTGGAGGCTTTATCAGACGCTTTTGAGTTTGAGCCATTCGTTTGCGGTAGAACTTTGCCGACCGGTTTCTTTTGAGCTCTCGCCACTGCTTTACTCTCAATTGTGGCAGACCTTCTGCTCGCTGTTTTCCCGATAGTTTCATTCAAGTCGTCATCTCGTGTCAGTTTATTTAGGTCAATTGACAGCTCACTTTTCAATGCCGATGGCATAGATGGACGTTCAATTTCTCTACCACCACGACGTTCAACTACTGTCCGACCGAAGTCGTCTACACGTCTGAATGTATGACGACCACTAAGTCGCTCGGCGGGGTTGTCTCTTGAATGACTTGTAGACTTCCTTTCACTACCCCTTACATCTTTAGTATTCTGACTTTTATAGACTGACCGTGTATTTTCAGTTATAGTATCAGAAGCGTCTTCTTTTCTAGGTGCTCTAGAAGAACTCCGTGTTCTATTTGTACGTCCGGATTTAGACGTTCCGCTAGACGTTTTCTTTGCGCTTTTTGGCTTTGGAAACGCACATTCAAAGAAAACTGACGACTTTTTGTCACCATGAAGATCAATTGCATTTACGGTGACACCGTACTCGGTTTCATCCGCGATATAGATTACAGGCATACCCTCCCAAGTTCCCAAGGTCATAGCCCCGGGGTGGTGAAACAGGTCGTTTCCTGAGCGATCATGGGCTATTATGCCGACCTTACGCTGTTGTGCTTTTGTAAGACGATATTTAGATAAAGCTTGGTGTTCTAGAAATGAACAAACGAAAGTATTATCTATATAGCTCACTCCTAGAGGCACGCTATCTACAGTACGGTGAACAAAATGAAATATTTTGTCCCTTATTGTAAACAGACGTATGTGAAAAACATTAGCTCTTTCAGTGGTTACAGCTACAGTGTTTTCATCCACCCGACACATGTGACTTGGGTCCGCGCGGATGTTTAAATCTGTGATAAGTTCCACTCGAGTTTTATGCGAAATGTCAAACAACTTCAGTTTTTTGTTTGCATGATCAGCCACCACGATTTTATTGTTTGTGAGGAATGTTACTGCCCGAAAGTCAGAAGTTGCTGAGTCATTTGGCGCGTTCCCGTTAAAGAAACCTAACTTGACGATATTTTTCTCTGTAAAACCATCTGCCGTCGTAACAGTCTGGGCTACCACTGCTGGACTTAACGGTACCAAACGCCCGTCACGCAACGCATCAAATTTAACTCGTCGGTCATTTTCATCGCCATGGATGTTCCTATGTGCACGGTGTTTGCGTTGTACTTCCGGTTTAGTGACGTGTTCTACTTTTTCAGTCGGTTCCTCTTTTACGACAAAGGTAATGACGTCATGATCCCTCGTTTCTTCGCGTATTTTGTGATGTCCGGCACACACTTCACACTGATGTTCCAAGCAGCTGTTACAGTAGGAAGTTGTTGGCCGTGTTTGATTGTTTACAAGACAAACTTCACAAAACGCTTTGTGTACACCATTATCTGTTGTGTTCTTTACAGTGGCATTTCGTAACATACGCAATATTACAGAATTAACCGGGAACTGATGTGCCCATTTTTGGCGAATTGCACGTATATCTCGTGGTTTGGTGTTTTTATGACACACTGGACACTGGAAATAGTCTTTAATTTTTGATGATTCTGTATATAAGATGATAGAGTTTAGACATTCCACACATAAGGAATGACCACACGATATTACTCTCGGTGATTTAAACACTTCCAGACACACGGGACATTTCAGTACATCAATATCGATGCTGTATTTTATCACAGTAAGCTGGGGCGCTGGAGGTAAACCATTTCTAGAACCGGGTTTTGACGTCGGAGTTTTCGATCCTGAATGAATTGGCGTCTTCGCTACAGGATGTGTCGGTGTTTTTGACGTCGGATGGGAGACGTGAGTCTTTGTGGTCACTGAGTGTTGAGTCTTAGACGTCGGTGGTGTTTGAGGTGCCATTTTCGACTGTGCTAAACCCATGTACTAGTAATGGTTACGAAATTATTTGCACATATTTAACTCCATGTAGATAAAGAATACATAAAGAATACTCCAGTGAATATTACGTCTGCTTTAATATTCATCTTATCTATCAAAATGCATTACTGTCCGTGTCATAAGAACAAATTCCAATTCACAAAGACATGTTCTCGTCATTTTAAAATGCGTTACAGGTATGTCTACCCAACTTTAAATACAACTATATTAAAAAAATTGTTTATGATATTCCCTAGATGATCTTTTGTTTAAAGTAAACACATACATAAAACAATGCAAACATTGTTAACTGGCTTAAAATACCCGTGGAGTATCGAACTTCAGTTGGTACGGTCTCGGAACAATAGACTAGGTACGGACCAGCGGCTTAGTGGCTTGGTTTCTAATTAGTGTTTATACTTTGAAAACAGTATTTGTTTTCAGAATCGCGTTTTTGGAACGTGTATACCTAATTGGAGAAATTTGATATTAATTGATAAATAAGTTGGTGGACACTGTGTGTAGTTTGATCTATTAAACTGGTAAATGGATAATAGCCGCGATTGTTGGTTTTTTCGCCTGATGGTTTAATATATTTTATAATTTGGATCTACCTAAAGAAAGACATATACTAGCAAATAATGTATTTGATATAGGAGGTATTTCCCTAAATAAATTATTGCGTGATACCGGCTGCTTGTTTTTCTGTCAGACAATGATGATATTTTTATTTGTGTGTTTAAAGAAGACATGCCTTAGTTAATCGGTAAAGAATGTTTGAAACAAAACCTTATTAAACTCCAAGGTTAGGTTTTAAGATGCGTAAAGAGTTTAAAGTAACATAAACAAATTAAATTCATATAGTTATTTGTTCTACAAAACGTTCTGATACTTAAAGTTAACGAAATAATAAAATATTATTAACTTGGACAAATAGTTGATTAAGTGAGGTGTAACAATAAATTTTTACCCCGTTAAAAATTGACCTATGGGTCATTTTTTTCAATGGATTTTGATCAAATTAAAACGTTAAAAATTGACCCCTTTCGTTAGTTAATGTCCCACCGACGCGATCAACAATAAACAGAAAATTTATTTATATATCTGTATTCCTTCCAGACTTAAGTTATGAAATATTTATTCAGGTTCAGGGGCTTATATCCCTCGGCAAAACTGATAACGGGCAGCTATATTGTACTTGATTAAGTAATGAACTATAGTATTACATGTAAATTGCATGCAGAATACCGGTGAAGAATCTATAACTAAAATCAATCTAAAATAAAACCCATGCTAAACAACATTTAAACATTCCAGATTTTTTCACAATACAAAACATTTATACAATGTGATTAAAATTTGTTTCTATGAAATACATGTACTAGTAGTTCTACTGAACGTTATAGCGCAATATGGTTCGCTTAAAAAAGTATCGCACCACTATACGTTCGATCCCCAGTTGGAGGCAGACACCTTAACCACTAAGCCACCTCCTTCAATAATACTTATTTTCAGAAATATGTCACAACTGAGTTTGGATATTATTATCAAATTATATAAGAATTTTTACAGACGATAGATCTTTGTACTGCATTGTTGATAGCTCGCCAATATCTAAAAATATGTCTTATTAAATAAAACTTATTTAAAATTCTTTTTTGAACTTTTAAACATCTTAAAGAGTAGATGTACATTTTAATTAAATAGTCTAATAATTGATTTGGTGAATTACTGGCTATAAATCGATATTACTTACATTTACCATATCATATGATATATTTGTTGTAAATAATAATACTGTGCCGTATTATTTGTTTGTTTATTTTTTCTAAATTCGTCATATTTCGATCACGTCATTTTTTTAGGGGCCTGACAAAGTTTTTGCGTAAAAAATATAAACTCACATACTTTAGTTATGAAAAGTTCATAAAATAAGTGAAAAACAATGGCAAGTATGTATAAGATTTTAGATTGTATTTGTTATTAATAGGTGTATGGTGAAAGCAATATTTTACGGTCGGTTAACACGTCATCATCAAGTCATCTACCAATCCCCATCCTTCTCCTCAACAAATACCTTTTCTCACTGTTGGTAACTGTGAACTGATCTGACTACGGTGTTCCGTGCGGACATTCGCTGGAACGATGATGAAAATACGATGGTGAAATCTCGATATGCTATAACGATTATATCATCTTGTCATCGTATTTTCATCACCGCACCATCTCGTGTTCACCATCGTCTCATCGTATCATGTCGTTTTCACTATTGTTTCATCGTCCAATCGCGTTTTCACAATTGTAGAAGTGTGCATCACACAGATAATAGTTATACAGTGCATGTGGCCTTACATTCATAGTGGTTATTGTATATTAAAATCCACCAGTATATCAAAACAAAATGGAGTTAAAGCAACTTAATCATCACTAGCTTTCCCCTTTCTCTTTTTACCGTATGTTAAAGTGGTCATAGGAACGTAGTCAGTCAATTATCGAATATTTGTTCACTACAGTGACACGAAAATCACCAACGGATGACCTCGGTCCAAAATTTTGCGCGTGGCTCGTCATAAATGTCAATTTTTCATACACAAATTTCTAATTAGTCTGATTAATGACCTGTGGGAGTCAATGAGAAGACACGATATAAAAATCATAAAAATAGCGCGCCCTTTTTGTATATATAAGACGTGATATCTTCACCATTAGTATCATTACATTACAACTAAAGGCACAAGAAAGGAACAAAAGCCTTCCATACAAAACAATGCAGATATTTCGAGTATTAATTGGTAAGTGATATTATTTATGTACACAATTTTGAAAACCAAATTTAAGTTAAAAAACAACAACTTACCTCATATAATTATAATAATAATAATAATAATAATAATAATAATAATAATAATAATAATAAATAATAATAATAATAATAATAATAATAATAATAATAAATAATAATGTTATGATAAGATAATGATAAAGATATTGAAAATATTAAGACGAATAAACACACAACTTGATCGAACCGTTCAAATAAAAAAATGGCTTTATACTCGTTTTGAATATTGTGATAAAAAAAAAACCTCTTCTTTATACTGGTATATTCTATCGTAAGAAATAAAACATGATTTTGTGTATCTAGGGATCTTTAATGTAAATCAATTTTATCTACTGTTGTAGCTCTTTAATAGTTTACCGGAGAATATCTATATTTAAAGAATATTGTTACGTTAAAAATAAAAAGGTTTTTTTCCAAGATGTGAGCGAATGAAAGCAAAAAAATAAAAAAAAAAAAAATCCTCACGACTAGCTTTAGATAATAAATAAACGTTTGTCAACGTCGCGATGATCATTATTTTTAAAACATTGTACCGCCTTACTGACATTTACCTGTAAATTAATGTATGTAAATATTTTTTGTATTTCAGGTATATTATGTATTTCGTGTAGTTATGCAGCTACAATACCTCCACGTGTTGAAGGAATACCGATTAGCATAAATAAACAGAATCTTATCGACCTGGAAACTTTCGTTGGTCGCAGACGACCGCAAAATACCAACATTAAACCAGATCCTGTCTCAAACGGTGGAGGTATACCAGTCGGCGAGTTCAGTACTGTCACAGAAACGCCATCTGTTGCTAGAGGAGATATAAGATTCCCAATACCAGAGTTTCCTACCCCGAAAACGACGCAGGAAACCACTACACCGATTAAACTGAATGGCGATATAACGTTTGAGATTCCGACTTTCCCGTGGCATACAACCACTGATGGTACAGCCACAACAACTAACAGTGTCACTACAGAAATCGATGATACTACAACAACAACAACTACAGTAGCTCCAACAACAACAACAGATATTCCTTTAACAACAACGACGCAAAGTCCAACTACAACAACAACAACAACAACGCAGATTCCAACTACTACTACTACAACACAATTTCCAACAACAACAACGCAGATGCCAACAACAACAACGCAATTACCAACAACAACAACAACAACACAATTACCTACCACAACAACAACAACGCAACTACCAACAACAACAACAACAACACAATTTCCCACAACGACAACAACAACTCAACTACCGACACAACAACAACAACAACACAATTACCTACTACGACAACAACAACGCAGATTCCCACAACAACAAAGTATGTGCCTACGACAACTACAGAAATACCAACAACGACAACAACAACAAATATTCCGACAACGCAGGTGCCCATGACGACGACACAAATTTCCACAACAACTACAGATATTCCATCAACAACAGAAATTCCAACACCTGCCGCGACAACATCTGATGTAGCTGTAACAACAGATCCTGTAACTAAAACGACAACAACCACTGAGATGCCGACAACCACGGATACCTCGTCAACGACAAGGCAAACAACGGAAACCATAACAACAGAATCATTAACAACAAACAATCCAACTACACAAAATCCTACTACCAACGCACCGACAACGCAGCAGCCGTTAACATCATCAACTACATCACAGGCGTCAACTACTTCATCCCCAATGACGTCATCATCCGTTCCAGCAACTACGCCACCTGGATTCTTTCCCTTCTTTCCAGACGACGATTTTGAATTTGACGACTTTTGGAATTTTCTGGAAAACGATGATGACTCTGACAGTGATGACAGTGATGACTTCGATGATGATTGGAATTTCTGGATGACTGGCGACGACGCCGAATCTTTAAATTGGTGGAACAGTCAACTTGGTTTTGGTGACAATTCTAAACCAAAACGCAATTCCAAGAATACAAGGTTGAATAAATTAAAAGAAGTGCCACTTGGACAGGATCAAATAGGAATGCTTAAAGACAACAATATTTTCGATGTCATTGATAAAGACTTGGACAAAATGTACTTTAACACCAAATCCTGGCTAAATGCCGTTAATGACGGCCAGTCGATGGACAAGAACACAGTTAATAAGTTGAGAAAGTTTGACACTTTAATTAATGCACTTTTCTCAGATCTATTAACGCCATTTGTAGAGCCAAGTTCAAACTCAAAGAAAGGGTCAAGGAAATCCCGACGGTTAGCCAGAAAGAATAAGAAACTGCAAGCTTCGTGAACAAATATTAGTTCTAGACACTAGGACAATTTCAAGATTGTGTCGTGGTATTTATTGATAAATTATTATTGTTCATGAATGTACATTCACGTTATAGTCATGGAGAGATTTCGTTGCTTTATTTTTGTATGTTTTTTTCTCAAGTAAACGCTGGACGTTTAAATATTTATTTACCTCATAATATCATTATTTTTTTTCTTTATTAACTTGGTCGTCCATCAATATCATTATTGTCATTTCGTAACATCACAAATAGACGTGTTAACATCATTTATACATTTCCTTCCATTTTTTTTGTTGATTTCCCAAATCACTTTATAAAACATGACTAGGGTGTATTAATGCTTCCCTCTAAAGGTACAAGCACGATTTATGTTTTTTTGTACTTTTGTTGGACTTTCGTTGGCTTTTTTTCGTTGCGTTATAAGTTCATAACCATGATAATGGTATGAATTAATCAGAGGCTTTTTTTCACGCAGACACAAATCATTTATGTTTTATGTTTTTGTAAGGTAAATTGTTAATTAAAATATATTTATTTCATTTAATATACCACAAAGATTCTCAATGACCTTTGTAAAAAAAAATTTAACATTTTATGGTTTAAGATTTTGCGTTGTTTCGTATTTTGTGATATTTATGAAAATGTCAGTGACATATTTTATTACAAAGAAATAAATAAACTTGAAAAGTTAAATTTTGTTGTTGTTTGACTTTAAACGAAAAGTTGTCATACGTATCAACGCTCTCGTGCTTTCCTGATCAAGAGGTCACGTGCTCTATAGCATTACGAGCGTTCATTAGTGAAACACATAAAAAAGAGATCAATTGTATCCAGTGCGCGGTCATTCTCTTGAAATGGTCACTGGTAATGTGCGGTTGACAGGGGTAATATGTCATTTTTAGCGGATTATTTTCTCTACGAAAACACATTAAAATTCCACAGTACGCCATTTACAATGTAACTTATACATTTTGTAATCATTTAAAGACAATTGAAGTCATAAATTTTAACATTTTGTACTTTATTCGGGTTATGGTTATAGATATATATCAATCTAAACTGTTCTTAACTGATAGATTTACAATTTATGTATTCAGATCAGAAGTAATTATCTTTATGTTTTATTTAGAATTGAATTGTTCAATTTTAAAGAGATAAACATTGCATAGGTTCTAAGTAATCTAATTTTTTTTTGCTTTACAAATTCATGGAAAACTTTCTTTTTTATGGATTTGTTTTAGATACAATCTATCTTCTTGTTTTTGTCTTTTTCTTTTTGTCATATAAACTCGATATTCAAATTGTGTAATTATCTAAGAGCGTAATGAAGTAATGTCCCCATTCATAAAATCGCGGGAAAACAAAAATAACATACTTTAATAACGACCTCTATTATACAGTTTGTTGCATTGTGACCTACTTACAGGACATCTAATACGTACGTAGGAACGTTTAACGAAGTTTTATACGTTTTTGTGCGTTTTTGCATTTACGTACGTTGATATATTGTTTAGATAACATGTCTTATATATAACTTTCACCATGTATACATATATGTTAGTCCAACTTTTCTTTCTTATATATTTATATTAGACTTTATGTAATGAGTATTTCGAAATGAAGAAAAAATCAAAATGTTTGAAATCAGTTGTCAAAATAAAGGAATTATTTGTGTGTGTTTTTAAAAAAGATAATAAACAAGTTGTAGACTAATTTTCATGCATAAATAACGCTTACATTAAATTACGAGCTTTCTATCTATATATACATGTATTTAGAAATAAAATCGTTGTTACGTAATTTTACAAGTAATGTTTAAATATACTATGTCAAGACGACTTATTCCTCTTTACGTTAGATTTTAAAATAAAGACAACCCTTGTCAAATATTACGTTGGCGTTATATATTAACGTCGCGTTAAATAACGTCAGCTCATGTTATTCTAAATTACACATTTTTTGTAGCCTTGAAAAAGCTGGTTATTTATTTTGCCCTAACTGGTTTTAACCGAATTTGAATTTTTATGAATTTAAATTAATTTCCATGTGCATATCAGGTTCATTACCATACTTCCTTGTAACATATGTCACTTCAGGCAAACCACACGCGACGATGTGCCTCAAGCTTTCAACATTTAACATCAAAACAAAGTTTTAAATGCAAAAGTTCACAAACAGAATATGAAATTAAAAAAAGAAAAAAGAATAAAAACTAAAATGATTTTAAAAACTAAAATGATTTCGAAACGTCATAATTAACGTTGTTGTTGCTGCAGCGACACCTGCTAAAATAATTATATGTGTCGAGCTGCATCTTTTAGTTCGGTACCATTTACAGTAAATTAAACTGAAGCGTTCGATTCTTACAGTTCTCTTCCGTTCAAATTTTAACTCCCTAAAAACTGTCCTCCTCGTATTTAACACTTATTAATAGTTCCTTTCAGTTTGTGCAAATATTCTTTAATAATTGTTTTTCAGTGCGTTAATTTCGCCCATTTTTATTAAAAATTGTTGAATAACTGTTTTGGCGAGTTAATCTTTTTGACTGTTTCGTTCAGTTTATTAACCTTTTTCCCATGTTTTCGCGGTTCATGTTTAAGAGCTTCGTTCAATAAATTACATCAGAAGAATAAAAAAAAATTGTTTCAGGCGCTTTCGTTTTTTACCTATATTTTGCCGTATGATTTTCCAAAATTAGGGAAAACCTTGAGTGAATGTTAGACAAACTTGTTACCTCATTTTTGTGACCCCACTATGGGGAGGCATTTAGATTTACCCATGTCCGTCCGTCTGTCCGTCCATCCGAGCTTAGGGGCTATGTAAATGTAAAGAGAACAAAAGAGAGCAATAGGTTCATTCCGTGATCAAAGGGTTTATGGGCTAGTAGCCCTTAAGAAAACAAAGAAAATAACAAAGAAAATAGCCCCTAAACCCAAAATGTTGGAACGTCCATCCGTCCGTTCCCTTTTTGTGTCGCACGTAGCTCAAAAAGTAATTGACCTAGAGTCATGAATACTAAAGGATTGTTGATCAGCATGTGTAGTTGTGCACCTGGGTAATTTCGTGTGTATATATTTAGTTTTTTTAGAGTTATTGCCCTTGAATTAGTAAAAAATTCCAATTTTCAACTTGTGTCGCACGTAACTAAAAAAGTATTTGTCCTAGAAGCATGCAACCTTACAAGAATGTTGCTCAGCATGTGTAGTTATGCACCAGGATATTTTCGTGTGGACATATTTAGCATTTTTAGAGTTATTGCGCTTGACTTAGTGAATATTTGCAATTTTCAACTTGTGTCGCACGTAACTAGAAAAGTATTTGACCTAGAGTCATGAAACCTTACAAGAATGTTGCTCAGCATGTGTAGTTGTGCACATGGGTATTTTCGTGTGGATATCTTTAGTATTTTTAAAGTTATTGCCCTTGAATTAGTAAAAAATTCCAATTTTCAACTTGTGTCGCACGTAACTAAAAAGGTATTTGACCTAGAGTCATGAAACCTTACAAGAATGTTGCTCAGCATGTGTAGTTGCGCACCTGGGTATTTTCGTGTGGGTATTTTTAATATTGTATTAGAGTTATTGCCCTTGACTTAGTAAAAATTTACAATATTTAACTTGTGTTGCACGTAACTCAAAAAGTTTATGACCTGTAGGCCTGAAAGTTTACAAGAATGTTGGTCAGCATGTGTACTTATGCACCTTGGGGTTTTCTTGTGGATTTATTCAGTATTTGTGGTATTTGCCCTTTATTTAATAAAATATTTCTAGTTTTCAACTTGGGCACATGTAGCCAAAAAATAAATTTGACCTAGAGACATAAGATTGACAAATTGGTGGAGTGTGTGGGCACCTGTGTCCTTTGGACACATTTCTAGTTTCAACTTAATTCAATTACAAATTATATTTAATAATTTAATTTAACTTAATCAACATTCATGATGGAAAAATGAGTCTGGAGAAACGAAATGTTATATACTTGTTTTTTATGACGAGATATCGTAAATTTAAGTGTATGAAAACGAGGACAAAACAAGGTAGATTTCAAAATAATCGTAATTAGAAATTATGATAATAAATACATTTGTATTTGTACTATTGTTTTCTTTAAAAAATAAAATAAAAAATCGTTGACAAATTGCTACTATCCTGCCCTGGGCTTTTTCACCTCTAACGTGGAATGGGATGATATACAGTTGACTTCATAATATTTACATTTCCATCTCATCTGCATAATTAATAATAATATATACATATTTACAGTCAATCCTTTAAACAACATATATACAGAAAATACAGTCATGGCGTTTACCAGTATACAGTAATTTAAACTTAAAGTCTATAAGACCTGGCCATAAAGTCTAGAAATCCTTGTTTCCGGAAAGACCAAAATTTCATCATTGCAAGATTAAAGACCCATGCAGTAAGCACCCAAAATGATATCACTTCTATTTCTCAAAACCACTTTAAGATTGTATCTTTTTATAGTTTCATTGGGTATAAAACTGAAGTAACTTTTGCTTCTTTTGTGTTCGGGCATTTAGTGCAGTTCTAGTGGTTTAGTTTTTTTTTGTATGGAAGTCAAAATACCGTTTTGTTTACATTGTGCTGCCTTTATGCCATATTTCACTTTTAGCGCTCCTTATCGAGGTGATAAGTAATATAACACGCCTTAAATGCATTATAAAACAGTATTAAACACATGCTTGCCATTTATAAAGAAAAAATGTATTTATTTCTAAGGCTTCATGTGCCTTTAAATAGTGCATTGAGGACAAACATACACCTGTACAATGTATGTTTATTGTTATACAGGTGATATCATGAGCAAGACGCTATATGGTATGACAATATAAAAGTACAATGTCAAAATAAAAGTAAGAAAAGAAAATCAGACACAGAAAAAACATTAAAAAAACTTTTGAGTATATAAAAAACAAGTGCTAGTACCTTAGGTTGATCTGAGAAAAAAGCTCGGGAGAAGCAAAATAAATTAAAAAAATATAAAAGAACGAAAAACCTTAACTGTTTTAATGATGGCATACCTTGTCAGAAACCATAGCACGAGGGTGTGGTACATTTATGACCAAGAATAATTTTTTATCAAAAGACAACTCATTTAATTGGACCATTTTATTGACTTTAATATTTCATAGAGTTTAGCAATTATTTGTAGTCCCGAATTGTTTAAAGAAAAGAAAAAAAGAAAAATCACAGATTTCAAGCAAACGGCACCACCTGCTTATTAAATATTTGAGTATTTGTAGCGTGTGTTTTCTAATGGAAAAACACAACAACAATAACAAAACAAAACAAACAAAAAACAACAACAGTAATTACTAATACAAATGTATTCGTAAAAGAAAATTCACTGAAGTTATAATTATTGAATGTTATATTTAACTTAATTAAAATTTATATGGTGTCAGTGTATTAAAATTGAAAATAAAGTCCTCTACAAATATCTCATAGATTGATTAACGATTGTTATGTTTTCATAAATCCATCTTTTGACACACGTCATAATCTGTCTTCTATACATAGAATTTTGTAATAACAAATATTGTTGTTTACTTGTACAAACATTGTGATTAATTGACATGTCCCAGTTTAACGACCAACAAGTCATACTTGCTGGACTATCATTCTGTAAACAACAATGTTTTCAACAGTGACTCATAAATAAAGAAATACCTCATCTCATGCAGATTTCAACATTCGCGCGCGTAATGCATGCCAACAATGTTCATATTTATTAATATGATAATTAGATTGAGGTCAAAGGTTGCGTAGGTAATGACCTTCCGGGCTTACCTAAAAGGTACAAATAGGGTTGTTTGAACGATAAAACAGTACTATCACTGCGAACACACAGAAAGACAGAGGTACAGAAAATGACAATCTTCAAGACAATGTCAAATACCGGCTTCTTGATAATTGGACTCTTAGGTAAAATATTTATATGTTATAAAAATAAGTTTGAATTGTTTTTTTTTTATTAAATACAAGGATTATCATAACATTCTACATAAAAGACTAGGATGTTGAACAAAGTAGATCAAAACTTTTCATGATAGATAACGTATATTTCAACATTTCGACGTTACAACATTTTTATTTTGTACATATATTTATATAGATGTTTTAAACATATATGCTGTTTTATTGTTGCATTACGCTAAAGTATTTAGAATAATATTACATGTAATATAACTATATTTTTCTAAACATTGGAAAGTACAACGTGCATTGTCTGGAGTTTTTTTCTTCTTTCTTTCAGTGTTTACTAGATCTACATTTGCACAAGTTACAACTCAGGAAAACGCACAAACTACACAGGCCACAATTACACAATCCACACAGACTTCTTCCGAAACCCAATCTACAGCAGCCAATGCTGGTGCACAATCAACACAAGCAAATACTGGTACACAATCAACACAAACAAATACTGGTACACAATCAACGGCAGCAAATGCTGGTGCACAATCAACGGCAGCAAGTACTGGTGCACAATCAACAGCAAGTTCGTCCAGCACCCAGACAGCGGCGACGTCTTCTAGTACCCAGGCTGCAACAACACCAAGCGCCACACAGACTACCGGAACCAGTACAGAAACCACAGCGGCATCTGCTGACACGCAGACGACAGCGGCTGCAGAACGCGCAAGCGTACCATGTCCCGATGGACAATATAACGATATTACAGATACAGTCACCTTCATACTTGATGAAAGAGAATGCCAAATGTAAGCAACATTTTTTTTGCTTTTTCTTCTTAACTCGCAAACATATTCCGAAAGCGATCTTTTCTAATTAAGTGAAAGCTTTAGCGATCACAGAATAATTGTCAATATCTATATGATGTAATACATTTCAAGTATTTAGGTCAAATATATACGCACGTTTGTTCATAATTTGATGGTTTGTTATAGAATAACACCAATCGTAATTCATTTTAACTTATGTTTTGATCTTCTGTACGGATGTGGGAAATTGGATGTGTTTGATTGACAGTAGATTGTATTAAGTATATGATATTATTCAAATGTATGCTGAAAAGACACTCCATTTTATTTGTGTCTTTTGATGACTTATTTGATATATATATTTATAGCACACCTTATCTACTTCAGAACTGTTTATCTTTCAAAACCACCTAAAGGAAAGAAAATACAGAAAGCGAAAAAGGCAAAGAAAGAAAAGGAGCCGAAAAAAGCAAAGAAAGGAAAGGAGCCGAAAAAGGCAAAGAAAGAAAAAAATCCTAAAGGCAAAAGTGCGGAACAAGTAGAACCAATAGAGCAAGGAGAGAGGTAAATCGTAATATTTTACTATCAATCATTTACTGTCTTTTTTGGTTATATATGTTTATTCATTCGCAATTCATCATGAATTTACAAAGTCTTCTTTGCAATAGATATACCATTGGAATGGTATTATCAGGTTTTATCTGAAGGTTTCAAATTTACATTCTTTGCAGTTATTATGTTTGTTATCTAATAGATCTAATACTCGATCATAATTTCTTATATCTTTTATTATTTTCATTTCATTTAAGAAACATAGTATACTTTGTATAGCATTTATGCTATTTTAAACCAAATATAATGCTACATGACAAGGAGTTAATCTATTGTTGAAAACTAGTCTTATTGTTATGTCTTCCAAATATTAGAAATGTGGAAATAATGAATATAAAACTTTAACTAATTTATCTCAGGTTAATAGAAAAATCCGTATCTATCGGTCCAATCCCAGGACGTGATGTTGACATGTGTGCCGATGTACAAGTCAGCAAATATAGCAAAGATGTTTACTCTATCCAAGCCGGAAATTGTGTCATGTAAGTATTTATTTTATCTAAAACAGGAAAACCATTGAAAAAAATATTTTGAGGACCATAAAAAAATTGTTGTCTCACAGTTAATTTATAACCTTGTTGTTAAATGATAAATCATTTGGCATTAAACTGGAACACGAAGCAGCCGTATTTTTAGTTAGCTAAGTGTTTTGGTTGTATGATTTTATGAAGAATTTGACATGTTTATAATTATACTAGCATTAGCTTCAGCAATTGTGAATATATCATTTTAATAGTTATGTTAATGTTAAACTGTTTTGCACGGCTCAGGTGTATGAAAATATTTTTGTTCAAAGGAAAGTTAATTTAAGATATATAATCAAAGCATTTAGTTAATGAACCGCCCGTCTGTAAGTTTAGTTAAGCTCTTCTATAAAAAAATCGGTGTTTTTTTTTTAATTATGTTTGTAGCCAATACAAATGCAACGATTCTAGCAAGTTACAATACCGCAGCATGTTTTGAATTTATTTCTTAGCTTACATTATAATGTGTAAGCCACTGCAAACATTGTTTCTTGTGTTTAACAAATATACAGCATTATGTCACCATATAAATGTACATTTTTATTTCATACAGGTACGTGAAGAAACCAAAGAAGGGCAAAAATGGGTAAATAATTTTATATATGTTATTCATGATACATTGAATACGTCATGTTACAATTTACACTTTATAACAGTTACGTAGGCTGTTTTGCATGACGACATTGAGGGGAAAACAACATATTGCATTCCTTATAAAACAATGAAAACGTTAGAATCGTTTGTTTAATTATACACAGTAAGATGCTCATATTTTTATTCGTAAAACATTTATAAGGGGCAGATATCCTGAAAAAGTATAACTCTTTTTCCATAAAGCAAAACAATAACATGGTTTTATTATATTATACGAAAGACCTTTTATTTTAACAGCACAAAGTAACATGCGATAATAAAGTATGTTTGCAAAATATTTGAGTAGTGAAATAGATCGAAAACAACACAATGCTCATAAAAAGTATATCAGAAAACAAATGAGCCGCGTCACGACAAAACCAACATAATGGGTTTGCGAACAGCATGGCTCCAGACCAGCCTGCGCATCCGCGCAGTCTGATCAGGATCCATGCTGTTCGCTATCAGTTTCTCTACTTGTAATAGAGTTGGTAAGCGAACAGCATGGATCCTGATCAGACTGCGCGGATACGCAGGCTGGTCTGGATCCATGCTGGTCGCAAACCCATTATGTTGGTTTTGTCATGACGCGGCTCAAATGTATCTGATCCATTAGTATGATACTCATGATAAAACGTTTAAAATGTCTTTTTCTTTTTTCAGATCATCTGTTCCAATGATCAGGACCGAGACAAATCCACCTGTTTAAGGGAAATCGCCTGTTTACCAATATGATAATTAACTGTATATAAATCCAAATTTATACAAAAAAATGTACATAAAATTGTTGTCTCGTCTTTACAAAAATAAATGTTTTACTTTATAATCTAATCTCGCCTTGTTGTTCTTTAAGTTCATGGGCACATGGTTTAAGTGTAAACCAACTGGCAAAATGAAATGTAATAAAAAAATGTCAAAAGAAATATATAAAATGTATGGCAACGGCAGCAATCAAATATGTAATGACAGCATATTGTTACAGATATATACACCATTCATGTTACTTTTGCATAATTATCAGTCTTATAAGAAATCATGTGACATAACAATTGTTGTCCATTCGAAGTAAAAGTGAGATGAACCATACGCTTGTCGTCAAAGAAAAATTTGTTTATAACACGTTCCATATCTTGATAACATTTTTCACAATGTTTATCTATATCAAAATCACACGTACTGTTTAATTGAAAAGAAAATAGCATTTATAGTCAATAAGTAATATTATATAAATAAGACATGTGTTTTTGGGTATCGGTAAAATATCATCCCGAGATAAATACTGTTACCTGAGATCTTAGTAATAATTTTACAAGGGATGATATTTTACCGTTTATCACAAACCCATGCGTTATTTATTTTCTTACCCCAAACAAAAACTGTATTGATCTGAAATTTTCAACTAAATGTAACTGCAACAAAATTGAACCAAGAGTAGCAATAACTCAACTGTCCTCACATTGCAAGTTGTAAGTGAACCTGATAAGTTATTTTCCTTTAATTCTTAAAGGAAATTTTGATATCTACCAGTCATAAACATACAATAAGCTGTGTTTCATATGAAAATAAAAACACAAACCCATTTATGCGGTTATGATCTGTGAAATATGATTCTACTGTATCACATGGTTTTTGACAATGTGCATTAACGAAATTACGATGGTATCCCGCATCATTCTGTCTACGACACCTGTCATGTTTCACTGATAAAATTCGTTAAATAATCCTTTGTTGCATGCTTTTACCGTCTGCTTGTTCCATTTTGACACACAATTAATCCAATGCAGTAACTTCCAAAGAAAACGGATGTTAACTATTTTTTACTATTCAACTAAAGATTATGCACTCAATGCGCAAACAACTAAAAGTTAGGATTACATATTAGATCATTACATAAAATCACATTACATTTTTTTCGATCACTATCAGCAATTAAGAAAAAACACAAGAAATAAAAAAAAAAAAAAAATGAAATCACAAAGCAACACTTTGTAACCAAAAAGTGTACAAAAATCCCAGAAAATTCTATTATGCTCGTGTGTCATGGGGTTAAAAATGCTGCAGTACATTTCGTAAGGGACCTCGCCAACCATTTTCTTCATGATTCGACATTATAGATTAATGGTCCACTATACCTTGTATTCATATTTTCATATTTTGATAGCGTTTTTAGAACTGGTCAAAACTGGATTCTATTGTCAACCAGATTTTGTGCACATGAGAGCACATGTCAAAATAGTTATGCTAAACAGTGTTTATGATTTATATATAGAATAACGTTATTTGTCTACGTCTGCATCAAAACATTTTATCAATTTTTGGCTGTACGGTGGAAATTATGTTTCATTTACAAACCTGAGAAAAAGAGTTCATGTACATATATGGTGTAACATGCTTAGCTCACGCAAGGTATAACAACAACAACAACAGCAGCAGCAGCAGCAACAACAACAATAAAAACTAGTGATTTGAAAAGAGAACCACCAATGTGACACTTATAAACAAGTTTATAGCATTTTATTATTCATATTTCTTAAATTTCTATAAAAACAGTGACATTTATGTAAATTTATATTTTAAAAATATGTAAATCAGATCCCGGAATTACGCGCTCTCAGTAGTACAAAAACAAACGAATAAAACATTATGTTGTATTTACTGCGTGGAAGCACTCAAGAAAGTTGGAAAATAAAATGACGAAAACAGCAAGTTATATGTGTCTTATGGTGTTTGGACTTTTTGGTAAACGTTTGATTTATACAGTTTGAATATATTATCTGATATTAAAAGAATACTAGAAAAATGCACGTTTACTGTTTTCGAAATTTAAATTCTTTAAATAATCTTAAGATAGAACTGATTATTCTGCAAACATTTTTGTTGTTTTAACTCTAAGCTTATATTCATTTTTAGAGCTGAGACAGTTGGGGCTGATATTTTTTTATTGTTTTTCAGTTGTCACACATTTAACAACAGGACAAAAAGAAGCTACTCAAAAAATAGCGCCTGGCTCGGCTGCTGGAACGTCAGCGTCACCTACCAAGTCATCTCCTACAACCCCTGTAAAAGTCACATCTACAGGGACACCTGTCAAAGTCACATCTACTGGGGCACCTGTGAAAGTTACATCTACCGGAGCACCTGTAAAAGTCACATCTACCGGGGCACCTGTGAAAGTTACATCTACCGGAGCACCTGTCAAAGTCACATCTACCGGGGCACCTGTAAAAGTCACATCTACCGGGGCACCTGTGAAAGTTACATCTACCAGAGCACCTGTAAAAGCCACATCTACCGGGGCACCTGTGAAAGTCACATCTACTGGGGCACCTGTAAAAGCCACCTCTACTGGGGCACCTGTAAAAGCCACTTCTACCGGGGCACCTGTCAAAGTCACATCTACCGGGGCACCTGTCAAAGTCACATCTACCGGGGCACCTGTCAAAGTCACATCTACCGGGGCACCTGTCAAAGTCACATCTACTGGAGCTCCTGTTAAAGTCACATCCACAGGGTCACCGGCCAAAGCAACTTCTACAGCGTCACCGGTTAAAGCGACAACTACCAAAGCACCTGTTAAAGCAACTTCTACCGGGGCACCTGTCAAAGTCACATCTACTGGAGCTCCTGTTAAAGTCACATCCACAGGGTCACCGGTCAAAGCAACTTCTACAGCGTCACCGGTTAAAGCGACAACTACCAAAGCTCCTGTTAAAGCAACTTCTACAAAAGCACCTGTTAAAGCAACAACTACCAAAGCACCTGTTAAAGCAACAACAAGCGGGGCAACGACCAAAGCGACATCTACCGTTACAACAGCAACACCCATATCGCCCTGTCCTGTCGGTAAATACAATCAGTTAAGTGAAACAGTGACCTTCACACTGGACGAAAAAGAATGTCTTATGTAAGTAACTACTAAAATTCAAAATTCTTGAAAAACTATTTACTATGATGTAAGTTGACAGGTATTTTACTTTAAGGCAAGCAATGACTCTCTCACTCTGTTTCTCAAATGTACTAGTATCACCATTATAAACATTTTATTTAATATATTATTTTAAATTCGAGTATTCATCATATTGATACAGGTTGATAGGTTGGACTTTGTTTGATTTTAAGTATGTAAATGTCTTAAGTAAATCAAAATATGATAACTTTTTAAAAAGTAGATATAAAGATTAACTTGTTTTGTACATATTGGAGCGCAAGCTGCAATATTGCATGCCTTGATACCTGTATATACATGTTTTGTCTTATAATACTTTACGTTTGTAACGTCGCTTTTCATTGGATAATCATGACGTTTTTATAGGTTTATACGGCTGCTGTCAATTTATGAAGATATCTTTTTTTTCTCTAAAAAAGATTGCTGTATTATAAATTCGTTACAAAAATTTATGAGAGGTCATATGACTGTAAATCAAAGGTTATATAACAACTCGGGTTATATTTCCAAACAACCGTTTATATACGGGCATATAACCTGTCAAAATCTTTATAAGCATGGACAGTTCTTGTAACAATATTTGGACAAAATCAACCGGTATAACCTCTTTTTGCTATATTTACGTAATGGACTCGGTCAGTTTCCATTTTTGGAACTACTTGTTTGCGTATGTTCAGGATGGCCTGACGCTATATATTGGTGACAAAACTTAGTCACTTCCGGTGCCAGCAGGTTTCGGGTAAAAGTTTTTGTATCAGCAAACATTGTATTGAAATGTCACTAACCAAATGGTGTGAACTTTCATTGTTTTAGAACCGTGTACCTCGCTAAATCATCTAAGGATAAGGGAGCTATAAAGGGAACTTCAAAGGATAAACAAGGCAAAAAAGAAAAAAAATCAAAGGAAGGAAAATCAGAGACAAAGGATAAACAAGGCAAAAAAGAAAAAAAATCAAAGGAAGGAAAATCAGAGACAAAGAAGAAAAGTAAAAGTGGGGAAAAGGCTGAAGTGGAAAGAGAAAGGTAAATACATGTACATAATTATCTTTTTTTTAAGTTTCTAGAACTACACGTCGAGGATAAGTCTTATTACAGAAAATTACTGATTTTAGGCAAATATATAGTGAATGGCATTGTCCGTTTTGTTGGAATCCAGACTCATGAGCCAAATGGAAAAAAAAGATCAAATTCCCTCCATGTACCATAGAATCTTTGGGAAACCCTAGAATTTATTAGAAAATTTATTTATATGTTATTATACATTTTACTGTACAGTATGGAAATATATTTGGGCGAGTACACAGTTTGAAAAGTCACGTTGGACGAGCCGAGTCCAAATATATTCCGTATTGTACAGTAAAAAGTATAATAACCTTTTTATTTTATATCTTTCGTTTAATTTGAAATTACATCATCATTATCCCCAATAAAACCACCACCGATGTCATCATCCATACCACCACCATTATCAGCAACAAAACCACTACCACCATCACCAACACGTTCAGTATAACAACCAAAACCACAACTCATCTGTTAGAGCATCGTTTAGTGCACATGTACCCAGCCGTCAAATATGAAAATAATTATTTTTTGATCCAATGCGGGAATATATTGGACGGTCACGAGGTACAAATGCAGATTATGAATTGGTTAGATTTATTAGATATATAATAATAGCTTTTATTGTTTATCAAGATATATAGAAAGACGTGTATCAGTTGGTCCTACACCAGGTCGAGAGGTTGATATGTGTGGGGAAGTTGTTGCTAAGAGATCAGGAAGGGGGACATATACTATACGGACAGGTGACTGTATCATGTAAGTTATTATAATATCTTTCTTAACGCTGTATCATACCCATGTTTGATAATTGTCATTTAATGCTTTCCTCTTAAAAATTCCTGTTCAATTTAGTTTAGTTTAAACTTCTATATAAAAAAATACTTATTCAATAAGTTTTACATAAAATAACATTTACAAACATTTCACAACAGTGTAATTCAGACTGGATTGGAAAACAAGTAAAACAATACTTATATCAATTCCTCTCCAGTAAAAGTAATTTTAAAAAATAAAGATACAAAAATGATGCAATTAGTTGTAGGCTCTTTGAATGTACAACAAAGAATAAGAGAATAATTGATTGTGTTTGAATTCGTGATACATATATGTACATGATTGTCTCCACAGCTGAGACTCAATCGAGAAATAAAAACCTGTTATAACAATGGTTTACGTTTCCAATTTGTTTATTTGTTTACGTATTCATAGTGCAACAGCCACATATGAAATGCATATTTAAAATATAAAAAAATATATATGACAAGGAGAGATGTAGGACGAACGGAAATACACGTCGGATTTACAGTAGTGTTTTAATTAATATTATAGTTGACATTTCACATGAGGTCGGCTTATTTAATAAGTATAACATAAGGTTTTAATTTGTTGGATATACCTAGTATATCATTAGTTACATAAGACAGATTTTTCTTGCATATCAGACTGGCGTTTCCGTTAGGTTTACCCATGCCGGAAATTTCATCTGGCATGGGGGGTGCCAGATGAGTCGCGTGCTGTACAATGGCACGCTTAGGATGACGTCATTTTACCGTTATGAATGAAGTTGTGTAATTCATACGCTGTTGTAAGAAAAAAGTTACGGTTGTAATGATATAAATTTCCATTGAAATTAAAGATAAAGAATTTAAAATATAATGGAATATGGTAGAATATGCAAGAAAAAATATCTGACATATGTTTGCAGTTCGGATCGGAATATCCGTCCCTCGGTCACCCGCCCATGGGCGGTCACCTCGGGACCGATATTCCGATCCAAATATATGGCAGATATTATTAAGCATAATTTCATCTAACGCACTTATTTTCATATGTGCATGTATATTGCTAGGTAGTTGCTATGCAATTACCGTTTGAAAATTAGTAACAAATCTGTTTTTACATAATTATTATATTTTTACTGATATAATTATAATCTTTTTGTGACTAATTAACAGTATAACCGGAAATCACATGTAAGATTTATCTACGATATTATTTATCTCTGACAGGACCATACAACGACGGAACAAAAAGAGCAAGGGGAGGTAAGTGGTATTGTAGAACCAAACTGAGTATAGACAGAGTTACTGATTAACCGTATAGTATTGCTTTTTTAGCTTTACTGAATAGAGTAACCAATGATTTTTTAAAAGTAGCTTTATGAATTTTGCAAAGCGACAACACTTACAGAGAAATTAAATTATCTAGATATCTATTTTAATTTTCGGTAATATCTGCCCAACACAATGTTGATCAATGGTGTTACAATTACTTTGGACTAAAATTTACCATAAAACAAATAAATACATATATCTAAGTTAAGAAACATTGTTAGGTTTTGTTTTTTTAAGATGATTTTGTCATAAATCATTGTTTGTTGTTTTCAGACAGCCTATAATAAAGTCAGAGAAGGTTCAACGGCGTTAAGTTGAGAGAAGTGAGCTTTCTTGTTGTATATAATTCCATATTTTTTCATGTTGTATTTTGAATTAATGTTATTAAAATAAAACAAATTTTACCTTGTTGTTATTAAGATTTTACATTATTTATTTATGCTCGATAGTAAACTAAAATTTCTCAACGATCCTGCTTTCATCTAAACATGGTTATGATCCATATAGGACTCGAGCCAATGTTCCAATTAAACTTTCAGCATAAGGCAACCTTGCTTCAATTGTGAGCTGTGTTGCAGAAGTAGCTTATCTCCTGAAATAGTGTTGTGAAGTTTTTTTAATGCGACAATATTTATGATGTAAATGCAAAAATGTGTCACGATTTCTTAGTAGAAGGGCTATACATTTGAAAAAAATGTACAATTAGAATATAAAAATATTTGCCTGGTCAATGGTTTATATTTACTATTCAAATATTGAAAGATATTACAAAACATTATCAAAAACCATTAATTGTGTCCCAATTTTACCGGAAACAAATACCACATGATCACAAAAGATCGTAATCATAAAATATAAGATTATTAAATAAAATACAATCACGAGTATTGACCATGTCTTGCAACGCAGTATCAACGTTAACACAAAAAAGAGAATGAATCCTGATTTCCATTGCTGCCCTTGTTACTGGCGGTATAAACAGCGGAACGCATGCATTTTTATATAATTTACCTTATTCTTGAAACAAAAACGCAACAAGAAACAAGAGAATACATTCGAAGGGAGAAAACCAGTATAATTGTTATGGTTACCTTTCATAGTAAAGCGGACTAGACTTAGAGATACAACAATGGTCTGCTGGTCTACAGTTGTTCATGAACAGGTTCAGCCTGACGGACAGTGTGTCACATTCATCTATACATTTAATGAACAGATTAAACCTAATATAGATTTTATTACATTTACCTAAACATCAGATTGTATCACATTTATAAGTATACAGTTCAAAAACAGGTTAAACCGAATATAGATTGTCCACAACATATTGTATCACATTTATCTATAAAGTTCATGACATAGAATGCAATATTCTGTTTTCATTGTTTTAACTAACATTACTGTCATAATTAATGCAGGATGATATGTTCATGTTCGTATTTACGGTCTATTTTATTCATTAGCTAATATGTTCAGGAAAACACAGTGTTCATTTGATTGATTTTGGAACCTATTAATTCAAAGAAAATTCCGCAAAATTACAATGAAATCTCTTCATAATTTATTATTATATTATATAAACATGATAAACATTGTAACAATACACGTACATGTATGTGCATGAATAATGAGGGTAAACTTACCTTTACTATTATCATTGCTTTACGTTGTTCTACTTACGTCGTGCAAGATAATCTTGTTTGTGATTTTAAGACACGTAATCTGTGATGAAAATAAAGTCTTAAAATCAACGATTAAGTCATTTTTGACAAATTAATACAGTTAAGTAGCATATATTGGACACGACTTCATGCAGAGCATTGTAATTTTACACTATAAATACGTGATGAATGATAGTAAGTGACAATACTTTTGAATGTTGTAATGTTTTAAAACATGTCATATGTAATTTTGAAAATGTCGCGTAACTGAGAGATTAATTAGGGTTTTTTGGCACATTTCTAAATTAAAGGTCACAAACATAAATTTTAACTTACTTTCCTCTTATTCATTTGTTTATGAATTTAAAAATGGTATAATTTCTAAAATGGCATCTTAAAGATGGTGTAAGGACATCATCTATTTATAGATGTACAGCATGCCGTTAAGTAACAATATCTAACGTTTGTCATTCAAAACGTTATTCAAAACATGCCAACCTTGACTTTGTAAATACATAAAATGTAAAAAAAAAATGCAGGAACGGACCAAAAGTGCCGAGTCCATATTACAACATTACTTAATTGTATTATAAAAATGATCACAAATTGTGTTAATTGTAAAGATAATTGAACAAACTGCAAAACTCCTTTGAAGTCGTGTCATAAATAAAATGCCATCTTACAAAGGCATTTTACTTTTCTTGACAGATGCAAGTATATTTTATTTATCTATTTCATCTGATGTATCTCTGCATGATTTCAACGTGACACTGGCTCCGCCTCTTTTTAGAAAATATTTAAAACATATCAATATATTTTAAAAAAAAAAGGGAAAATTACTTTGAACAAAACCATTGTTTCTTGTGTTTTTTACTTTTTAGAAAAAACACGATGGCCCGGGTGGATTTTTTAAACAAGGTTTTAAACTTGTTCAATTGTTGCTGGGTAAAACTATTTTTAAAAAATACTTTTATTTATTTAAATAAATAAAAGCAAAACCCTATACTGAAAATATTTTTAAAGGTTTGAAAAACCCCACACAATAAAAACCCCAGAATAAGTTTATGTGTATATATTTTTGAAAAGGGGAAAATTTTTATGGAAAATTTTTAAAAATTTACCATAGTTTTTAAACGGTCAAAATAAATGTGGAAAAAATATTGTTTGCATGATACTTGTTTAGATTTGAAAATGACATAACTGTAAATATAGCCAAGAAAAATTAAAAAGGTAGACCACGAGACATTGGACGAACAGATTGATTTAGTATCACATTTAGGTATATAATTTTGAATATATTTATAGAAAAGTTCAGTAAATTGGAAATCTACTATTTGACTTTTAAATAATAGCAAAATGTTTAAAAATTATTCAAAAATACTTGTTTAAGGAATTCTTAATCATGTTTAGAATGACTTTGTAATATTTGTCATATTCGCTTAATTGGACAATTATCACCATGTATCGATGTAATTTTCAGTGAACAGTGTTGTGTTTGCTAGAGTAATTAACAAGGTATCAAGTACAGGTGTACAAGATTCTGGCACTCCTGATGTCTCTAGTTCTGTTACTGGAGAAATAAATTATGCAGAAGATGGAATTACGGCAAATAATGTCAGTCAATCTGGGAAACAAATCAACTACGTTGCTGAGTCTTCGAATAAACCTGCCACAGGCACCGGTTATACTAAAGGTAGTTCTGAATCCATTTCTTCTAAAAAATTAACTGATCCCAAATCAAAAATGAGTCCAGCGGTGACTTCTGAAGTAAAAGCAGCAAGTGCTGTAGTTAAATCGGAAGTAAATACAACAGAAACTGAAGCTGAAAGTGGTGTTATGTCAACTGCCTCTGAAGCTGGTATTGGAGATAAACATACTTCTTACGAAACAGAGACAGGCAATCAATCCAATAACACAAGCCCGGGATCATATGATGTACCGACTTTACCTGTACAGTCAGGACAACCTAATACTTTATTAGGCGGACAAGCCACAAACTATGATATACAACCAAATATAGTAACAATTAAATCTAAATCTAATTCAAATACACTTGTCTCCAAAACCGGATCTAGCCAAATACAATTTGGTAAAAATAATGGATCAAGTGCGCAACAATCTGCTTCTAAAGTCGAGCAAACTTATAACGACACAGAATCAAGTATAAACTCGAAAGAGGCGGTAACTAGCGAACAGTTAACTGCTCCCAAATCGGAATCCAACCAATCAAGTGTGGAGTCTACCAAAACGTCCAATAGTTCAGTCACTACAGCTTCTGAGCAATTATCTGGCTCCGAAATGGAATCATATGATCGGTCTAAAAGGATCGAGTTAAAAAATCAGTCAAAAAGGTCAGTTTAATGGGGTAGGGAAAACCAAAATACTAGTTCCCCTAGCTCAGAAATGGGAAAATTATTTATCATCTAAGGTTTTTAGGCCTGGGGTTCCCAAAAAATCAACCAAACTAGCCAAGCCCGCTACATCTAGTAAACAATTAACTGTCCCTGAAATAAGATCATATGATCAGTCTAAAGGCTATAGTAATTGGTCTATGAATGAATCATCTAGTACCGTTGCTGAATCAAAGGAAACATCTACTGGTGTAGATACAGTATCTCAGAATATACCAATTGACGTCTATGATGGATCAGCGGGTAAACCATCAAACTCTGATACCAAAGCAAGTTCAAAACCACAAAGCTTAGAGGCTAGTTATGGTAATAAACCAGCTAATTCCGGCTTAGAAACTGGTCAGCAAGTAAATGTCAAAACAGTTAGGGGATTATCAGCTAGTTCGAATGCTAGCGCAAAGGGGACATCAAGTAAAGGCTCAAATGAAAATGCTAGTCAAGGTAAAACTAATCCTATAGTCAAAACACAAAGTTCAAGCATTGCTTCTGGCGGCAGTAGCCCATATAACAAAAGTACTTCAGGAGTTGAAACTGGAAGTGATCAGCCCGATGTAGATATTCCAAGCAGCATTGGTTCTCAGTATGAAATGGGTGAAGGAATGGCAGGACCAGATGGTGGTGAACAACCTGAAGTTCCTGAAGGAATACAGCATGGACCATGTGCACGTTTTCCGTTCCGTATTGAAGGCAATAAAGTTATCTTTGATGTTGAGATGAACTGTCAGTTGTAAGTAACGTCTTCAAAAATCATAATTTTGAAAAAAAATGTAATTATACCATTATCTTTTATTATAATTTTACAAAACAATAAAACTGAAATGTACCTTTTTTACATAATTTTCTTGTAACATTTGGTTGATCCGTCCGGATCACCTATTCCAATTAAATATGAATAAAGTGTACTGTTCAAGTCGCTGTAACTTGGTGGAGGACATTAATGTCAGCAATTGCTCGTTTCATTGTCTTTTATGAACAAATTCGCAAACACAACAACAACAATTCTGCAGGTTTCATCTTAACGTTGATTTAACGGGGCAGGTTTCTTTTAAACATCATATTTGTAGATAGAATCAAATATGATACGTATGGACTTCTTGATATCAGTTAAATTCTTAAAAAACATTTCTAGGATAATGACAACCAAGAATTGTAAATGTTCAAAGGCTATATGATCATCATGATAAATTAAAGATCCTTTACGTTTTAATTGAGGTTGTATACCAAGTGAAATTATATATATGTATAAATTTATGCTTATAAAACAGTTTTCAGACATCGAAGAATATGTAAAATATGTACTACAAATATTTGTACATATTATATTTAATCATTAAAATATATGCATTCATTTCTTATTGAAACAATTGAATTAGACTTTATAAAAAATAAAGCTTTTATTACCTCTCTTTATTTACATGAACTGTTAAATTCGGTAATATCATTATAAATAATGCTTTTTGGAACTTACAAAATTGATAAATCTTAACTTGAGCATCATATTTATGATATAAAACCATAAAAAAATTGTATTACAGGATCTTTAAAGACAGTTAAAGCACCCGCTAGCACCGTCTTTAATAGAAAACATTATTGATTGTTATTACATGTTGCACAATGTGAGCAAAGTTGTAATTTATATGCACCATATTAATGTGAATTACAAAATATGACCTATACCATTATCTTTGTTATTTATTGTTATAAAGTAAGGGATATTCAAATTCATGTTTATAAAAGTTGGTAGGGTCTGTTAATTTAAGAATTTGCCAAAAGCAGTTGAAAAAGGGGTACGGGGCCAAACAGTCAGGGAAAAGGAGCATCGTAAGAAGATATATGTTTGTTTTCCTTTTCTCTCATCGTGATATATTATTGTGTTTTTTCTTACATATAATTCTGTTCAGATTTACATATTTTGCATAGAGCTATTTACGATATTGTACATGTACATTCAGTCGGAAATATAATTTCCGACTAGACTTAAATGATATCGCTAAAAGAGAATTTCCGAAAATCATTTACAGCAACTTGTTTGAAATACAAACATCGAGTGGTACAACAGCTGTTGATGGCACGTGTCCAAACCTGCAAGCGTTTATAGTGAGAAATGGCATTGTTTATATCAAGACGTCACCAAACTGTCATTTGTAAGTTGAGATACTTCATCTTTTCTTTCTTTTTGTTGCAAATCTAGTCAGACTATCTCCTAAGTCATAATACAATTAAATATTTTTGTAATGTTTTGTTACAGTTAGAATACATCGGTGAAATGAGAAATTCTCTGCTACTTATTAAAGACAAGAAAAACGTTAGCTGTCATGTATAAGTATACAATCTCAACGAACCATCGTTTTGTCAATATAACTGGTATACCCGTCACATTCAGAGTTTCATCTATATTTTGTATTTCCCCAACAGGTCGGGTATATCGTTAGAGGAATGTAAATAGATGATTTGTTAATGTCGGGGATAGGAATTACATTATCTTCTTTATATTTTAGAAACTATTTAGATATTTCTATACAATTTATCAGTTTATGTAAGGTATTTCTGATTTTACATTTGTATATATGAATGCATGAAAACAGCGCTAATTAAGGTTCAATATAAACCTTCATGTATATGAACCTTGATTATAAAACACATGCCTTTGATTAACGCTTTATTTCAGAATTATACACCCTGACAGACTGACCACAGGGAGGAACTAGTAAGTCGTTTACAACGTGATATATGCATCTTTCGTTAATGCAACAATCTTATTTTATTTCACATTTATAGCGTTTTAAGTTTTTTAGTTTAAACATATTTCATTGCATTAAATACATGTTTAAAAACATATTATACAAATAATGAGTATATATCAAAATGCAAATGGGTTAGGCAACAAGTTCTTGCAATATGAGATTGGTTTTGAGAGACACCAGCCATTTTTCACTATTTTTTATGACAATCACGGTCATTTTATGTTGTGGTTTTAGAAAATGTTTTGTAAAGAAACCTTTTTAAATACAACAATGGTTTACATATGTATATTAATTTTCTACAATTACTGGTACAATATATTGCTTCTCAACCGGTTGCAATATATATTAACGCTCATTGTTATGTTAAAAGACATAATAAAATGGGAAATAGAAGTCGTGTAATACAGTAAATATCACTCAAACTAATACCCGTTTTTTTTTTACTTTCGTGTTCCAGAAACTTTCCAACAACGGCTGCAGTTGATGTTGGAGGGTTAAAGTGTTCAACAGAGGAAAAAGTCGATAAAACATTTATGTACATAGAAGAAACAGCAAATAATGGAAACACATTATAATTGTTTGTCAATATATACTTTTCATCAACCATTTCCTAACAACCTACATTATCAATTAAGGCTACCATTTCGACTAGACATTAGTAAGAACGCTGAATAAGTTACAAGAACTGTCTCAGTAAGTCATGGACAACAGTGTTTATAAATACAAAATACTCGACGGGCTCCAAAAAAAAAAAAAAAAAAAAATCCTCCATATAGCATTAATGAGTATATGACACATTGGGTTAAATGTAATAAATCTTAGAACACCCGATTGACTCCGAAGTTTGATATTTCACTAGTTAAACTTGTTTTGTTTAATTGGAAGATATTCACCGCGAGATGATGTTTAACTTGGGAATGTTTCATCTCCGCCTCATAAGTTATCAAAGACAACCAAGACTACACTCTCCAAGTAAAATACACAAAGACAGGGCAAGGTGTGTGGTAATGAAGACAAAAAAAAGAAACAAAACAAAGAAGGAGAAACCGGGAGCACCGCCTTAGAATGGGCATGTAAAATATTGATCTATACATTATTTTCCTTGCCACTCCGTGTCTATATGTTAGTTGCAGCGTCCTTTATAATATTTATTCAGATGATTCCCCATCCGTGTCTGTGTCAATTACAGCACCTTTTATAACAATTATTCAGATGATCTGTTTTTATTACATAACCCTAAATACTATTGTCGTATTTCTCTGATTCATCAGTTACATTAGATATATTATTCATCACAGATTTTACATGTACACATGAGTTCTCAAATTTGTTCCAGAGAACATTTGGCATCATTATTATCTCAGTTTGTCAGCTCCATCATGACCTTCTAGCACAAGCTGCAATAAAATTAAAGAAATATGAATCTAACAGTGCAATTACAGCAAACAAATAGCATCGTTGTATTTTAAAGCCTTTCACAAAGTTGTCAACAAAATGTAAGCACGTGTATAAAGTACCATAGATATATCTTATAAATGTAAAATATATTTCAGAAACTTCCTCAAACAATTAAAACAGGATTCTGTATATAGCAATATTTGATTAGGATTTTTCTAAGCTTTGTTGATTTCTTTTATCATAGAAGGTAAATATCATTAAAATCATTTCCATACTAGTTTATGTTGAAATACAATTTAGATTTAGCTGATAACGCTTACATATAACGAAAATTATGAATAATGGAAACAAAATCACAGAGCATTGTGAAAGGCAAGGACATGCAGTTTCATGTGGTTGAGACGTTAGTAACACAGTTTTTTCTTCCAAAATGGTTCCAGAATACAAGTTTCTGCAAAAGTATTGCATAGAAAATACAAACAAGAAGTTAAAATCTATGTATGCAACATAATTTCCATCTATTACACAGACGTTTCACAAATTGATTAACATACAATGAAAAAAAAACTTACGCAAGAGTACGAAGTTGAAAATAAATCTCGGATCCTCAAAAGTTATGCTAAGTTTGGACTCTAGTTCATTTGCTGCATCGGCCCACGGAAACTGATTTGGTGGGTCATGTGTTGTATCTAATGTGACATAATAAGAATCTCTACACGCGTATGGTGACGTCTTCATATCCGTGCAGGACATAAAGAATACATAGTCTTCAGGGCGCTCTGAGAAAAACATTATACGCTCCGTTTTCCCATCATCCATTTCTGTGTAATACAAAAAAGTATCATAATTAATGTTTTAATTTTCAATTCATGTAACCCATCACATTTTATATAGAAATACAGAATGTAATAATAGATATAAATCAAATAAAGTACTTTTTCCGCTATACTGTATATCTTAAATGAACACGTATATCTTTCAATCTGGACAACATTTCTGGTTAAATTTCAAAATGTTTACTAACTGAATAGCGAACAGTACAGACCATGCTCAGACCCAATTAATGTGCCAGATGATATTGGTCTGCAGTCTGCACCGGTCGCATGGGTAGCAGCAGGTTTAAAGAACTATAACACACGAATATACTATTGATTGATTGATCGATATTGATTTTCTTTAGACCGGGCGGTCAAGGATAACCTACGAAAGTGCAAGCACTTATTTCCAGTAGGATCCTTACCTCACCAGACTCTAGAGACAGCTATGAGATACAATGGAGTCCGGGAACCAATCCCTAGCTCTTATTGAAAAGACCCCCTGGTTCTTTTACATGCCCAGTGTATAGCACTGATACATGCGAGGATTACCTGGGTTTCTTACCAGTAAACCTCTAGGTAGGTGGGAAACACTGAAAGTGTCTCTGAAAAATCCCAAGGGTGTTACCCAGGATCGAACCCGGAACCTCAGGAGTGACAGTCAGTGGTCTAACCAACTGAGCTATCGCGCCACCTTGAAACTATCGCTCTATGAATTTTCCATTTGTAAAGAGGACGTACTAAACATTTAAATGTGTTTAATATATTAAATAACAGTAACATTATAATAAATCTATGGTGGCATATTTCTGCCACCAGATAGCCTGATACCTAACTAGTTAATTAAGAGGTTAACTAGTTAGGTAACTAGTTAACCTGATACCTAACTAGTTAATTAAGAGGTTAACTAGTTACGTAACTAGTTAACCTGATACCTAACTAGTTAATTAAGAGGTTAAGTAGTTACGCAACTAGTTAACCTGATAACTAACTAGATAGTTATCAGGTTATCTGGTGGCAGAAATATGCCACCATATAAATCTATTAAATATTTCAATATTTTATTCGGATCATAAACAATGTGTTTGCCTACCAAACATTCAGGTAAAGTACAGTCTGACCAAATTCTTTTTTGTGTATATACATGTAGTCTAGTTAAATTTCGCATTTTATATTGAACAACCTATATAGATATATGATTACATATAAGAATGGATTGTTCCAATTAAAAAAAAGCAAATCCACCGGACAAACTCATTGTATCAGGAAATTGATTGAAAAATTCAAGCGTCTATGTGTTGTTTGAACAATCATTTCTACATTTTGCAGCATCTTATATATTCTTTCAGAAATAAAATTTATAAGATAAAAACATTTATGTATTCATTAATAGCTTGACATGTTCATTTTTCAAATTCAAAAACGAAGACTGGATATATATCCGTGTAATAAATGCTTGGTTTACCTTTTTCAAACATTGCAATATCTGTGTTTCCAACAAGATTTCCCATTTTAAATTTCTTGATTTCTTGGCATTTTCTTGAGTATATAAATCTATGAAAATAAAGAAGTAAAAGAAATGATTTATCCAAATGTGCTGTTTCAAGTTTTCGTTTCCTTTTATTTTCTCTAGTATTTATTTTTAGTTGGGTTTTAAGTCGCACCAACACATTATAGGTCATATGGCGACTTCTCAGCTTTACTGGCGGATGAAGATCTCAGGTGCTCTCCCTTGCATTATTTCGGGCATGAACGGGCACCTGAGATGAACAACCAAGGTTATGTAAGCTAGCTAGATAACTTCCTCACATGAAAGAATGCAAAATCCCTGTCGGGATTCAAACCAACTGCGATGAGGGGCAATTGTTTTTTTTAAATCAACGACCGTAACCACCCAAATCGCGCCAATGGAACTGTCTTATAAAATCAGTCAACATACATTGGCATTGTCACAGAAAAGGATTTAGACAAAGCGCATGAATTATATTTACTTGCTTATAAAATTCTGCATTAAAAGGGACTCCGTTGTGTTTTTACACGACGGACTGGAAATATTTTTAATCGAGATTAATGTTCCATTTGATGTAGGTCTAGACCAATAACATGTGCGCAAAATATCTTAAGATTACGATTTTCAATTCATTTTTAGTCTATTTTATTGTTTTGTTTATCTTTCTGATTTAAGCCTCGGTCTCACTTACTCCCGGCAGAGCCCAGGACCATCCCGGTAAGTTACCGGGATGATCCGGGACGATCCGGGATGAAATTATTGTTGCGGTCACACTTACACCGGCAGCACTACGGTAGTTCCCTACTAACCACCCAGGATGCGCTCCGGATCATCCAGGCAGAGCCCAGGTGAAGCTACGGTTCATGCCGGTGCTTCTCCAGTTGTTCCCGGATGACGCCGGAAGAGCCCCGGTTGACCCAGACAGAGCCCAGGTCGATCCAGGCAGAGCCCCGGCAGAGCCCCGGCAGAGCCCCGGCAGAGCCCAGGACGATCCAGGCAGAGCCCCGGTAGAACCCCGGTGGATTGAAAACGCCCGAAAATGATAACATTGATACATAATTTTTATTTAATATAATATCTATTGTTCCAGAATAGTAATTCATGATGATTTTCTGAAAAATCCTTATGCCATACTGGATAGAAGGGAAATGGGAAGACTTTTAATACAAACAAGTACAATCATCGCAAATTGTCGTTATTCTTTTGAAATGATCCGGGCTTTGCCGGGGCTCTACCGGGATCAACCGTAGCTCTACCTTTATCCTCCGGGGCTCTGCCTGTAGTTACCGGGGCTCTGACGGCATATACCGGGGCTCTACCGTAGCACTATTGTAGCTCTACCGGCTATATCATACCCTGGATCATCCCCGGTTTGTGCCGGCAGAGCTACGGTGCTTTCCCGGTATAACCCCGGTCGTTCCCAGCAGAGCAAAGGATGAAGCCGGCAAAGCTATACCTTCCCGGATCATCCCGGAACACCCCGGTGATATTAAATATTTTATTCCATCCTGGGTCGAATGCCGGATGTTCCCGGATCATCCCGGATCATCCAGGACGTTGCCGGCAGAGTTACGGATGTACCCCGGTTGTTCCCGGTCGTACCCCGGTCGTTCCCGGATCACCCCGGACGTCTACCGGGGCTCTGCCGGGGCTCTGCCGGGGCTCTGCCGGGATGTAAGTGAGACTGTAGCTTTAAGAGCCCCATCTGATCTATGTTAGTATTCTAATTTCGTTATAGGCTTTTGCCTGGATTTCATACAATTATTGTTTAAATTTTGAAAAAGAATGCTTCCAAAATGGTCGTATGAATAATATATTTATATTTTATTTCAAAGAATGACGAACTCTTTGCTTAACTGTCGGTCCCTGTGGCGCCGTTATATGTCGCAACGCCGCTAAATGTCGCACTTGCCGCTAAATGTCGCACCATTGACGCTAAATGTCGCAACCGCCGCTAAATATCGCAAAATCATTTGACGTTAAATGTCGCAATGTTAACGTTAAATGTCGCACGAATTTCCCTTACCGTTAAATGTCGCAACACTACCGTTAAATGTCGCAAGATGTAATTTTATGTTGAACTCAAGTTTTATTGTTGGATCATATTAATTAAATCTGCCTACTCAATTTGAAAGCGAGTGAATTTATTATATATGGAACTGCGCTACAATTTAGGCGGCGATAAGACTCATCTTGTAAATAAATGTATATTGATTTGCGTTCGATTTTTAGCTGATCTTATACAAGTACATGTACATTGTACATATTGATACAATTGTCTACTATTTGAATGAAACTGCAAAATTGACATTGTTCTGTAAATAGTTTAGTACAATTGTGTCTGTAAAATGGCAGAGGAGACAGGCTGCCTGAGGTGGCAGTCTGATGGCCTAGTTGACTGAGGAGGCAAATTGACTCGCTGTCGGAAGAGGAAGCCTAAATTGCTGACGACCTGGACCTTAAGAGTTTGCCTAACGCCCTGTT